CGACGAGGGTCGGTCGAGGCCGTTGTGTGGGCAGTAGGCAGGCCGTGCGGAGCACGCGAACGCGTCGTTGATCCTTGGCGTACTCGTACTGAGCATGTGGGGACCTCACGACATGGCTTGCGCGCTATGCGGGAGGGTGACCGGAGCCGGTAGCGACGTACACTCTCCCGACGTCGTTGCGCACCCTGGGCGTCGCCATGGAGGACAGGTCGCGGTCGTCCAGTACCAGTGAGAGCACGGGGAGGTCGCATTGGAGGAACCAGCGTCGGTAGTGTGATTTCTTGTATGCGAGTGATCTGCAAATTCGAGTTTGTCAGCGCATTTTCCGTCCGGGTGCGCCGAGAGCCTACCTAACGCGAAGAGGGTGCAATGCACATCCCGCCAGACACAAGTGCCAGGCGTCGATCGGGGTACCACACCGGCAAAACGGGCGGAAGTCGGTCTAGGCGTCCCAGCCGGTTGGGCGACGTTCGACGCGAAGGGCGCGCGCAGCAGCTTCAGGCGTGCAGCCACGTGTTTGAGTGGGTCTAGCGAGCATATACCCAGCGTGCAGGGCGGGGGTGTCGAGGACTGCGGCCGGTGGACGGCGTTATTGGGCGCGTGAGCGAGCCCGGCGTCGACACCGCAGATCCGCGTTGCGCCGCAAACGGCCTCACCGGTGTACTGCGACGGTGTATGCGTGCGTTGTGTATAAGCAACTCAAGCTATTACGCATGATGCGGCGCGGGCGTGTGCGATTTAGGGCCCGGACGGCCTATATATGGGACGTCGTCAACGCCATTCGCGTCGGCACAATCTGCAGACGCACCTGATTCAACAACGTTGCTGCCGCATCAGACCGGCCGGACATGTACACACGCCCGTCGGATGGGCGTGGCGGGAGACGGCGGACGATGGGGGGAGAGGCCGCCTCAGCGCGCCGGGCACTACGGGCAGAGGACGCTGCTGCCGCCTTGACGCACACAGAGGTGTCTTGTTCCAGGTACGATGCACACTCCCTGCACTTGGGGAACGGAGGCATGGAGGTTCGCAGATGATACGTCGAGATATCGAGGACGCATATCGAAGGCGCCCGTGTGCTCTGGGTGTGGTGCCGCCAGTGCCGCCGATCCGCCGATCCGCCGGGCGCTGCAAACGCCGTCGCTAGCATATGCAGACCGTACACAAGTGTGTATTGCGCAACGACGGGGAGCCGCACGGCGCGAGGGCGTGCAGGCGTTCCGGATTCAGTGGGCGGGCGGCCTATAATTCGGACGTCGTGAGCGCAGTTCGTATCGGCAGACGCTGTGAACGCACCGGATGGGAGGACATCGTCGGCCCGACAACGCTGTGAGCGACGCGCGCGTGTCCGTGAAGAAGCGATCGTGTGAGAGCCCGTTGACGGCATACGGGGACTGCTGAGTACGCGGGGCGTAGCGCTCGAAGGACGTTGACGGCGCCTTAGCGCACACAAGGGCGTCATCTTCTGGGTGCTACAAACGTGCTCCGAGCGTCCAGACTGTGGGCGTTGAGGTTTACGGATGGCACGGGGGATTAAAGAGGGCGAGAATGAGGGGTCCGGCGAGAGACGCCGTTCTGCGAGGGGCGGTAAACGCAGTCACGGGTATACTACGCGGATGCGCACGAACGTTCTGTACGACGACGTGTGCCAGTAGCGCGTGATGGGACGAGGGCATGTGGGTAATACAGGGCGGGAGAGCTGTCAACGGAGCACTGTCAGCGCATATCGCGTCGAACGGGGCTGCGAACGCACCTGGACGAAGAGCGGCATTGCCTGCATAATGCGCCTGTGCAATGCACCAGGAGAGAGTGCGTGGCGAACGATGGAGGGCGGAGAGGGCAGGCTAGAGTCGACCAGGCGGACAGGACTGGACAGGCGAGCAGAGGGCAGACGAGCGATTGAAGGTCGTGTGTGAACAGCGCGAGCGACGAGTCGAGAGAGCAGTGACGCCATCGACGCCTTCGAATAGGCGCCCGCCCGAGGATGGCGGCACAGCGGCAGCTGCAGGCTGGCTCACTGTCTTCAACACGGTCCTCCAGCGGCGCTCGGCTCCGAGTCGTCTGACGCCATTGGTAGCCCTTGTCTTCCACGTCGCGCCTGGACGAGCGCGACGTCATGGGCAGTGACCACTGGCCTTCTCTGCTCAGCCAATGATGCTTGTATATGCGCCCCGCCGGATGCGATACGCCACGACGTCCACCGCCACATATACCTCCGTCGCCGTGCGAAAACACCCATCCGGATCGGCACATATCTTTGCTCCGCCCGCTGCGCCCACTCCAAATGCACCCTCGACGCTCGTCCACGGCTCGGCGGTTCGCGTGCGGAGTCCACTAGCAGCATCGTGGATTGCCCTTCGCGGAGGTCATCCCTGCGCATGTGCCATTCAGGCCCTCCCATCCGGCGCCGAGTGTCTGTTCAGACTTCCTTATCGTGCCTAGCGTCTGCGGGCAGTGGGTCCCCGGCCCTTTCGACCAGAAGGAAGAAGGCCTGGCCAGAGCTTCGGCACCGCATCACATCTCCCCCCGTCCCCAGACTAATGGGTGCCATGGGTCTACAGCACGAGTGAAAAACAAAAGGAAGGCCGTGGGGGGACGCAGCAGTCCCCACTCCACGTCCGCCCTTGCGCGTCGCGTCTTCCTTCATGACTGCTGCTTGAGTTTTCAAGATGTCCTCGTCCATAGAGGTTCCGTTCGCTGAGTCGCTCGAGACGCTTCTGATCCACGGAGAAGCAGTCCGGTGAGTAGACCTGCCATGCCAGGCGTGGATCACACGAGGACACCCGCTAACACGTTTTGTTGGCAGCATCATAACCCGTGAGCCTTCCTGTATATTACTAACCAATGTGAGGAGTGCTGAGAACGTCCCGTACCCGTCATAGTCGTCGGCTTCGTCGTCCTGCTCTATGACTATCTCCTCACGGTCAGTGTCCTCCCGATACCTCTGCTTGCACCATCTTGACATCTCTTTCAGCTCACAGATGAGGTGGGATGGTTCTGCACTCGATACGCGTCTTATTCTGAGTTCCCATTTGCTATTACAGGTCAACTTGATATGGAACGCCAAGAAAGGCGTCGTCTCGACGATCTTCCTTCTTGTAAGCTGTCTTTCTTCTCTTCATCACGCACGGCCGCTGAACCGCACGCAGAATCGCTATTGCATGTAAGAACCCTATCTAATCGCTTAGAGGGCATTGCTTACACCGTAACGATTCAGTCCGGTCGTGCTGGCTTTGGATATATATGGTGAGCACGGAGGCGTCTTCCTTGCTATATACGTTTCTAAGGACGTCATCAAGAATCGTTTGGGAACGCGGCAGCTTCAATATTGGTACGCCCGTTGTGCAGTCCAATCCTCTCGGCTCTCAACTTATCGAGCTTCACAGTTTTGCAAGGTCTGGACGATAGTGCAGAGCTATGTAACGATATTCTCCTATATCTCTATCCATGGTACGTCTCTCTGTACCTTATACAAAACCTTATTCACCTTTCACACGCACGTCGCCCTGCGCTCGCAGCGATAGTCGCGTGGCGCCTCTACGCAATCCTTAGAGGCAAGGCCTGGGTCGCGTGGACGCTATGGATAGCAGGATTTTTGAACTTCGCCATCTCCGCGGGTATCACCACCGCGTCGCTCATTCCCACCATCGGTGCGTCTGCCAACCACATACCCGGGTTCGCGCCCACATCTGACGTCCGCGCAGCCAACCTCCGTCCCTTTCACCACGCGTGCGTCGTAAGCGTGAGTACCCTCCGGTCGCTGCGGTCTGCGCGAGCTGTGGCACTGACGTGAGTATCATCGCAGGCACCGCGATACATATGGGCCATTTGGCTTCCTAGGTATGTCACTTATGCCAGGCATTGAAAGACGGCGGGCGCTGACATGACGGCCGACGTGAAGTGTCTTCTTCGAAACTCTCCTTTTCGGCCTGACCATCGTCGCCATGATCTATCAAGGGCAGCGCCATTCTTTGACTTCTCTCTCGCTTCTCCTTTATCGCGATGGTGAGTAACGCAGTCGTTCCGGGTAGGTCGCTGCCTCACTAAACACCGCCTTCGTAGGAATGTTGTATTTCGTCGCTGTGACATGTGCGTAGCTCTTCCTAACGCACAGGGCAGCGCAGCCCCGCTGACTCCGTGCGCGTGCACAGTTTGCTCCCTCTTCTCGCTCATGGTATGGGCCCTCGCCGGCCCCGATCTCCTCGGCCTCGCTCGCTAGTACGCCCGTGCCCCCTCCCTCTCCCGTCCTCTTCTAACACCCCTCCCCGCTCGCAGCTTCACCCTCGCGATGGTGAACGTCGCTGGGGCACGCCTCGTGCTGAACCTCAAGGCGTACGCGGCGTCGCGCAGCCCGGACGACGACCTCACGTGGGACCCGCCGCACTGGCCGGCGCCGAACGCCACGACCACGCCCGTCGGGATCCGCTTCGCATCAGACTCGGACTCGATCGGTTCGGGGCAGCGCACAGAGGCGTTTGACCTGGAGATGTACGCGATCGAGCGCGAGTACCAGCATATCGGGACGCGGATCCACTAGGGTGTGCCCCTTCCCGTTCGCGCTTGCGTCGCGCCGTCGGTGGGATTATGGGGTTCGTCGCGTCGCGGGGATTTGGATACCAAAGGTGCAGGAAGATACCACTTGAGGAAGGGAAGGATACCAGGTTATTTGTACAACACAGCACTGTATCGCTAGCTTATAGACCCCGCGCGGGGTCGTCTTCACCATCGTTTTGAGCACTTGTGTTTGCACCACCTCTGTTCGACTCCTCAGGCCAGTACGAGCAGGGTCCGCCATTAGCACGCATGAGGAACGAATAGTCGAACAAGGATTCGCGTGGTATAAAGAGTGCGCTGAAGAAAGAGCGTGTGCATTACAAAGAGGAGCGACATGTACATATACTGGTTTATTGAAGCATCCCAGCACGCGCTGGGCTTGTCGCGCGCCCGCGGGGGATATATCTTGATTCTCCGTCCATCCTTCCATGTTTCGTTGTCTCGGTCTACAAGGCCTTCGCGAACGAGTAGCTCCTGCAGCAACGATCATCAGCTCTCCGCGCGTTTGGAGCGCAGGTTGGCGAAACGAGCAAGCTTACTTCATGTCCTCGTTGTCCGACTGCGACTCCTCTTTGAAAGTCTGGATCGGGATCCCGAGCTGTGCGGCGTGCAGCGTCAGCGCACGACGCAAGATGCGATGAAGGAGAGAGGAGACGTACGCTCACTTGCGGGCTGCCGGGCCCGCCACCGGAGGAGCCGGGGAAGCGCGGCGGGGAGTTGACGGTGCTCATGCTGAGGTTGACGGACACGGTGTGCTCGCCGAACCCGCCGAGCGTGCGCGCGTTCAGCCTGAAATATGCCTCGGCGTCAGCGGGGTGCGCGCGCGGGGAAGGAGGGCGAGGAGACGTACGAGGCAAAGAGCGCGTTGGTGTAGACTGCATAGAATGAGTCTACTGGTGATAACATGGACGAGGGAGGGCACGTACAGTGGCTCAAGATCATGTAGGGCGCGAAGAACACGAAGTTGCGGGGCATGATCCCGTACTAGATAGGGGAGTCAGACCATGCTGTGTTCGTATGTGTATAGTACTACTTACCGTGAGGAGGGCAACGGCGGCATCGGCACTAGCGCGAATCTAAGGTCAGCATAGTCGCCGTCAGACGGCTTGAGATCGGACGTACGCTGTCAACAACCCTGGAGGACAGGAAAGAATAGCGGTGAGCACAATGCGCGGGGGAGGGACGAGAGAGACATACCGGTGTTCACAGTGTAGAGCATGAGCCGGCCTAGACCCGAATCGCGCCTGCGTCGGTCTCTCATTAGCGGCGCACCACAAACCCGGACAGGGCGCGATATACCTTGCATTTCCGGTCTTGGTTCCGCGGAGGAGGCAGAGTAGCGTAACGGCAACGGCCGCATCGGCAAGGACAGCGGATGCGAAGTTGAGGTAGAGAGAGACCTAGGGCGCTTGAGGGTTGGAACGATGTTGAAGATTTCGCACTACATGATGTCGTACCTTGATACTGTCAAAGTCGCCCGCCTTCATGGTGAATCTGGGACGGCCGAGCGCACGAGGTCAGAACGGAACCGGAGCGAGGAAAGGGATGTCGTACCCCTTCACGGTGAGGACTGAGTTGGGATGGTTGAAGATTGAGCGGACATGAACACGAGACAGACTAGTAGGCAGACGCACCGATACCGCAAGCTATGTTGCACGCGACCAATTTTAGATCAAGTCATAGCACCCCAGAATCGTACGCACCGAAGTCAAGTAGTGACAACAAGACCTGGAAAAATGTAAGTTTTCGCAACACATCGCTACACGCAGAGGGTAAAGCGTACCATTCCACCTGCCAGGAACGGGTTCTCGTGGCTTACTGGGTCGAAATCTTAGCGACATGGTGCTATGAAGGACGAGGGAAGAACGCACGGTGCCATATACCCTTGATGAACATCCTAAAATAGGTCAATATATAGCAACATTGCAGTCGGGAGAAAGCATCGACGACTTACCCCCGCACCATGAAGCTCACGAACGACTGAGGATAGAGGGTCAACATGGTTTCCACTGGGACGCAGTTTGACACTTACAGTCAGGAGCACTAGCATCTGCACGCGGCTGCGATTTAGATTGTTCACTTGCGTGAAAGATGAGAAGGAGAGCGTACCACAAGACTCCTGTAGATGGCAGCTACATGTCAATAACCGAAGATATAGGCAAGGAGTATCGCACGCACCATACTGGCGTTTGGAACACAGTCGGGTCTCCGTATTTGGTGATGAAGTGGTAGTACAGAATGTGCCCCACCATCACGACGTTCAGCGTGTCGAGCAGCCTATACCGCGATAGATTCAGGCTCAAATCGTCAACAAGGGCTGCAGTACTCACCATATCGCGAGCACCTGAGGTTGTGAACATGTAGGTTTGAGGGGCAGACTTGCGCGTGAGGGCGTCGACAACTTACATAGAGGCGCATGAGCGCGGAGTCTTTTTGACTACGGCCATAGTACATGAAGCCCTGGGAGCAGGTAAGGCCATAGAGCCTGTTCCGATCCACACAACGTTAGGTCTGCAAGCCTCCATGCACGAAAAGAAGCACTCACGTAGGCCCCACAATACCTCCGATCAAGATCGCGCCGACTGTTGGTCCCGGACCATCAGGTACCGACATCTTGAGTTACAGCAGGGTTATGGACAAGACACGAGCTGCGTAGAAGGCCGGAAAGGAGCGGCCTCGGGCTTTGCAGCGTTTACAGTCGTGAGGAGCGGGGACAGGACAAAAAGGTGGGCGCGACGCGCAGTAGCACATCATATATCGCTGTGCGGGACATGAATGCCGTTAGACGGACCTCGGTCCTGGAAGGCATGCCAAAGACCAATGACACAGCTCGACGACGCCAATCTTCGGGACGGCGTTCTTCCTGAACGATGGGCATGAAACACCCCAAGTGTCCTCGCGAGGCCTGCCGGTGTGCGGAGCCTAAGTGCCGATTACATACTTTCGTCCGATGACGACCGGGCTGGGTATGCCTGGGACCGGTGCTGGGGGAAATCTGGGGTCCAGCCAAGGAGAAGGTACAATCCACAACATTGACAATCGATGCGATCGGGGCCCAGTGGACCTGAACCTGGCCTGGTACGCAAAGCAGTAGAACACCGGAATTGCAAGAGGTACATTCGTGAGCTCGCAAAAGTAGGAGCGCTATCGACTGGCTATGCGAGAGATATCGGCGTCAGAATTAGACAGATTGCTGTCGTGCTGTCGTAAGTGGTCGCTCGTGCGAACCTAAGCGATTCTGCATGCCTACCGTTAATCAAGTCACCTATTTTATGAACGGAGCTATAGGGCGCCCGCCGAGCCGTGACGCCTCCGCCGGTTTATGTGGAGGCATCTCAGAACTGGCAGTGAATAAGGGCACGATTTATCTCCGAATTCGAGAGGAGCATCTCAAACGCATTCGAGTGAGTGGGGAGAGGAAAGATGTCCTCGGAGCCCTTGGCCAAGGACGCCAACCGATCGTTGGAGGTTGCAGTGAGATCTCGATCTTAACCACGCGCACCGAGCGTCATAAGTATTTCCAGGTATTTCCGTCGATTCCGAACTTGCACAGGCACACTAGTGCTGATTGATAGAAGAACTAGTTCGCTGTACGGACGCAAAGTTTTGTATTTTTTGAACAGAAGTCTGAAGAGGCTCGTTGTGGTGTCCGAACGGAGGAGGGCGGAAGCTGTTGTTAAGCGCCTTCCCGCCTCCTTCGGAGTTTGGAGTTCAACGTTTCCCACGGAGGCCTTCCGCATCCCTGGCCACCGCCGCTGACTCGACATGCGTTCTCACTCTCGTTACAGCTGCCACCGATAGGCAGGAACATAGAACCGACGTAAACCCATGGCGTCTGCAAGCAGCTCGTCAAGACCCGCGGCGCCCGTAAAGCCACCTGTGGTGGTCCCAGGTTCAGGGAACAACATTATAATCAATCCGTGCCAGGTAGGTTCGCGTCGCATGTCGGCTTGCCGACGTCCGCATACAGTCGCTGATGCGGGCACGACAGAGAGGAAATCCAATCTTAGAAAGCGTCAGAAATGTCGGAAAAGAGTTTGGCGAGATTTTGGCGGACTACCAGGTAGGAAAAACTACTGGTGTCCTGTTCCTAAGGTAAGCGCTACACCGGTGTTCGTGACGGTACTGCGCGCATGCTGAAGCACCGCTTCATAGTCTGCGGTACCATAGGCTTCACCCAGAGTATATCCACCAACGAATAGAAAAGTTGGGGCACTCATACAACCTGCGGGTGCTGCTATTGATGTGCGACGTGGTTCGTCTCGAGCTGCTTCGTATGCTTGACTCTGTCTAACTTTCGACTCCTCAGAGCGAGCATCAAGACCCAATTCGTGAATTGACCAAGGTAAGTCTCACGTCATCTGGTTTACACTTGTCTGACCATGTATTGCAGATATGTCTGATCAACGAAATGACCATCATGGTCGCATGGAAGTGAGATAGCGCTTCCACGATCTGCCTGAATGTGTACTGACACACCATCTCAGTCCAGAGGAAGCCGGTTACTATCTAGCAACATACAAGCAGTTCGAGCACAGACCGCCTGATCTCATCAAGGAACGCGTCGACAAGGACTACCGGTCCGTCCTACGCACCGCGCTCACAAACATCAGCAAAGTGAACAAGACCGACGTCGAGACCCTGCGGACGTCTTTTGGGGTCCGTATCGCGACCATTCGCTTGCTTTGATCGCCGATCTGACTGTTCTGTGTCGTTCCCAGAGCTTTGCAGCGATATCGCGCGCGTCGTCCGAGCAGCTGCAGAACCTCCCTGGGTTCGGCCAAGTCAAAGCGAAGCGCATCCAAGACGCGTTCAACAAGCCCTTCCGCAACAATAGCACCAGCGCGCTTCCCATCAGCACGCAGCTCCAGCTTCTCGCCAGCCAGCAACCCGCCGCGTCCTCCAGCCAAACCACAAGCAAGGGGAAGGAACGCGCCACGGACGGCACGGAAAGCAGCAATGGCAGAAGCGCAATGCCTCCACCCGCATCGGTCCCGGAGGCACCCCGCCCGCCGCCAGCTCCGCACCCGCGCCCTCCGCGCGAGCCGAGCCCCGCTTGGGACATCGAACTCGACCTGAACGACTCCCGAGAGCCCACACCCGAGTCTGGGCCGCCGCCGCTCGGGGGGACGGCTTCGCGCAAGCGTCCACCAAGCCCGATGTGGGATATCGAACTAGACTTGAACGCAAGTGAGGTGGAGGACGAAGAAGTCGCTGCTGGGGAGGAGGACCCCAGGTTGAGGAAGCGGCCACGAGAGGGATCTGGGGAGTTCGGCGCGCCCACAATGTTGACTGGATCGTAAGACTGCGGCCGACTCAGTCGCTGCGCGAGATACGCTGTGGTACGTGACCCCGATGCTTCTTTCCACTGAGATGCTGATGAAGCTCGGGCTCGATCAGTACCGATGTTGTTATATACTGTGCATCTGGATACATTGACAGAATTCTCGTGAACGGCTGTGCAAGCTGTGTCTCGCGGCTGCTCTCGCATTTGCTTCAAGCACGCCTCCGATGCTAACTTCTATACAGAGTATCTTCGAAAGGCAATGCAGGCGTCCTGGACCCAAATCGTCACCTCCTTTTCAGACGGAGCGCCGCGGCTAAATGAGCGGCTCAATTAGCAGGGAAGCCATCGCGGCCGACCGTTTGCACTTCGGCGCAGCAGTCAGCCCATTATGAAATGGCACCCGGCGCTCCCGCCTCGTGCTCGGTAGCAGTCACAGTAATTCAAACCGAAGACTATCGGCGGTACGAGTCGGTAGAGTCGTAAGCTCCACCTTCAATCCTCGTATTCGCGCGTATACTGAAGTAGGCTACCATTTTGTGCCAAAAAGCCCTTGACGATGGACTATCGTTCCTCTAGGCTTAGTGGGCGTACGCGACTTAATGATTTTCGTCGCACCGAGCTGGCTTGTGCTATCGACGTCAGGCGTTCCGACCGAAGTTGATGAAGACAGGCTATGCCCCGGCTGCGCTTATAGAATGACGAGACTTCTCAACCGCCCGGGGAGCGTCTCCATCCTGAGAAAGTTACTTATAGGTGCTGGTCAGCGGGTACGCAATGAGGCTCGTTGCTCCTCCACTCATCCGTTCATGCCGGATTTGTCGACCCTCCTGGGAGAGGCTCAATCGCACCTCGATTTGCTCAATCTCATCAAGGTGAGCCGATTTAATCTCAATTTATGTTATGTTATAGTTGACAGACGTTATCGTTCCTTTTATTGATAGTACGCTGGCTGTGGGTATTTTCATACTACCTGCATGTCTTGACCTTGCTGAGACATCCATTCGGCCGGCCTGTAGTGGCGTCGCTGACATACGTTGTGAGCTGACCTTCCGCATGACAACATACGCATACTTATTGCGCATCGTATAGCTTCTTGACATCTTGGACACTCTCAGCGATGAAGTCAGTGTCTCCACCGTCTTCAGACTCAGTCAGCAACTGAACATGTCCTTTGGTTCTAGATCGCTCTCGTATGGCCCTCGCGCCTCAGCGCCATGAAGGTCATCTTCCTCGTGAATCGTTACATGCCGATCGTGGATGTCTCGTTGGGTAATGCCGGTGAGCCTCGAGCCCGATGGGTTGCAACCATGTCGCTGAATGTCCAAAAGTGATCTTGGGCGTTCGCACACACCAGGTCAGGGTATGCACATACTGCTCTTTGGATAATATCTGACATTCTAGTCTCCCAGACTTGCTCCGTCATGTGGCCACTGGTGGTCGGTAGGTGCTGTGCTCCTATTTGCAATGCCCGGGCAGGATGCTGAACGCATCATAGCTCTTTACCCTCTGGGCTCCTTCATTTCCGAAAGTGCGATAGCTTCCGTGTGGCTCTTCGACAGCCATTCAATCTTCTGACTCCTTTGAAACAGTCATTCTCATGGTCCGGACCGTGGCGCTATGGAACTTCAGTAGAATCATCGTGGGTCTCATGATGCTCAACACACTGATCATCGTGGTGAGTGCATTCGACTCCCCGGTAGCGAGCCTACTTGAAATAAATCTCTTAGGTTCCCACAGTCGCCGTGGTACAGCAGTACCTCCAGACGCTTCACTGTCCGTGGTTTTTGTTTCGATCCTCGGGTCTTTGACGAGCATCGCCTTGTTTGACAGATCCCTCGACGGCCGTACTGGAGGTCACAGATTGCGTCGCGAGCATCTCGGATGGCGTCGGGTGGGTCTTCTACGGCTGCATCATCATCTCCGAAACCAGTACGCGCATCGAGTTCTTCTTCTCTTCTATGGTTGAACTTTGAGCTTACGAATTGGTTTGGTACACTGGTAAAACCCATAGCCGTGGTCGCTTTGACGTTACTCAAGATGTACTTGACGTCGGGTACGCACGGCCTCTATGTTCTGCATCAGCCTGCCTACCGCTGTTGACGGAATGCGGGATGTTACAGGGCGAGGAACATCTTTCTCCCTGCTTTTCCGGACGATGTACCGCGACGGCACGTCAAACCTCCGCGCTCTTCCTCGTGCAAACCCGTTACTTAATCAATCTAATTTTTCTAGGTACCGGGTTCTACATTTTGCTGCTGACCGTCTCCGTCACCAACCTACTCTGCATGACCACCGCTCCAGTAAGATGCCGCTCTCTCTTTCAAGCTGGTGGTTCTGATTGCATTGCAGGTTTGGGTGTCATCTGCCCTTCAGCTGTTCGTCAAAATCTCACTCTCGCAGCCTCATCTCAAACTGATCTGACTTCGCGCAGGCCTCATCGGGCAATACACAGCACCTTGTGCTCCCGGGTGCTGCTCAACCTCCGCAAAGCGGCCGCCCGATCCTCCGGCGTCAGCTGGGATGAGTTTAACAAGCGCAGTGAGCTAGCGTTCGAGAGGCGATTCTCTGACATTGGGGAGGACTCGTTCATCACGCTAACGGATCTGGAGCGATGAACACTCATCCGATGTTTTATGGGTCCGCGACTTCGGCGAGGTGCGTATTTGACACGTTGATGATCTGCAATCATTCATTGACGTGCGTTAAAGCTTCGCCTTTGAGCAGTGGTTTGTTCCTATACACTGCAGACTGGGATGTGACTTCAGTACTCTCAATCTCGAAAGCATGTTGCGGAGGCTGTGGATATGCTGCGACTCGGAGTTGTGGGCCCGTTGGGTGTGCTTTGAATAGCCCGACGCTCTCGGAAGTACCAATCACGGTGAGGGAAGCCCGAGGACGTATCCTGTGTGGTCGGACTGCGGGACGCACACGACGTACAACAACATCTAGCATGGGTGAGTGGTTACCTGTGCAATGCCAGTGGTTCGCTAACGTGCCACCACAGCTTTATCACGGGCTGTGGCACCCCCGCCACCTGACTCAAGTGGTACGTTCAGCGTCCGGAGGGACGTCCCGCCGGCGCCGGCAGTGCTATTTCTTCGAATTCTTCGGGATCGTCCATAAGATTGAGACACCCGCCATTCAATTCCTGTGCAGGGAAGCCATAAGAAGGATATCTTGATAAGGTGATATGCTACCACATCGTGTCCACGCCTTCTCGAGATGCAAGGGCGGGAGAGCGCTGCATGGGGACGGGAGTTTGTACTTAAGCTCGTGAGACCCGCGCGTCGCCCGTACGCTACAGATACCCCCACGCCGGCAATCCTCAGCCACCCTTCAACCGATGGCCAGTCTAACCAGCATTTTGGAAGCCTCGCTATCTCATTTCGATCTTGTCTTGCCGGTGAAGGTAGACCATTTAGCTACACCTAGGTTGGTGGGCAGCTGACGTATTGTTATCCCCTTGGTCAGTATACCGCCGGTACGCCATTATTGTGAACTGTCGCATTGAACTCAATTCTGACTCGCTGTGTCCAACCACAGTGGCCTCGCTCACCTGGGTGGTAAGTGCTTGCCAGGGACGTTCTCAAGAGCAAAATCACATTGGCCTTGCAGGCACTTGATGTAATCGAAACATTTTCTTCCGAGGTAAGTGCAGAAGGTCTACAATATCGACGTCCATACGGCTGACGACTCCTCCACTAGGTCGCCTACATGTGGCCGTCTCGCCTTAGCCCGATCAAAGTTCTATTTTTCGTCAATCGTTACATGCCGTTCCTTGACATGTCGCTCGCCACGGTTGGTAAGTGTCACCCCTACAACGCTCTGCACATCACACTTATTTTGCCTCCTATCAAAGTGGCATTGGGCGCAAAGAATCCTCGGGTATGTGCGAAGAGCCGCCCTTAAACTCAGTCCCTACAGACATAAACCTCTGCATTGATCACAGGTATGCGCAGCATTATGGCCGACGGTGGTAGGTGAGTGCCCTTTCCCGCCGCGGCATTTGCCATCTCATAACAGGGATGATGTTGTAGCTCTCTATTGGTTTGGGTCACTCATCAGCGAAAGTACGCAACACCAAGGACCATGCAGCAGGTTTCAAACGCTGAACTTACTATGCTTCAGTTATCCTCATCGTACGCACCGCCGCTGTATGGGGATACAATCGAGCCGTCGTCGCAATTTTGGTCCTGAATTGTATCGGCCTCGTCGTAAGCAGTAGCAGCTTCGTCCTAAAACGCTGTTCTCATGCGGGCGACGCGTTGTGCAGGTTCCTTCATTTGTGATGATCCCGACATATCTGATCAGGATGACATGTGCGTAATATGGGCTCACTCGACTCGAAAAAGTCATGAGCCGGTTCTTCTAACCCCCGCACCCAGATCCTCCGGCCGAGCTGCTCGAGATCACCGCTTGCGTGCCCAGCGTCACAGACTACGACTGCTGGGTGTTCTATGCTGGCATCATCGTCTCCGAAACGAGTACGCCGCTAACTACTAGTCAGAGGTCACGCCGTCGTACTGACACGCTTGTTCAGCTATGATCGTCCTAATACTACTCAAGCAGTATATGTCGGCCTCAGGTGCGATAACATGCGTATAATTTAGGGTCCGACCACACTGACTCGGATGGTGCGCATTTCAGAACGCAGGATCTCGCTGCTTCTTCGCACCACTTTTCGGGATGGTACGAGTACAAGGCCGACACCCTCGAAGGAAGATAGCTGAAATGTACCTTGCAGGTGTTGGCCTGTACACGGTCATGCTCAGCGTTTCGGCCGCCAACATGCTCTTCATGACAGTAGCACCGGTAAGAGTGTAACTCTCGCCGTTTCCAGGGCGGAAAGCTGACCTGCCACTCTTCAGGTGGAAATGTCGTCCGCATTCCAGCTGTACGTCCCCGTATGCCGCACAGCGCAGCAGTGGCCGCTGACCTACTATGCCACAGGCCGCACAGAGCGCTGCACACCACGCTGTGCTCACGCGTCCTGCTCAACCTACGCGAAGCCGGCGCGAACGCTTCTGGCTGTTTCAGCCACGACGACTACACCAAGCACAGTCGCATGGTTTTCGCCACTGCCGGGGCCATCGGCACTGATATGAGCGACATTCCCCTCACAACGTTAACGCAACGCTCCTACGATGTTCATACTTTCGACAGTGAACCGTGAGGATATGTATTTGTTTAGTGTGTACCTTGTTATCATGGACATTTTGGGCTTAAACCATGACTAAAAACTCTCACTACATGTGCATAGTGGGTCGTCCGACGCCCTACGCTAATCCTCCATCGCCTGGTCTCATCAGGTAGTCAGCTGCGAGCGCGCGGGAGGCATTGTGGTTGCGACTCCGTGCTGTAGTATCGCCTTCGAGTCCTGCCACCGAAGTAATACGATGCTTCTTGCGGGGAAGCACACATCGCAACCGAAACCGCTCCATCCCAGGGATACCGTGAATATATATATGATGGGAACAAGTACAGCGAAATACACGTACTAGTGGCACAACAGAACGACGCCGGGCGGTAACGGTAATCATGTACATGGGAAGATGTGGGTAACTAGATGTCTGCACTAAGAATCGCCTATACGCTTCAGCCCCAACTCCTCGCCTCGCGTCCCGCAACCCTCCAACGCAGTACACAAACAAAAAAAGAAGGCACCGCTGGCCCAAATATACATATACCGTGAATGTCCGTGAATGCCGTGAAATCGAGGTTTCCTTGGTGCGCACCCGTCCGCACTCTCCCCGCTCGCCCACACCCAGCGCAGGCCGCAGTGTGACGCCTCACATCTCCATCTCCATTTCCATGCCGTCCCACTCTTCCTCCTCGATCTTGCCGTTCCCGCCGTGCGCCATGTTCATCTTCCACCCACGGGACGTGAACCCAAACCGGCCCGGGCCGACGGGTTCGCCACCGTCTTCCGCGACGCCGTCAATATCGACGAAGTCTGCGTCGTCGACGCTCCCGCTCCGGCTGCGCGACAAGGAGCTCGAGCGTACCGACGAGCGCGGGAGGCTCCACGCGCCCGCACCCTCGGACGAGAATGAGCGTTCGAGGCCAGAGGCAGAGAAGGACGCCGAGTGCGAGGTGACCGAAGACGACCGGAAGGACGACTGCGCAAAGCCCACCGAGACGGGAGAGCTCCAGGCTTCAGACGCAGATGCGCCGCTTGTGCTAACGAAGCTGTACGCATTGGCGTCCTGCGGGTCGCGGTACGTGTCCCGGCTCGCCGCGGGCACCGGCATAGGGGCCGAGCGTGACTGCGCCGCGGTAGTAGAGTGACTGTGCGCAACGTCTGACTGCGCGCCCCCAGTCATCGGCACGCCGACGACGCCCGGGCGAACATGCGTAATGCCGCCGGACGTGGGTAGAGCGTAATCGTGCATGCGTGGGCCTGCGGAGGGAGAGCGCGTAGGTCCTCTGCCGTATGCGTGCCCGGGGGCGAGGCCGGCGCCCGAAGAGAGCAACGAGGTAGCTGGGACAGAACTTGAAGTAGGATGAATGACCGTTTGATCGAATGAAATCGAAGCCGAGGACGAGCGGGCCTTCGGAGTAGGCCTTGAACCCTCCTGCTGAGGACCATTTGCTATATCCGGAGGAGGGAGTGCACCTCCTGACATATACGAGGGCCACAAAGATCGGTCTTCTGGCAGCGAGCGCCCCCCGGTCGCCGACGGGTCTAGATGGGACAGGATCGCCGCCGCCTAATAAAAGCTTGGGCGCTTGTCGCAGAAGAGGAAGGATGACAGCGCACCTCAAGAAGCTGGACCTGCTGATGCTTGCTCAGCAAAAACTTCGAGGCCTCACGCCAGTGGGGAGAGTGCTCCCAACGATGCTTGATCAGACAAGACGGGTGACGGTAGACCTGAAATGGGCCGTCAGCGTTGTCGCACTTTTCTAGCTGTAGTGGGACGATTTGGCTCATAACTCCGGAGAAGAAGCGGCCGAATACTTCCGACCCAGTGGTTCCAGAGATGTGCAGGCGCGAAAATGGGGCTATTCGTGCGTCAAACACTTGGCAAGAAAAGGATGCTGACCTTGGAACAGCTTTCGCACTTGAATATCGTGCCTCTCTTCTTGCCGCTCTTGGTGACGCTAATACCGGCACCATTAATCTCCGTCTTTGTCGGAGGCGTTGCCGAAGCTTCATCCGGGACGGTGTTCTCATCGGCTGCCTCTTGCTTCGGGATCATAGTCGCCAGTCCTGACGCCATCTGGCCACTGGCGGCAGTAAAGGACGTGGCTGTCTGGGGAACGCCGGGAGGCGGAGGAGAGCCTGAGAGCGAAAGTGTCGCCAAAGAAGAGAGAGCTGCCGCAGCAGTCTGGAGCATCACGGGTCTAAGGGGAATATATATTGGGTCGTGTAAGACATTCAAGAAATGTAGACAACGCACGAAGGACGGCTGGTTGCCTCCCGTGCATCACTCAATCTGCGCCTTGTCTGGCCGGTAGAGGAGAGCCTGCGGTGCTTCATAGCAGCGTGTGCCTTCGAGGTACTGCCATAGCTGCCGACGGTGCCAGTGTTGATGCTGCTAGGACCGTTGTAGCTGCCGAGAGATAAAGCACTGTCGACCGAGGAGTCCCGGGGAGTGGGGATAGGACGGGCGACTGTGGCGGCCTCGACGAGAGAGAACAGAGCCTGACCATTGACACCCACCTAGATGGTGTTGTAGGAGGTATGGCGTGGATAGAAGTGCTTGCAATACGCACCGAAGGGGTCCGGTCCAATCTGTCACTCATCCTTGGGTAGTGTGAGATGCTCGAATATTGCGTTGTGAAGTAAACAGCGTAGCGACGTGAACGGTAGCGAGGACAAGGACAAGAGATACAATACTGTGGGTGGACATGTGTCGGAGATGCTGGACGGTGTCACAGAGAGCAGTCAGCGACGGGAGGACATGGTGGAGGAATGCAAGAGGCAATCGCTGGCCAGACAGGAGCGTCTCAGCCCGTACTCTGCCCTTTCAAAGTCCGCCCAAATTCAAAGCATTTCTTCTTTGGGCATTCCCCCGCCCCGGCGGCCCGCCCGGCGGCGGGGGATCACTTCGGCGGCGGCGCCGTGGCGGGGTGGCGCCGAGGCGGGGACGCTCAGGGGGAACAGCAAGCGCCCGGAGGCGCGCGGCGAGAAGCCCCGCAAGACAGTCAGAGATGATGTGTCAATTAAGGACCGAGGGCCAGGCAACCATGACTCGATCAGGGTGATCGCAGTGTTCGGAGGCAATCGCAGGGCGCTGATTGGCCCCTCGGCGATCAGGCCGGGTGTGTTGCGTGGACTGGAACCCTCCGGCCGGGGTTGTCAGTCTGTATGCGTTCATCGTCGAAGCGGAGGTGGCTGAGCGCCGCGGAACATCCATGCGAGTGAATACTGCTGCCATGGTCATCCGTCCTATTTGTATACCTGGGAGCACACGTACCTCCTCGTGCGCCCTCTCTGCTCCTCCCCTGCCACCGTCTCCAGATCCCTAGACGACCCGGACGCGCGATGTGGAACCCCTTCCACCCGCAGCCAGCTCCTCCAGCATTCGGCGAGGACAAGGTCGTGCCGGAAACTACAGCCTCGTGAGTAACGTCATTCATATGTTATTCCGTTCTTGGCGATGGCGGGATGCGCAAGATCAAGCACGCAAATCCTGTTAATGGGCTAGCGGCCGGCCTGACACTTGCAGAAGGTCCCGGCGGCGGAGAGATCTGTTCCGCAAAATACGTTCCAGCTCATGTTTCGCGTTCTGGTGGCTTTGTCGAGTGACGAAGGTGACCAGTGGTGTATCAATATGGTGCGGTGTATAGCATGTTGCCCGTTGCAACGTGAGTACTTGAGGAGGCGGGCTCGTGCCGAGAGCATTGTCTTTGGACGAGAGCGTCCTGTCTCTTGGACGGCCTGTTCTCCGGAACATATTCCTTGCAACGTCGTAACCCGCACGGGTGGCTGGGATCAGTGACTGGGCCTCAGCAGTCAATATCTGAGCATCTCGCAGGGGCCTGTTGGGCTTACCTGTCGTCGCGTCGCGTAAGCCGGCCTGTGGCCGACTGCCCATCGACACTAAGCCATCCCGCCTCTTTGCGCCTTACTCACTCGGTATGGGATGGGATGTCTCCGTTGCAGTGGGTGCGACCGCGGCTGCCGGAGCGGGCTCGGCCGCATCGACCAGGAGTTCGCAAGAAAAACAGCTCTACGGGGCGCGCGCAGGTCACTCGCAGGCCACGCATTCAGGTCAAAGCAAGCCAGCGATCCGCGTTCGCTCCATGGGACGGGGGTGAATGCGCTCCGCGTAGCATCTGCGCCAGATGGTGGGACTTTCTGCTTTGGACGCTCGCCACAGTCTGTGGCCTCTGCCACTGTAGTCATCTTTGTCACAATCGGCCACCCAGGACGCAGAACATGTTGCGAAAGCATACATGCTGCACCCCCAGGACGTTCTTTCGGCTTGACACCGGCGTTCACACCTTTCCGATTCTGTCGGCATATACGAAGTCAGCAGCAGGATCTCACACCACTTGCTTTGCGTAGACCAATCTCGAGACTCCTCTTCTCCTGGCTCGACTCTTTCCTATCTGTGGGCTTCTCTCGACCCTTGGAGAAAGCAGGTACGACGTCTCGCTTCGATCTTGTCGGGAAGCAGTGCACCAATCCCCTGTGAACGGTTAGACTTCTGGCAACTACCGAATGCAACTCTGACAGACGCCCTCACCGAGCGGGTCGAAGAAGCGTTCTACAAGAGGTGTCCACCGGAGGAGAGGCCCGCGTTCATTCTGCAACAAACGGGAGGGCTTTCCGAGGACGGCCCCGTTCACGACGACAATGTCTCGCGCCAAACGTCTAACTCTACGAAGCACGCGCCAACACCAGACAAGCTAGACAGCGAGAAACAGCCAGCGCCCCAAACTCCAGAGCAGCCATCGGGGAAGAAGCCCAAGTACGACTCATCTTTGGTCAAGGCCTTGTATCATGTGTACATCGTACAACTATGGACTTCTGGGCTGCTGAAGCTCTTCTCTGGTGCGTATGCCTGTCGTCGATAACGCGGCAGTCTGTCTTAACGTCTATCTCCACTTAGACACGCTGAACACGACGACACCCCTGGTCAACCAGGTTCTACTTACATGGCTCACAAAGTCCTTCGTTTACTTCAAAGCCACTGACGCGGAACGGGAGGCACTCGGCTTGCAGAAGCCGCAGGGTATTGGCTACGGTATCGGACTCGCATTTGCTATCTTCGCTATGCAAGGTACGTCATAAATCGGATATCTCGGAGGCACAGTACCTGATCTGAGGTGTACAGAGGTATCAAGCCTGGTATGTGTGATCTTCGCCCAGCATACCCCGAATCAATCACTGACGTATATATCTCGGTAATGCACGATAGTTGTCAAACCACTACCAGATGGGTACGTCCTGCTCGTAATCGTCCCCCATTACATGCTCAATGAGGCTCTCAGTCGCGATGACGAACGGTCTCTGTATACGTACAAGTGTATGCTGCGTCTCTATAACTCGCGCTTCTACATTCTGACTCGCCCCGCAGTTGATCGGCGCCATATTCAGGAAGTCGCTGCGTCTGAGCGGGCGTGGGCGGATGAAGCACAGCGTAGGGCAGATCACCACCATGATATCGACTGACGCCACAAGGCTCGATCGTAACAGTGCGATGATCCACAAGTACGTTTTTAGCAAAACTCGATGTACTGGGCACGTAGAACTCACATGTATGCAGCCTTTGGATAGCCCCGATCCAAGTACGTATGATTGGCCCGCGCCCACATAACGTCTCGACCTGACCAGTTACGCCCCGTTATAGATCGCCATTGGTGTCGGCCTCCTCATCCGTAACGTACGCACGCGCTGGCATCCTGCGTACTCGTGCTCCTACTCACATGCTCGCATGCTCTAGCTCGGAGTTTCTGCACTTGTTGGCCTTGCTGTACGTCGCTCTACTACGACATGCAGCACCTTCCGTATCGACACACTTCCGTCTGTTAGGTTCTCATCATCGGCTTCCCCGCGCAATTCATGCTGGCGAAAATCATGTTCGCCCAGCGCAAGAAGGGGGTTGTGCTCACGGACCAGCGTGTGCGCATGACCACAGAGGTATACACTGTTACGTTTATCCCACGCGTGGACTGTAGGCTGACTGGTTGTTCAGGTGTTGTCGGGCATCAGGCTATTGAAGTACTACGCTTGGGAGCAATTCTATGCGCACCAAGTGGGTGTCCTGCGGGAGAGAGAAGTCAGCACGATCCGACGCCTCGCGTGAGTGATCCTAGCACCAGAGTCCTTGTGCGCCTTTGCTAACTTCATCTTGGACGTATGTTAGCGCGGCGCGTTCGAGTCTGATCGGTTTGGTCACTGTGATCCCCATCTTCGCGTCGATCCTGTCGTTCGTGCGTACTTCGTTCATGTTACACGTCGCGCGGCTTCTAACAGACCTTCGACGACCAGATCACGTACGCGCTTACTAATCACACGCTCGACGTCGCTACCATCTTCAGTTCCCTACAGTTCTTCAACGTGAGCCCTATAGCACGCTTCTTCGTAACTCTGGATAACTAAGCTTACACGCGTCGCGCACATAGATCATCCGCACGCCCCTCATCTACCTACCACTTGTGCTCGCCTCTGCGACGGACGCGCTCGTCGCGCTCCGCCGCATCTCCGCGTTCCTCCTCGCCGAGGAGCTCGCCGTCCCGTACGTAGTCGCCGCCGAGAGCAAATTCGCGCTCAACGTCGACGCGGACTTCACGTGGGAGGCCGCGCGCAAGGAACCCGGCGCGGGCATGTCCAAGGCCGCGAGGCACAAGGCGGCGGCGGAGGCGAAGGCGAGCGAGAAACGGTTGAGCGGCAAGGGGAAGAAGGAGCCCGTGCTGCCAATGGTCGCGAACGGGAAGGAGAAGGAGCAGGCGGAGGAGAAGGAGGAGAAGCCGTTTGAGCTGAAGGACGTGAAGCTTAAGATCCCGAAGGGCTCGTTCGTCGCCATCGTTGGCCGCGTCGGTTCCGGCAAGGTGAGCAGGCTCGCGCCACGTCGTGTATACGCGCGTGTGCTGACTGCGACGGCAGAGCTCGCTGCTACAAGCGCTCATCGGAGAGATGAGGAAGACCCGCGGAGAGGTGCGTTCGGTCGCAGTCTCACGCATTGTGCTGTCTGCTTACTCGAAGACCGTTTAGTGCACATTCTCGTCCACTGCGGCTTACGTACCACAGTCTGCCTGGATCATGAACGCGACGTTGCGCCAGAACATCGTCTTCGGACAGCCTGAAGACGACGCTAAGTACGCCCAGGCCTAGTCTCCTTCACGGTACAACACTGACGAACGTCACCTGTCCCACAGGTTCCACGAGATCATCAAAGCGTGCTGCCTCGAGCCCGACCTCGAGATGCTCCCGAACGGCGACGAGACCGAGATCGGCGAGAAGGGCATCAACCTGAGCGGCGGGCAGAAGGCGCGCGTCTCGCTCGCGCGCGCGGCGTTCTCCGGCGCCGATATCGTGCTCATGGACGACTCGCTCAGCGCGGTGGACGCGTACGTCGGCAAGCAGCTGCTCGACCGCTGCCTGCTCAACGGGCCGCTCGCGGATAAGACGCGCGTTCTCGTCACGCACGCGCTGCACGTGCTGGACAAGACGGACTACGTCTATGTGATGGACGAGGGCGTCATTGTCGAGCAGGGCACGTACCAGGACCTGATGGACAATGGGCAGATGTTCTCGCGCTTGATGGAGGAGTACGGCAGCCTCGACAAGCAGGAGGAGGCCGCAGCGGAGGAGGAGGTGCCGGAAGTGCTGGCGCAGGTCAAGGGGAAGGCGGCCGCGCCTGAGAAGGCGCACCAGACTCTCATGCAGGAGGAGGAGCGTCTTACGGGTGCGGTCGCCGCGTCCGTGTACACCAAGTACTTCAAGTACGCTGGCGGCGTCACGGTCTTCCCTCTGATCATGCTGTTCCTCGTTCTCTCTCAAGGCGCACAAGGTGGGTTTTGCAGCGAGCGGCGCGAGCAGTCATGATGCTAATATACATCTCGGCTACAGTCGCAAACAACTTGTTCCTGGGATTCTGGACGTCGCAGAGCGTCAAAGGTTTCGATCAAGGCGACTACATGGGCACATACGCAGCGCTCGGCATCGCGAGCGGTGTGTTCTCGTTCGCGCTCAGTTTGACTATCAGGTACGCAGTTGGTTTAGAGTAATGGTCGTTCGGGACCGGTGCTAACACCTCGAGCATACAGCATGGCTAGTTTGACCGCAGGCTTGCGGATGTTTAAGGCGGCCTTGATTGGAGTGCTTCGATCGTCTGTGGCGTTCTTCGATACTACCCCCTTAGGTGAGTTTGGATAGAGTTAATAGGCCTTACTGAGAAACGTGCTGATGCTGTTCGTAGGGCGAATTATGTCGCGCTTGTCTAAGGATCAGGATACAGTCGACGCAGAGTTGGCAATGATTGCTGTGCAGGTAAGTACATGAAGGAATTTCCTTTGCACCATCGTACTAAATGCCACTGGTCTTGTTCAGCTGCTCTCAACTGCTAGGTATGTACAACCAATTCGAGGTTCAATTGTTCTAAAGTGCTAACCTCCATACTCAGCTCGGTCGTCGGTACTGCAGCGCTCGTATTCTACACCTTCCCTTACCTCGGCATCATCTTCGTACCCCTCATGACCCTCTATTACATCGCGGCCGTATACTACCGGAGAAGCTCAGTAGAAGCTAAGCGCTTAGACTCCCTCCTGAGATCCGCGCTGTATTCCTCCTACTCTGGTCCGTACTCTTTCTTGCTATATGCCTCGATTCGGCATTCTAAATAACTGATGTCTAATCAGAAACGCTCACCGGCCTGAGCACTGTTCGCGCATACCGTTCGCAGGTAAGTCTAAACGACTTTTCACTCCGTACTCATTCAGGATCATGACCTTGCATTCGCCTACAGGACCGTTTTATTCGCAAGTCAGAAGATGGTCTCGACCTCGAGAACCGAGCATACTACATGACGATTGCGATTCAGCGATGGCTAGGCGTGCGACTCGACATCTTAGGCAATATTCTCATCCTCGGCATCTGTCTTTTCGCTGCCGGATTCCGGAGTAGCGTAGACCCGAGTAAGATCGGTGTCGTACTGTCGTACACCCTTAGCAGTAAGTCATCCAACTCCGCGGCACTCATATCTCATGAAGCTAATCTTCCATATCTTCAGTCACGCAAACATTCTGTGAGTCTCCAGCATGCATGTTTCGCATTGCTCCGCGGTTGCTCACATCTTTTGTATAGCGTTGCTCGTCTCAACATATGCCCAGAACGAGCAGAACTTCAATGCTGTGGAGCGCATCCTGTACTACACCGAGCTTCCGAACGAGGGAGCGGCGACTACGCCCAACGACCCTCCGCCGACATGGCCGCACTCGGGTGAAATTGCGTTCAAGGATGTCGAGATGGCGTACCGCCCAGGACTGCCGCTCGTCTTGAAGGGCGTTAGCTTCTACGTGAAGCCGGGAGAGAAGGTGACCGCAGAGCTGTCATGATGTTCGGCGCCGACTTTCTGACTCGGACTCTGTTGCGACAGGTTGGCATCGTAGGACGTACGGGCGCGGGCAAGAGTTCTTTGCTCCAAGCGCTCTTCCGTATCGTAAACGTTCAGTCCGGGCACATCGAGATCGACGGCCAGAACATTGCCGACATCGGGCTGGACACACTCCGCGGGCGGCTGGCGCTCGTACCTCAAGACAGCCTGTTGTTCAAGGGCACATTACGGGAGAATCTGTACGTCGCCGCCCACTGATTGTAATCCCGGGTGGTGACTGACGCGCACATATGTCGAGCAGGGACCCGACCAACACTCGGACGGACGCCGAGCTGATAGACTCGTTACGCCGCGCATGGCTGCTGCCGCGGGACGGGTCGACTGATCCCGTGGCGGAAGCGAAGTTTAGCCTCTCCTCCAACGTCAGCGATGAAGGCAAGTGATTCGCTGCGCTCTTGCTCCATTAGCGACTCACCGCGTTAACTCTCCCGCGTTGACACCTTCCAGGCTCGAATTACAGCGCGGGCGAGAAGCAGCTTGTAGCGCTCTGCCGCGCGCTCGTCAAGAACAGCCGCATCATCGTACTGGTAAGTCCGCGCGGCATTTATGGCGTGCGTCACGTCGCTCACATACGGCAACGCAGGACGAAGCGACGAGCAGCGTCGACGTCGAGACAGACGCCAAGGTCCAGCGTACGATCCAGACCGAGTTCTCCGCGTCAACACTGTTGTGCATTGCGCACCGGCTCAACACCATCGGTGCGTCTCTATTCCGTTTCCCCGCCCGTCCGCCCGCCCGCGGTCCTCTTCACCCGACCCTCCCGCCCGTTCCCGGTGCTGGCACCTTCCTCTTCGTCTCGCTGCCTATTCGACGCGCCTGACTGACATCCTCCGCCCGCCCCGCAGTATACTACGACCGCATCCTCGTTATGGACGCGGGGCGCGTCGCGGAGTTCGACACGCCGCTCGCGCTGTTCGACAAGGAAGATTCGATCTTCCGCTCGCTCTGCAACGAGGCGAACCTCTCGCGCGCGGACGTGCTCAAGATCCGCGCGACCGTGCACGGGCAGCTGTCCGTGCCCGCGTCCTCGGCGGCGTCCGCCGTGCACCAGGAGGGTAGTGCGGCGCCCGCCGCCTCATGACCATGACGCCGCCCCGCCGCCCGTATCCGGACGCTTAGTGTACTTAGTATCTCATCGTCGTCTTGTAATGATCCTCACGTCGCGCTTTGGATTACGCATGTTCCGTGCTTGTGTAGAGTTTAGAGTTTGCTGTCATCGGGTTTAATGCACGCACGTCTTCTTACGCATCTTTCTCATTCATCCCGGTCGGCTTGCGCGAAGACACCTGTTGCCTGTTGTACGGATGCTGCTGAGCGCTGCATCCGCACCCATAACTTGCTGCGGCACGCCGTGCGGTCACCCACAACACGACCGGTACCATGCCTACACCCGCACCCGAGCATGATCTGTAATTCATTACCCGCGTTGCAATACGAGAGCAAAGCGAGAGCGTTGGCAGTCACGCACAACATGACCACACCCGCACCTGGGCACGATTTGTGATCCATCACGCGCGTAACTGAGAGCAAAGCGAGAGCAGTTCGATTCTAGCGATGTGCATCGGGTCCGGGCTCGTTCTATATTACACATTGCGAAGGATATACAGTAGGTATCGAAAAAGCACGCGGTATCCGAGAGAGATGCAGAGAGATCCGGGAGAGATGGAGAGCGCAAGCGCGAGGTCCTTGACAGACAGCTTTTGCGTACTGAGAGGCACCAGGCGCGGATGCGAAAAGAACGAACGAGTGTGGGTGCGGCTCCGGGGCTGGTCGCGTGCCGCGAGCTTCGTGCTGCGGGCTGCGCCGCCCGGGTAGGCCATTCAGTGTGAGGCGAATTTGTCGGGGGGTGATGGTGATGTACAAATGCGCGGAGGGTGAGGGATGTGGGGGTGTGTAAGAGGCAGGGGGAAGGGAGACGGCGCGATCAGTCCGAGAGGCCCTTGGCTTCCCGGATGACCTTGACCGCTTGCGCGGAGCGCGGGCGGATGTCATACTTGAACGGTTTGAGCGTCCTGCGGAGAGGCGAGCATGTCAGCGCACTGTCAAGACCGCCATACCACCCCAAACGCCACCCTGACACGCGCCACCGACGGAGCGCGCGCGTGCATGCGCACCGCACGGAGGCACACAAACAGAGTTCCGAACATGTCCACCGCGCGCGAGATCGCAGCGGAGACGAGGAGACGGAGGAGGGGAATATACGCACGTGAAGACGGAGTTATCGTACACGACCTCGGGCTCGATGACGTTGCCGAACTCGTCGACGGCCTTGCGGATGTCGAAGCTCGCGAGCATCGACGCAATCGCGATCCACAGCGACGAGTCGATCATCCACTGGCCCGGGCAGCGCCGCCGGCCGAAGCCGAAGACGTAGTTGCGCGGGTCGCGCGCCTTTGCGGTCACCTCGTCCAGGTCCTCCTCGAGGTAGCGTTCCGGGTTGAATTCCTCAGGGTTGGGGAAGACGGCCTCGTCGCGGGTCATGTTGCTAGAGCGGCGTACGGTTAACGTGATGCTATGCTATGAATAAAGTGCGATTGACACGCACTAGTTGTTGCCGAAGACGAGTGTGCCCTTGGGGATGTACATGTTCTTGTACACGTTGTCCTCCGTGATGCGGCGCGGGAGACCTAGAAATAAACCGCGCAGTAAGCATGTGCGCCCATGGTGGTAAAAGCATGGGACTGACCGAGAGGGACGGGCGAGGACAGGCGGAGGGTCTCGTTCACGACAGCGTTAACGTACGGCAGGTTCGCGCGATCGCTGAAGGTGGGCAGACGGCTGTTTCCGACGACAGAGTCGAGCTCCTTCTGGGCCTTCTGCAAGATTTCGGGGTGCTGGATCATTGCTAGGAAGAAGTGGGAGACAGCGGAAATGGTCTACGCAGCACACGTAAAACGTAAGCTACACATGCATCAAATGAGGCAAAAGTTAAGACTCACGGTGTCGAAGCTGGCTGAAATTTTGAAGAAGACAGCCAAAGTCAGTGAGGTGAAACGCGGGGTTTGAGCGTGGTATGCATACCCGCGTATAGAGAGTTCGCAGTCCACCTGATGTCGAAATCGCGCTGGTTGTCAACAGTTTGCTCCTTGTTCTCGAGAGAAGCGTCGTCGAGAAGCATCGAGACGTAGCAGGGTACGGCAGTGCCTTGCCTCTGTGACAGAAACCGTCAGTTAGCGCGCGGCAAGATGACCCAGCCGCATCACAAACCATCTGGTCCTTGGTGTACTCGTACGGCACGTTGACGAACGCTTCCATCTTGCCCTTCCAGAGCGCAGCGTTACGCTTGAAACCGGCGCCGGGGAACCAAGTGGGGATATGCTTGACTGTTCCGCACGAGTGAGTTACGGCAAGGTGTCAGATACACGCTCGGGGACGTACGTGGTGGGAACAGATCGACGAGCCAGACGACGCCGGCAGCGGCAATGCGGTTCGAGAGCAGCTCGAGGCTCTCGCCAGCCATGTCCAGGATGCGGTCGGTGTTCGAGAGCACGCGGTAGCCGTAGACGATGAGGAGGGTGAGGCCGCCGGTGTATCGGCGGATGATGTTCTGGGAGTCATCGGGCGCGTTGAGGATGCCCTGGAGGAGGTTGTGGGTCTGGATCTCGAGGAGGGGGTGGTACTCGTGGACCCTGTTCGCGCCGAGCGCCTGCAGCATGAGTTTGCGCTGGCGGCGGAGGCGCTCGCCATAGGGTGTAAGGCCAATCTACGTCACAGAACATGACATGTCAGATCTCATCGCACACTGTTCGGAGCGGCGGTGGCGGTGGCGTACCATGTTCTCGCACCCGCATCTGTGCAAAGTGACGGGTTAGACATGTGAAGGGGACGAAAACACGAGAGAAGCGCGCACAGTTCGCCTGCCATGACCATCTTGGGCTTGTCCGAGTAGATGGCGCCGCGCTTCTCGAGGAGGTCGACCGCGGCCTCGTAGCTATTTACAAACAGCAGGCCCTGCCCGAACACGTTCAGGTAGACCAGCTCGCCTGCAGGTGTCCGTTATCAGCGACTGCAAGCAGGAAAACGCGAAGATGCTCACCATGTTGTTGGGCCCATTTGCGGGCCTCGAGCCAGAGACCGGTGAGGGTGAGGTCGCGCAGGTTCCCGATAAGAGGGAGGCGCTTCGGGCCTGGCGGGAGAGCGAGTCTCTTGGACTTCTGCTGCAGGCCGACCCAGACGAGCGCCACCGCGACGATGGCCCACGTCCAAACGAGGGCAGACATTCCGGAGAGTGGTCACGGATCCAAGGCGCGCACGCGCGAACTAGAGCGGGAGAGATAGGGTAGAGAGCGACAGTATTGCGGTGCGACGATGCGACGCGTACCGCGAGGAGAGGTGTCGGGAAGCGGGAAGGCGGAAGGAGGAGCGATGGGAGAGAACTCGCGAGCTCGGTGCATATATGCAGCAGACACGGCTCTGACAAACTCTAATTGGCAAACCGGGCGTTCTTGTATTCCGCTGGGAGGCGGACCTGGACATATGATGCGATCCGCCTGCTTCGCCTTCGCTATCCCATAAGCGATGGGAGTCCCTGGCGAGAAACCTGGCCTCGACGCCGCTCCCGCTGAAACGAGATCGCCATATAAATTGAGCGTCTCGCTGTGGCCCGCCGTGCAAGCAGCTTCGCTCCCTCTCTCGTCGCGCTCGTCGTCGTGGATAGCAACGCCGCCGCACGCGTAGCGAGTCGTAGCGACGCAGGGTGCGGATGGGGAAGTACAAGGGACGGATGGATATGGAATAGCTTGCATGCCGCGGGGAAGGAGCGCCCCCCGTTCTCCCGTTCCTACCTGCCCAAACACGGGCATATAGGGAACTGCCGAAATGCCCCCGACCTATTCGGGCTCCGTCTGATCGAACACGCGAAGTGTTATTTTCATTTTACGTTTCGCGCCGGCCACGCGGCGGACTGACCCACTCTCGTCCTCCCGGGACGCCCGGCCAGCCGGCGACGGCCCTGAGCGGGACGTGCACCCGGGCAAGGCCCGGCAGGCCGGGGCACTGGCTGGGTGCGAGCATCGGCCTCGCCGGCGTCTTGCGCATGTACGGCGTCGGCGCTGAGTGGATAGCAGGAGACGGTGCCGGAGCGCGACGTCACAACCCGTCGCCGTCGCGCACAACGATGAGCTTGTACAAAACCTCGATGACCTCGGCGGTACCGACAGCTAGCTCCCTTCTCCCGACCCTCGCTCAAGCTTCACTAGAACCCCCACGCCGCCCCCTCGCCTAGTGCCCTCTGCTTGCCGCTGCCGTCCTCAATCTGCCACGCCTGTGTCAGTAGCGCATAGATGGCCCTGCCCCATTCGCTCATGCTCACGCTCGCGCCGACCTTTGCGTGCCGCCGCGCGTCCCCGCGCCTCATCCACGAATTCCAACACATCGCGCAGCGGCAGTTCACGACGTCCCCGCCGCAGACGCTCTCCGATGCGACTACGGCGGCGCCCGCCACCCCCACAGGGCTCACAGGCACCGCGCCATACCACACCGCGCTCGTGCTTCTGCACACCCATGCGCCGCCGGCAGAATACCCCGCGCGGTCCCGCTCTCCCCTGTGGCGCGCGTTGACGATGAAGGCGCGCGGCTGGGGCGGCACCGTCAACTTCGTGTGGTCCCCGGAGCTGCGCCCCCTCCCAGGCTATACGGGGCTCGGCGAGGACAAGGCGGCCGATGACCTAGGACGAGAGGCGTACACGGCCTCAGTATTCTCGCACGCGCATCGATACGGCCGGCTGGAGATCCCAGAGGTCTCGCTCGCGAACCTCGACGAGATAGACGAGAGTTTGCGGAAGCTCGTGCTTGGAGATGCTTCGGGCTCTTCTGGCGGGAGGAAGCTCGCGCAGGAAGAAGGGGAGGCGCTCGACCGCCGGCTGCACTTGTACGTCTGCACGCATGGCTCGCGGGACTGCAGGTGCGGCGAGGGCGGGGTCGCCGTCGCCCGTGCCCTCAGACGGGAGCTGGATAAACGCGGGATCTGCCCGAAGGACGTCGTGCTGGGCCAAGTCGCGCACGTTGGCGGTCACAAGTACGTCCTCTGACCTCTTTAGTGCTGGGCGATGCGTACGGCTTTCATGCCCGCGCTTCGTCTTCGCGTACTTCCGGACTTCGACAATTAATGCGTGTTGCTTCGCAGATACGCCGCGAATGTGCTCGTATATCCGTACGGAGATTGGTGAGTGTCGTCCCGGGCTTCTATCTTGCCCCGTGCCTACCTGTGGGGAAACAGGATAGCACAATGCGTACTTGAGCATCGCACGCTGATATAGTATCTGTCCTTCAGGCTAGGAAACGTCCAGGACTTCGACGTCCCTCATCTCCTCGACGAAATCCTAGCAGCACACGCCGCGCGTCAACAGCAGCCCACACAATCTGCGACGAACGCTCAGGAGTTGCCTCCCCTGTCTCCAGTTTTCTGGCGCGGACGCATGGGCCTCGACAAGGACGAGCAGATCGCGCTGCTATCGCGAACCACATAGGTGCCTCCGTCACTGGCCGGGCGTGGCGGCGGCGGCGGCGGCGGGACCGGATGCGGCACCGCCACACGGCTCACCGGCCGTTGGTGCTTCTGGAGGACAGCCGGGATGTGGGAGATCTGTCGTCCGTCATACATATTGTGGGGACGCTTCGGCGAGCTTGCTTCTCATTCGGGGAACGAGGGCGGGAGAACAGGTATGTAATATCGCGTTCCCCGAATTTGACCGGCTTTGCTGATGGTGGTGTGCCGGCGCCGGCGCCGCTAGACTATGAAATGTAATGTTAAATGTAGGGCGCAACGTTATTTGAAGCATGGACCCATCGCGAGCTCCTCGATGGAGGCACACTGGGCATAATGAAATCGGGCGCGGACGTCATCAGCTGCAGCTGCGCCCCAGCGTTGCACCGCCGAAGCACACTAGTGAGATCCCCCGGGGTTCTGGTGTGCGGTTGCGGAAGCCGAACGACTCCTTCCCGTACGCGCGTAGGGTGGGCGCGCATTTGCATTTGCGGCGTAGCTCTGACGGGCCTCCTCTGGCGACGTGCTCGAGCGGAAGTGGAAGGCGCGATATGTCGTTCTGAAGTGCGCCACTACGCATCGCTAGTCGGCGACGATCCCTCCGGAGCAGCTGCTGCGCGCGCCGCCGCCGCGCGACTGTGGCGCACTGCGCGTCCAGCTCTCCGCTGTTGTGGCTGACGGACGTGTGCATCATCGCGCCGGCATCGTATTCTTGCCTGAAGTCAGTGCGCTTATTTCCCGGCTGACCGGGCGCTGTGCGCGTCGATGTGTTACAGATGCCTCAAGCTTCAGGCGGCCAGGCGGTCGGGTGACCATAGGACGTATCGACCGGCATCGTTGGGCTCGGGCTTTCCGTAGCATGCTGCGCGGGTTCGAAGGATTCGTAGGGAAGAGTAATTGGGATGGTCTTCGATGGTGTTCTGGTACGACGTATGTCTATCATTGCTCGCGAGTTCACATTCACTCGACTTACCGACGTCAACAGGACAATGGCTTAGTTGACTGTGATTCCACTCCGATGACAGCTTCCGCGCCGGCAGGTACGCCGAACGAGGCTAGTCCTGGTGTACGACCCCAGGCCCTGAGCGGCACCCTCCGCCATCTTTATAAAAGGAGCCTAGTGTACCGCGTAGGCGCAGACGTGTTCACGACGCCCGCTGGGAGGTCAGAAGAACCAAGGTGAAGCATGCGGGAGGTAGAAAGGCTGTGCGCAAGGAGTCAAGATCCGAGAGACGTCCAAAAATCAGGTTTGTCTCCTCACTCCTATGAGCTGTAGCTCCTCAGTCCGAAAGGCCATCTGTGAGTCCTGCCTGTTCCAAGTTAACGTTAGTAGGGACGAAGATCATGCCCCCAGGGTCTATAACAGGTACACCTTGCCATATATTTTGCTCCCACCAGGACTGCTGCTCGGCGTTGGTGAAGGTACTTATAACACGGAGTGTGGGCAGCGGTGACTGACGGCATGCACCTGAATGCTAGTAGCCTCAGGCGGACAGTCATTATCCACAGACGAATTTAGACTTGAAATTAAGTAGGATTAAGTATACTATACGCTAAATAGAAACGGCCGCCACGTCCTGAACCAGTCGAGCTGTGTGCTCTGACCGAGGCACGATCTTGCAGGGGAAAGGATCGAGAGACCTGCAATGATCACAAAATTGTCATCAATATTCGTAGCTGCCTTACGTCCACTGTCCCCCCAGGATCGATCACGAACCTGAAAGTGGAGTTGTTGTACTCTGGTTGAGGCTCGATAGGTTCGCCGGAAGCATCGATAGCCTTGCCGAAGTCGAGCGTCGCCAGCATGCAAGCGATCGCGATCCAGAGGGTTGAATCGGCGAGATGGGTCCCCGGGCATCTCCTGTTGTAGGGAATCAGTCTCTCAGCTGTGCGGGGACACAGTCGAACGCACCTTCGCCCGAAACCGAACACGAATACGTTGGGGTCGTATCGTTTGCTTGACGGTCCGTCCTGCCCGCCCTCCAGGAAGCGCTCAGGTACAAACTCGTCGGGGGATGCAAATTGTGTTGCGTCGCGCGTCATCCTCCTGTAACGGGAGTAACGGTACATGTTTGGTCCATAAGAGAAAGCAGAGAAGCGGTTACAAGGACAGCCCACCATATGTTGGTGAAGACAAATGTGCCCTTCGGTATGAACTTATCCTCATACACGTCGTCTTCCATCAGGCGATGCGCGAGACCTTTGAATCGCGTTGCATGTCAGTGGCGTTCTCTTTGAGAGAAAGTGTAGTGGAAGAGAGGCTGACCAAGTGGCACGGGGACAGACCAGCGCAGACACTCGCTCACGACGGCCTCGACGTAAGGAAGCGCAGCCCGGTCATCGTGGTTAGGGAGGCGACTCCCGCCCGTCAAAGCGTCGATCTCCGACTGCGCTTTCTTCAAGACCGCTGGATACTTCACCATGGCAAGGATGAAGTGGCTCATCACCACGAGGGTCTGTGTATATATCAGCAAAGTAGCCATGCACGACGTCAGAAATCAACTCACAGTGTCTATGCTACCTGTAGTTCAAATGATTCAATAGAAGGTCAAGATGAGGACTGCCAGGGGGTATTCGTGCCACAAAAGAGAGCGCACTGACTCATGTACATCGTGAGGGCAGTCCACTTGACGTCGGATTCGCGCTTCTTGTCTACGCTGTCGTCACCCTCGTTGTCCATTGCCAGGGTGCAGTAGCAAGTCGACGCATTGCCGGTTTCCTGACGCTCGCGTGTTGAGTGCGCATGGGAGCTAACAAGAAGTACCCAGCTTACCATGTTGGCTTTCGTCCAGTTGAACGGCGCATCAGCCGCGTACTCGATTTTAGCCTTCCAGTCGGCGGCCTTTGTCTGGAACCCTGCGCCGGGAAACCATGAAGGTAGGTGCTTCACTGTGAAGATCGATGAGGTTTTGGTGACCAGTCCTCCACGAAGACGGATACGCTTACAAAATGGCAGGATGTCCACCATCCACATTCCGGTACCGCCACTCGCAATGTCATTGGAGAGCATATCTTGCGTCTGCTCCGCCAACCTGAGGAATAGGTCGTCGGCCTCTGTCATCCTGTACCCGTAGACGATGGATAAAGTCTGTGCACCAACGTATCTGCCATATAATAGATGTATCAGCAAACGCTTTCCGGAACAGCTGCATAGGACATTGCGCTCCAAAATGCATACCTGCGCAGATGGGTCATGTAGTTCTGCGGAGACTCCATCATCCGCCGAAGGAAGGGATACGTTTCGGCCACAACAAGCGGGCGGTAAGACGGGATGCTGCTTGCACTCAAGGCGGACTGCATCATCTTTCTGTGTCGGCGAAACCCATCTCCGAGCCCGGCAAATGCGATCTGCAAGAGGACGTTCATAGCCATTTAGCCATTGCGCGGATTGCTACTCACGATGTTCTCGCAGCCACACCTATGACGAAATATGAGGATCAACGAACGTCGCGATTGAGCTAACACATACAGTTCTGCGGCCATCACCATGTGTGGCCGGTCTGCGTATAAGGTACCCTTTTTCTCGAACAAGTCGACCGCGGCGGTGTACGAGTTTATGAAGAGCACTCCCTGGCCGAAAATCTGGACGTATACCATGTCCCCTGTTCTCACACGTCGTCAGAAAGTCTATCAAACACAGAGTACGGGCACGGGTGAGTCACGTACCATATTGCTCCGCCCATTCGGTCGCGCGTACCCACAGCTCCTTCAAAGTGAAGTCAAAGAGATTTCCAATGAGTGGTTTGGGTTTTGGCCCCGGCGGGAGGTTCCTGCGTCTTCTTCCGATAGACGCGAACCACAGCGCCGAGAAGATTGCAATGAGCGTGAGGACAACGGCAGAAGAGGGCATACTGGGCGTCCTTTGTGATAAGGCTCACTCTCCATTCCACATTCGCATATGTTATATACTTCCCGGGTCCGAGCCCGATCCCAAGGCTCAAGCGCATCACAGCGCCGCGCCTTCACACACGGTCAGGTTAACGCACGGTGTTCCCTTGGTGGAAGACAATCACTCCCTCGGAGTTATCCTGAGACGGAACATCGTTCCGCGGAGGGCCGATCCTAGGGCCATGATTGACTCTGATCTGTTCAATGAGACAGTACGAAGATTAGTGTGGATAGCGCGGAGACACGATATGTTCTCCATACCTCCTACCACATTGGACGCCCTGTCACGCTATATATAACGACAGTGTACCTGCTGCGCTGTCCTCGTGAGTGTGGAAAATATCTGCACGGCGCAGAGACAGACGTCGAACACGGGCTAGGCATCTTCGCTACTTTGTGAAACCGCGCCGATAGAAGGGCCGACCCTTTGAAGGGTTGAGACACCGCCCAACGCATCCGTAAGCGTTGCAGACTGCGGCGCTTGCGCTAACCGGATTATGACGGGATATCGTAAACCTCCAACCGCCTTCGGCAGTAGGTCGTGGTCGCTCCGTGAGGGTAGGAAATGAAGGCTTCAACGGAGGAGTCGTGGGCTCCAATCTATAGTACACACATGGATTGCGCGCGTTTATCGAAACAATCGTACAGCACCATCTGACTCTGCTTGAGAAACATCAGAGATTGAGGTAGAGAACGATCGACGGCGACTGACCTTCATGTCTCTGATCCTACGGGATACGCCGACCTACGGCATACAGGCCAAGCCTACAGGTGTTCGGGGCCAACTTCGATGGTGTTGACGTCGACGCCGTCTTTGTACCACCGGTCGGACTCGGAGATAGCGACGTCGTTGCCGCTCATCTGGCGCTTTCGCATAAGGCCATCATCGTCAAACGTCCAGTCCTGCATACGTACAGCGGAAACCGTCAGCGTATATACATCCCGTTGACTGCATCCCCTGGTCGACAGGCGACGGTGACGTACCTCCAGGCCGTAGGTGCGGTACCACTGACGCGTACCGTCAGTCTTGTCCTCATACCATTCGTAGAAGAACTGCACGTGGTGGAGTAGAAGTATAAGCAGCGGGATCGGTGGGATCGGCGGGATCGGCGCCGTGCGCAGCACGGACCTGTACGGCGATCTTGTTGTCGGTGAACGCAAAGAGGTCCTTCCTCAGCCTGTAGCCGTTTTCTTTCTGCCACTTCTTCGTAAGGAATTGGACAACCTCCTCGCGGCCCTTGAGGAAGGTGTCGCGGTTGCGCCAGATGGTGTCGGGCTGTGGTCGATCGGGTGCTCATTACAGAACTGGCGCTTGGAAGACACGAAGAGCAAAAGGGGCGTACCGTGTACGCCAAGGAGACCTTCGCGGGATCTTTGGTATTCCAGAGATCCTGCGCGATCTTGACCTTGCGCAAGGCGGTCTCAGCAGTGAACGGGGGAACAACGGGGGCCATGGCGGTTAAAACGAACGACAGGCGTGCCTATGAACAGCTGCTTTATATGTACACCGTATTTCGAATTGGCTCGAGCGCGAGCGACAGAAGTGAGCGAGCCGTGGACGATGCCGGCTACACGTACCAGTAATCAACCGCAACCGTCGAGTGCTGGCAGGAATATCGATCGTATCAGCTGATCACCTCGCACGCCATTTGGAGAGTTACGGAAGAAGACGTACAGTCCGGCGGGTTGTGCGTCTTTCGGGTGGGATCGTATGAGAAGCGGGCCCTGTCTAACCCGCAATTGAGGACGCTGGGATGGAAAATAGATCGTCTGAACCACGGTGGATGTGCAAAAGCCAGTATGAGTTATGTAAAACCATCTCGGATGATGACCTGCATGCAATTTGCATCGACAAGATTTGCATCGACGGGTGCCTGAGCCATAGCGAGGCGGAAGAGGCGTTGCCTTGACTGTGACGGTCAGCCATATATGTGTGCGACCATTTGGGAGCTCATATATGGAGTTTACGACTTGTTGCACGAATTTGCAATTCATGGTCCTGTTACGTTTGTCGCTGTGAGGTGCAAACACACCACCGGACTATCAGCTTCGACTCGTCGGTCCGAGTAAAGAGGATGGACGTGTGAAGAATACGCAGCGTACGGCTGTCGACCACGCCACCCGTGATACACCGTACGTCCTGCCACTTTTGGTCAAAAGGATCTATGTGGGTCGGCGGTCATCTGCCAGTTCCCGCGTACGCACACGGGGGTGGTATAACCTTTGGGTTGTCGAGGGCGGCCTGGGCTCTACCGAGCGAGAGATGCGAGAGCCTGTATGGGCACTTGGCACTCGAGGCTTCAACGTTGAGCGGTGATGCTAAGTGCATACCATGCGGGGTACGGGCATGTGGCGGGCATGGTGCGGTCTTGTGGCTGATCGCCGGTCGATGGACAGAAGGTGCATGTTAAGCACCGACGCCCGAGACGAGAACGCAAGACGGGATGGGCGGGTTTACATGCGGGTATTTGTGGCGCACTGTAGATGGAGGTTTCTTGAGCGGCGGAGGTCGGAAGATATGAAACGTACCCGTCATCTAGTATTGTAAGATAGACCATTGGCGGACAATTTGACAATGAAGTTGCGGTTGTTCCATTCACCCACGCCAATCGGACGCTAAGTCACCGCAGTATGGTCCTAATGGGAGAAGTTCAGGCTACGCAGCTGGTAGGGGACGAGCTGCGCGTTGCAGTTCTGCAACCGCAGTGTCCGATCTGGTGCGTTCATAGTGGATCATTTGTCAGGTCGGACACAGGACATTCGCGGTGGGAGTGGGATGTGACGGTGACGGAAGTAGTGGGAATATGCTAGCAGCGCAGAGAGGGTAGGAAGTTGAAACTCACGATGCGCGACGTACGCGCTGCCGTACTGGATATAGTGTTTAGCAGCGCGTGCGCAGCGCAGCTAATTCAGCGTTGCTAGTGCATCATGGGTCTTCTGGCCGTTCAGACCGCGATGCGAGCATTTCGACAGGGTGTACCGCAGGACGTCATATCTCTCGTGTCGGTCCTCGAGTCCGAATCACGCTTCAACGTTCTACCATCGGGGTCGTCCGACCGCGCAGGTCGAGAATATCTCGTACGGCGACGCACCGGGCTCGGTGAAGGATAATATGCAATTGGTATGGAGGAAAAACTTTTGAGCGGGAAGCGAGCTTCGTCTAGTCGTCTCATGGTCAACAAGGCTCAGGAGAAGTCGCGTCGAGTCTGTGAAGCCGGCGGGGAGAGACAGGGCTCCGCAGCCGCAAAATGACGTTGGCACAGCCGTGCAGGGGCAGAAGAGAAACGCTGGAGATTGGCTTGAGGAGATCGCGGGTGAGCACAGCAGACTGTTCCTAAGCAGGTCACGGTACGGGGAAGCAGGCAGCGCAGGATGAGTAAGAAGCGGCTGATGGGAGGAGGAAGAGAGGGGGAGAGTTACCAATCCGAGTCTGCGCGCCCGTACGCGCCTGCCGCGGCGGTTGCCGCCCGCGTCTCCCAACAACTTCAGCCAACTTGCTCATCACTGCCAGCCATGGCGCTGACCTGTCCACATCCACAGCCGGCCATCCTCCGACCGAGTCTGAATCCTACCCAGGGGGCGATCCGTGGTGCACGGTGTAGAACGCAAATCTTCCATTTCGGGTCCGACGGCGCCACGCCCAAAAGTTGTCGTGGCGATGCGTACTCGCAGTTTCATTCTCGACACAGCCGAACATGCTGCCCACCTGCAGAATTAACTTCGTGTCCGACGGGGATAGGATCCAGGTCCCTCCCCGGCCGCGTGATTTTCAGGTCCTAACAGTTCGGAGCGAACACCGTTGGGCTCGATGGAGTTCACGCGGCCGAATGATTCCCAGCCCGCGTGTCTACGAGGCTTGTCTTACAATCAAGCAGAATCAACCGCACGCGTATCTTCATCGCCGTGCTCGGATACGGTTGAGATGCTGCCGCGCTTTTCCTGTACATCCAGCCTCTGGCGCTCTTCCTGCTCAACGGGATGCACCGGGTGCGCGGGCGATGCCCTCCCGGTCGGGGTCTGTGGCACTCTGTCTGGTAAGCTGCACCGTTTTTCTTGTTCTTGAACCGGATTCCTGACTGTGCGCACTCCAAATCCGGCTGTGTTCCTCTCGCGTTCTGCAATGCGCTAATCGCCTTACCCATCCCAAATCTGGGCTCCAGAACTGCCTTACTAATCCTCGTCAGACACTGTGTTTGCACACATCCGCTATCCTCACCGCTTTGGGAAACAACGTTCCCTTAGCTAACTTTCTTACAGCATAGTTTCCTCCCCGACCGCCTCCCCTAGCGCCTTGAATAGTCTTCCGAGTCACACAGCGTTTCACGGACCTGGAGTCGATCTGCAGTTATGACGGGGTCTTGCTACAAGGCGCTGCGAAGATGATAAATCTTCCACTCACTTCCACCTCATACCGGAAGCGCACCGACGTATATATACCTGGACTGAGGTACGTCTCCATACAGCAACACACTGCACAAACATTCACAGACATGTCCTCTACCCCCACTAGCACTCGCCCACTGAACAGAGGTGCAGCATGCCTACCCTGTCGCAAGCTCAAAGCGGTAGGCACCTCCTCGTGCCCGACGGCGCTGACTTCCCACTGACGTACGCACCCTTAGCGATGCGATGGAAACAAGCCCGCCTGCGCTCGCTGCGTTGCTAACGGCAGGCCCGACGATTGCGAGTACGCCGTCGGTGGCGAAGTGACCCGTTCGCGCCTCCTCGAAGAGAACGTCGCTCTCCTCGAGGCGAGGATTCGGGAGCTCGAGAACCCGAACGAGACCGCGCCATCAGTGCGACTGCACGATCCCCGACGCCAGGACGCCCCAGCTGCGGGATCATCGCGCGGAGCCGCACCCATAGCTCCGAACACACAAACACTCGTCCCTGGAATACCGCAGCTCGCTTGTGAGTCTTCCGGTGGGCTAACTTTCCATTGTGGATATGCTGACTGACATTCACCCCGTCAGCACCCGGTTCCTACGCCGCGCCTGCACAGCAGGAGGCTCAAACACTGTAGGTTAGCCTTTACTGCCATGCCCGAGCCGGACTGACTCGTATACCCTAGTGTGCAAACTTTCATGGCGCACGCATCTCAGCTCGGCCTCTTCATGAATCCGACCCGATTCATGCGGGCAGCCAGCCTCCCACGTGGGGCGCCCGGGTGCCTCGACGACGCCCTCATGAACGCCGTGTACCTTTGGGGATCCCGCCTGTCAAGCTCAAACACCCTCCGCGGCAGGGAGACGTACTTCTCGGCGAATGCTGTGCAGGCGGCGGCTGCGGGGTGCACCCTCACCCCGCAACCCGGTATGCCGGTGCCCAACCACGTGCTATACTCTGTGCAGACGGCAGTCCTTCTTGCCAACTACTTCCTGTCCGCTGGACGGTTCCTGGAGGGCAAATACCACTGGCTCGCGGCGGTGGCCCTCGTCACAGGGAGCAAACTTCACCAGCTCGATATCGTGGCGCTGGTGGGCGCACGAATGGACCCGATATCCATCGGGGAGCGGGTGCACGCGTTCTGGACGGTGTTCGCCCTGGACAAGGCCTGGTCTGCTGCAATGAATGGGCCACCGTCTATATGCCAGCGGGGACGCGCGGGGATCCTGGTGACGACGCCCTGGCCTCTTGCAACGGAGGCGTACGAACAGGTGCGGTTTCCATCAGGACTTCCCCGAGGCCGCTCGTGCTGATGAACGCGTAGGGGACGATACTTCCGTCTCGCGGTTACAACTATTCTATCCACGACTTCGTGCGCGGTGCGCCGATTGATGAGTCCGCCGATGACTTTTCGCGCCTCGCCATACACGCGAAAGCCGCCGCGCTTTACGAGAGCGCCCTCTACGTCAGCTCACAGTACAGACATGGTGCGTGCGCTGGACGCCTTCCCACATCGTCCCAAAGCGTACATGACTCATCGTGACTCCCCACTTGCTTACAGATATGCCGAACCGCAGCGAGTTTCTAGCCCAATTCACCGCGCTCGACACGCACATCGAAGGCTTCCACCGCCTTCTCGCAGGAATCCGTAACCGCGGCGCTGACGATATGCGCGAGCTACTTACTGCGCGCACCCTGGTGTGTGTCGCAGCCATCCAGCTGCACTCGGCGTTCGCAGCGCAGCAGTCTACCTCGCGACAGAAGTCTCTCCGGGTCGCTATTGCGGCCGCCCGCGCGCTCGACCTCGTCGACTTGAATCAATACCGGCATCTTGACTCAGTGGTCGCGGTGAGCTTCGCGGTGATATACCTTCGCCGTGACAGATGCTGATCCGCCACCGTCAGATGTTGTGGGGCACCGTGGCCAGGGCCCTTCTCGAAGAGATCAGGAGGCTGATACAGAGCGCGGCTCCGGTCAGACAGGAGGATGTCGCGCGGATCACTACGAGCCTCGACAGAGTCATGGGCGCGATGGGCTCCCTGGCATACAACAGCCCGCTGATGGGTGAGTGGTGGCGTGGTACGGGATCGCAACATGCCTGACTAACTTCTGTGAAATAGCCACGCAGCTCACCGAGATCCAGCAAGCACGGGCTTCTCTCAACTGAGCGTTTCGTACTCTATTCCTTGTACCTTAATCGTATGTATGCCTACCATACCCTCGACCTATATGCTGTATCGTTTTCTTGTAGACGTTCCCGCCCTCTCCTTTCTTGCTATCTCTTGATGCATCGTCCATAGATACCTAGTCCAGACACTGGCCATAGACGTACCCCTATATCCTCGATCTTGTATTTCTTGTTCCTTCTGCCTTCACGATACATGCCTAGGCAATATATGATTATTTATTGTACCATCGTGGTCGACTCAGCGTCCACATTGACCTGGACATCATGCTTTTTCTTAGTAATTTTGCTAGTAGCCGCAGTGCACCCTACTTTCCAGCGCTGAGTTCCGCATGCCTGCCAACAGCTCTCGTACTGCAATTAAGGTGCGGTTTGATCGCTTGAGAAGCTCGGCTTTTCTGGTGCATCTGATGCATGGTATTTAGTGTTCAAAAAGAGAACTTACAAGTAATTGGGTATGAGAAAAACAGTAAGTAGTCTACGTTCAATATCCCCGAGAGTCTCATAGCCACGATCTACAACACCTTCCAAATGTGGCACAGCCCCAACTGTGATCGTAGTCGGGACGTCCTTGGGCGCTTAGACGCGTCCGCAACCTCTCTCCGCACTCGTCCTCCGTCCTCGGCCTCTCTCTCCGTCTACGCTGTGCCAACCATCCACAACACTTGATAATCCTTTGTTACCGTCATGGCTTCTCTTGCGAAGCTCACGTCGCTCTCGACCCAGACGCTGTCCCTGCTCCTTGAGCGCCAGCGGCTGCAGAACCTCAACTCGACATCACTCCATACGCCCCAGATTGCGAAGAATCTCGAACAGCTCAGGGCGGGCATTCTAGCTATGGAGGAGCGGGAGGGCCCCTCAGAGGCGTCGCGGTTACTGCGTTCCCAACATGAGCGAATGCGGGGCATGCTAGGTCCGGAGGCGGACGCAGCTGGGGCGCAGAGGTAGGCCGTCTAATCCACCCGTACCGCGTGTACGTGTTTTTAATATCGATTTTATCATAGGTGCGAAGAGCTCCAGCCACCAGCCTCGAGCGCGGATGCTTCGACTTCATCAACGCCGGAGCCAGGCTCCCCGGCCGCTCCCACTCCCCCTACAGCACGGCCCACGTCCTCAGCAGACTCGGGCTATGCGCCATATACCGACGACCCGGAGGCTGGATATACCTCGCAGGATATGCTGCTTCAACAACGGGAGATCATGGAGGACCAAGACGTGCATCTCGACAACCTCTCGCGCTCCATCACACGACAGCGGGACATTTCGCTGCAGATCAACGACGAGTTGGACGTACATACCGGCCTCCTGGAGGGGCTCGATCACGACCTGGACCGGACGGACAGCAGACTCACTAGCGCGAGACGGAGGTTAGATCGCGTAGCAAAGGGCGTGAAGGGGAACGGTGCGTGAATATCTTGTCACCGAATGCGAGCTGGCATTTTGACGCGGCATGTCCGTAGGCTCGACCGTTATGATCGGCGTCCTCATACTCGTGTTGCTCATCCTCATCATTGTGTTCAAGACATGACATTGGACACTCCACAGACCCTCGGCTACGCTCGCTTTGCATGTATGGATATGTACTTCACACCCCACCTAATCCGCTATGATATGGCAATTGACCTGTCTTTGACTACCCGCTTTGAGACGAGGCCCCGGTCGGCCCATACCAAGCTTTCACGTTACCGCTGGTCACAGGCGCGCGGACTTGCCAGCGTCTTTGAACGGCCATGTCTGTTTGAACAACATCCATTTCAAGCCAGGTATCCGACACGATTGCAAGCAAGCCAAAACTCGGATCCGCCTTCCTCACACCATCCCAGGGGTCCCAGGTCACATTCGGCGCACGCCAGGAACTTCAGCCTGCCGCCGCCAGGACCTGCGTGCACAGCTCAGTCTCACAGCCCCCACGATGCAAAGAAAAAAGTCCACATACCCGTCGTCTGCACAGCGCGCGAGAACCCAATATTTTCGAACGCCATGGGGTTGGGCTTCACGAGCCACCACTGCGCAGTCGCCGGCGGGACCGGGAGCACACCCAGGCACTCCGGCAGGGTTTGCCCCGGAAGGTCCAGCTGCACGCTCTCGCGCTCAACCCAGCTCGCGACGCCGCTCTTGAGGATCACGCTGCCGCACCCGGAGCGGGGGCACAACAGGTCATACGTGTTCTCCGGCACGCCCCCAGCGCTGTCTCCGTCGATGTTTGAGACGACGTCTTTCACCGCGTTCGGGAAGGACGTGAGTAGGCGTGCGGCCGGTCGTGTACGCGTCGACGACCGCTGCAACGCCTCCCATAGTCCCGCGGGGACCTCCTGCGCCGCCTCGGATGTTGCTGCTGGCGCGGGTGCCTGGTACGCACCGCGGAGCTCTTTCCGCATCTCGGACCACGCGCGCGCTCCGTGCACGACCATGCTCAGCCCCACATACTCGAACCCGGCCTGCGTGTAGAAGTCGTGCAGCTCGTCGTGCGTGATCAGCAAGATACGCTCGTACCCCGCGCCCTCGGCCGCAGCGAGCTCCGCCTGCGCCACGAACTCCTTGAGGAGGTCGAGGCCGACGCGCTTGCGGCGGTGGGCCGGTTCCACGCAGACGGAGTGGATGCAGATGGACGGCGATCCCGGGACGTGCGTCTCCATGGACTCGGGTGTGAGCTCACTGTCTGGGGAGCATGTCGCGCAGACGTAGCCGATTAGGGTGCGTCCTGTGCCATCGGGCCCGGGGAGGAAGGCCCCGAGGAACAGCTCGGGGGCGTGCGCCTGTCGATATCTGTGCAGCGGTCAGGCGGTGTTGCAGGTAATTTTATCGGGAGTAGGTCGATACCTGAAGGTCTCCAAGCTGCCGGCCTCGTCTGCCGGGTATGCTGCAGTGGAACGGCCGTGTCAGTACGACACTGGGCGGCACAGGCGGACGTGAACAATCACCGCGAGCTTCTATCCCGGCTGCATCTTCCAGCTCCTCCGCGGAAACAAGATCGTAGAAAACCGACATCGCTGATAACTCCGGACAGCTGAACTCGCTCTCGCGATCGGTACCTGCTGCTGCGCGGTATGGCAAGTGGTGGTTGCGGAACAAGCTCACTTGCCAAATGACGCGCATTCACGGCGCGCAGCGCCACGATCCGTGCGCGATCTCCGCAGATCTCGGACTGCGAGGAGGCAATTATCCCAGAGTATCCGGTGCTAGCTGCGACCTTTGAACGTGATTGTCTGCCGATGTCGAGTCAAGTCGGGGAACACGCACAGCGTCGACCGATACTTGATGTTGCGGATCGATCGTACGAAGAAGTTGCAGATAGCACGCGGGGAGATGACCAACGATACAGTTTCATCCTGCGCGAGCGTCCATGCGGGTGCGTGTACATGATATACTCCGGACACGTAAAAGAACAAACAGACAACAGACAACAAGCGAACGAACGGGGGACCAGTGGTGTACTTGTAACTTAGCAGGCGGCCGATCTGCGAAGTGATCGACGCCTCAACGAGGCTGGCAAGAGGGTGGTGCAGGAAGGGGCCGTTAACTTAGGTAGAGAGGGGAAGCGTACTGATACAAGAATCCAGTGACGCGAAGGCGCGGGAATGCGATAGGTTAGAGGAGCGGGGGGCGATGACGTGGGTGGGCAAGAACGAAAGAGAAGGGAATAAGGGCGACTTGGTCCGAGGTAACAGGACAGCGTCGAAGGAGGAAAGATGGCGTGTGCGGCGCCAGCGCGGGAACAGGGCAGCCTAGCCCATGACGCTCGGATAGCTCACGCTCTCGCTGAGGTACTCGTTCCCGGGGTTGTACGTGAACCCGCGGAACTGATCCTGCACAGTCTCCGAGAGCGGCGTCGCGTCGACGTGCGAGTCCTGCGGCTTCTCGCCCGTGAACTCGGGGTCGAAGTTCGCGACATCCAGCACGGATTCCTATAACGCGCATGCGGCCCGGTCAGCCAGAGCTATTCTCGGACGGAGGCAGTATGGCCGCAAGATACGCACCACGGTGGGCTTGAACGACGGCTGGATCTTCTTCGCCATGAGCCTAGACGCGACGATGACGCAGAAAGCTCGTCAGTCCTCGTCCTCATCCACATGCTCCAACTGCCCACGGGGGCAGAGTTTGTGAGACGTACCGGTTCCAGTCGATATGCTTCGAGAAGAAGGGGTGGCGCTTGATCTCCTCTGCGCCGTTGCACCCTAGGCGCTTCGTCGGGTCGCGGTGCAGGAGGCCCGTGATCACGCTCTTTGCATCTGGCGGCATGTCTGGCGGGAAGAGCAGAGGGTCCGAGAGGATGCGCTGATACATCACGTTCACGTCCTCGTCGTAGAACGGCGGTAGGCCGGTCTGTAGCATGTTAGTCACCGTGCGTCAGAGCGTATTAAGACGGCGCGCCGAGCGCACAGTGACGCACCATCATCTCGTACAGCAGCACGCCGAGCGTCCACCAGTCCACCGTCTTCGTGTACCCCTGGTTCATGAGCAGCTCTGGTGCGATGTACTCCGGCGTCCCGCAGAAGGCTGTGTATGCCAAAGCACGACCGTAAGCCAACGCACATAGGCACCTACTTGCGCCGCCCAGAAGCTGTGCACGCACTGTTCGTCTTCTCGGTCTCTGACATATTCAGCTTACACAGGCCGAAGTCACAAAGTGCAATGTGGCCCGTGTAATCCAGCAGGATGTTCTCGGGCTTGAGGTCCCTGTGTCATGCGTGAGCGTGGTGTGAACATAGCGTAATCGGGTGGCTTACCGATACACGACATTGAAGCCGTGCAAGTGTTCGAGCGCGCACAGAAGCTCGGCAGCATAGAAGCGACTCCGCCCCTCGTCGAACTTGCCTTCGCGCTGCAGATGGTAGAAGAGTTCCCCGCCATTCACTTCGCGAACACTATCAGCCGGGGATATCACTCGCCGGCGCGCACACGCTGCACGTACCGAACGACATCACGAGGTAGAGTTTGTCGGGGGTCTGGAACGAGAACTTGAGGGGCACGATGAACGGGTTGTTCACGAGCGCGAGCACGGTGCGTTCAGCCAGGATGTGGGTGATCTCGCCCGGGCGCGACGCGATGTTCGCCTTGCGGATGGTCTTGAGTGCGTATATCCGCTGGGTGTCCTTCTTGCGGACCTGCATGACCTTGCCGAACGAGCCCTTGCCAATCAGGTTGAGCAGATCAAACTGCTCGATGGTCAGCGACTCGTGGCGCGCCGGCTTGAAGTCGATCTTGAGGTGGAACGCGCCCGAGCCGGCGGTCGCGTTGTACCATTGATCTGAGGCGTGCTATATCCGAGCGAGTCCGCGGCCAATGGGGGGCATAGGCGGGTGCAGTGGCGGCGGCGACGATGTGGCGAGAACAAGGGATGGCAAGTACAGTCAACACGGGCGGGCCCGACGGCGTTAACGATAAGCACCACTCACATGGCCGTCCAAAACAGGTGTGAGGTCCACACGGGCGATGAGAATATCGTTGCCCATGTCCTCCTTGCCGCGGACAGATTGGTTTGTGCGCAGGTACGCGGAGACGGAGACGTTCGATGTACGCGACACATCGCTGGAAGACATATTCGTGAGCGACGATCATGAATGACGTGGGCCAAGATCGTACAAGTCTGCGCGGTAATTCCACTCGGGCTTGGAGAGATCGCCCCCTAGAGCCTCGACGAGGATCTCGTTTTTGTCGAACTCCAGCACGACGTACGGCAGCCACCAGTACTGCTTGCGTTGCATGCTGTCGCGGTTGCTCGTCGACTTGCGGGCGGGGGGAGAGGATTCAAGGGCCTTTTGGATGCTATCCGGTACGGGGACACCATGGGGTAGTGCCAGACCACGTCCTGCAGCCACAATGTAAGGCGATCGACGCGTCGGTCGGCGAGCGCGGAGGGGACATACCAGAGAAGATACGGATGGTAAGGGTACCCGAACGGAATGTGTTCTCCACACCATCTGGGGGCTTGGGGGTGACCGAGCGAGAGGGGATGGGGGTCACGGAGCGCGACGCGCCATTCTCCTTCGAGTCTTTTGATTCTGCGGGGCAAACGTCAGCGAGAGGTGCGATCTACCAGCCCACGGTGCGCACTCTTGGAACCGAGCTTCCAGGACATGGTGGTGGTGGGAGGGAGGGATGCGAGATGAGCGCTGAGCGCGCGCTCTCAAGGAGGGAGACGGGACGAGCGCCGGATGGTCGTGGTCGGGAAGAGAGTGCTTTGTGATCCCGTCTGCTCGCACTCGTCCATCTCGATCCTCTCCTGCTTCCCGCACTCACCCCCGCTCGCCGTCCACGCTCGCGATCTTATCGTCTGAGTTCCTCCTTCATTTCGGCCCAACTTGCGTGCTTTGTGTCCACGGCCCCTATCTGCGCCCCATCATCGCTCACGAGTGGGCACTCGCTCCGACTCTCATCGGCATGCCGGGAGCCGCGCTTGCCTCCGGTCTCCCCGACGTGCACTGAATGAACTTCGAATATACCGCTCGTCTGTCTATCGCTTCGCTAGTCCTCAGCTGCTAGTCCTGAGCGACGCGCCCTCTGTCGTGCGCCGTATCACGTCTCAAGGCAACGGACGACGCTAAGTGGGCCCCTGTCAGCTTCGGAGGCACTCGCAGCGGTGATGTGCGATATATAGGTCTAATAGCGTGCCATAAATCGTAGCTAGCGCAGCGCTCGTGCACATCATCGCGTAAGCTTCCTGCGCTCACCTATCGTACCCCCAATGCCATGCAGCATTTCTATAGGCTCGCGTCCAACGGCGGGACATGGCATACGCGACTAGTGCAAGCGGGACGCGAGGCATCCTTCCGAACCGCTGGTGCAGTGATTCGCGCTACCCCAGTGCGTTCTTTTGACAAGTCAGACAGACGAGGATTTGCACGTCCCAGCGTTATGGCATGAACTGGCGCAGCGCCGGCGCACATCATTTTGTCAATCTCCTGCACTCACACACACGAGCGTCCTTCCATGCGACACGTCCATAGATTCATGCCCGGAGATACAATGACCGTTCATACTGCGGTCTGCTTCCCTATATGCGAGCCCGCCGCCTCCCTGGATGCACGCAGCATCTCCCATAACGTCTTCCCCACCACCCCAGGCCCGTCGTTGCGGTTGTCTGCTCTCCGCCAGTAGTCGTCCACGATGTTCTTGTCTAGCAACCCCGTGGAGGAGCGTGCCTTCACGATCTCCTGCGTGATCTTCGTGTGGAACTCCGGATGGCCCTGCACCGTGAAGATGTGCACGTCTGCGGGCGAGAGCGAGTCCGGCGACGCGCCCGGATACAGCTGCACCATGCCCTGATTCAGAGACACGGGCGTGGAGCCTAGGAGATGGAAGGAAGGCGGGACATCTGGTACGTGGTCGCGGTGCATCTGTTCCAAGTTCTGTGTACCCAGAGGCGTCGTCAGCTGCCGTCTGGTTTGGGTGCAGAGGAAGGAGTCTTACCAGTCCAGATACGCCGAAGAGCTTCTTGCCGATGTCCGTCAGTCCGATCTCGGTCACTCCAATCTCCCATTTCCCGTCGTTGGGCACGCACTCACCGCCCAGTGCGCGCGCGACGATCTGGTGCCCGAAGCATATCCCTGTACATCGTCATTAGCACCCGTAGTGGGACTGCACGCGAGCAAAACCCACCGAAGATGCGGATATCCGGCTTTTCTTTGGCCAGAAAGCGAACGTACTGTATGAGTTTGTTGATCCATTCTAAGTTCTCATACGCCGATGCCGCTGCACTACACTATTAGTGATCGACGGCGGACGATTGGCCATATGTCGAGACTTACATGACCCTGTGAGCAGCACTGCATCGTACTGATCGACATCCTCAGGGTACACTTGTTCGTTTCTGATGTCGTACGCATCCACTGTGAACTCCGCGTCCGGGATGCTGGAGGATGGGAGGGAGTTGCGAAACAGCTTCTCAAAGACAGCCCCGTAGTTTCCATTTGCAGCGAGGATAGCCGGAAGAGGCGTATCACAGAGCAGAACGGCGATCTTGTATGGTCTTGACGCTGACGACATGGTGGTAACAGTAATAGTGAGATAGTATTGTGAGGCTCTCCAAGTCCGAGAAACGGAGGTCGGCGGAGGCTGGCGCTGACTCGATCGCGCCGGACTTGAGCGATTACGACACAGGCTAGCTTGATGGCGCTAGCCCGTATTGGGTACTTATATCGCGGTGCAGGATGACCGCTGTTGCTCAACGACCCCTTGCTGGAACGGTGCCTCCGTTGGCTATGTTTCCGTTTGTTTAACGAACTAGCTTCGCTGAGAATCTGGGGCACAAGTCATGATCATACTATAGCGTGCATAGGCTGATTCGTGCGTTCCTGTCCTTCTCGTGGTTGGCGCGTTCACGCTCTACAGCTGCACCTTAAGGAATCCACATACATATAGCAGATATACTACCTTGTACATAGCGCGCGTCTAGTATGCCGCGCTCAGGCGTTGTGCATCCCGACGCGTTTTGCCAAGATTGTTATCGACCTGGAGTATTTCCGGGAAGCACGGAGTGAGGGCTCATTATCTCTACCAGATCATCTCGCCCGATCGGACGGTACGTACATCGCTCGATATGGGCAGCCAATAGCCGCCTTACCTCCTCCCATAACCACGTGAATGGCTATGAGCAGTTGCTCACTTGTCGCCAACTTGTCTGCTCCGTCCATGTCTCTGGTGCGTATGTTATCTTCACAGGAGTACGAATGCTGAAGCTATCTTGCAAGATACGATCCTCCCATTCCGTATATTTTCCCTCCGAGTGCACTAGGAAGAGGGATGATGAAGTCTCAGACGCCCTGACTCCTGCAGCTCCAGCCTAAGGTGCTTATCTCGCTTCTTGCAGTCACTGCCCACGCCTTCAAGAACGTTTGCGATAAGTGCGCGAGCGTCCCAAGCTTCCGATGGCCCTCTCCATCGCCTTGCCTATTCCAATTGGCCGCTGCTGCCACAGATAAGCGGGACTCCGAAGGAATCTGCAGATTCCGGGGAGTTTTAGTGGCCTTGAGCTTCTTATAAACGCTAGGACAGCTGCCGGCAGGAAGACCGACCTTCTCTCTCTCCTCTCGCGACTTCTTTGCTGAAGTGGGAGTCACGGCGGGCGGCTTTTTCTGACGCTCTACCTGGACGGATTTTACCCATCAACCGACGCTAAGAGATGTCTGGAAACGAGCCTATACTGCCGCAAGGAGCGGGTTACGGTGTCGGTGAGTACACATCTTTACGGTCCATGGAATCATCCTGATTCTCCCTCCAGTCGTCGGTATGTACCACTCTTGATCGCGTGCCGGACGAACACGCCTGAGCGCAGCCAATAGGCATCGGCCTGTTCTTCAGCGCGTTCATGGTGGGCCTCACCGCGATCCAATCGCGGTACACCGGTTTCTCCCCCAAGAACTCCGAGGAATTCAACAGCGCGTCGAGAAGCGTGAAGCCAGGTCTGATTGCATCGGGCATCGTGTCTGCGTGGACTTGGGCGGCAACACTGGTCAGTACCTTCCTACTGAGTTGGTTATATGTGGTGCTCGAGTCGCTAACACGTGGAATACAGTTGCAATCTAGTGCCGTCGCATACAAAGATGGGATCTCGGGACCGTGGTGGTACGGATCCGGTGCCACGGTGCAGGTCCTACTCTTCGCTCAGGTACGTTCTCTATTGCCATCGTACACTCAACAAGATGCCAACATACTCTATAGTTGGCCGCAAAGCTCAAGCTGAACGCGCCGCACGCGCATACATGGCTCGAGATCGTCGCAGCGCGATGGGGCACCGTCGCGCACCTGGTGTTCATGTTCTTCGGACTCGCGACGAACGTTATCGTGTCTTCCATGCTCATCCTTGGAGGTTCGGCGACGGTGAACTCGTTGACTGGGATGAACACGATTGCCGTGAGTATTTCACTGCTCTTAATTTTAGCATGCCGTCTGACATAACTTGCCAGGCGTGTTTCCTGATTCCCCTTGGCGTCGCTATCTACGTCGTGGTTGGTGGAATGCGCGCGACTCTGCTCTGCGACTAGTAAGCAGCTCACGCCTCCGTTCACGGCACACGCTCATCGACCTACAATCATGCAGCACACACACCGCTGTTCTGTTCGCGATCATCTTTGTCTTCGTATTCACCGTATACTCCACGAGCGACAAGATCGGCAGTTTCTCGGCGATGCACGCGCTCCTGACCAAAGCGTCGGAAGAGGCACCTGTCTCGGGCAACGCAGGAGGGTCCTACCTCACCATGCGCTCAAAGAACGGCCTCATCTTCGGTGTCATCAACGTCATCGGGAACTTCGCCACCGTCTTCCAGGACCAAGCTGTAAGTCATTAACTGCCGGAAACTATGTTTAGTAGATCGCTCATTTACTTTGTCGTACGCTGCAGTACTGGCAACGCGCAATTGCCAGTCGCCCCGCATCGTGCGTGAAGGCGTACCTACTCGGAGGCATCGCCTGGTTCGCTATCCCCTTCATGTTCTCCACGACGCTCGGCCTGTCCGCCGTCGCGCTTCGCGGGGACCCTGCGATGCGCACGCTCTCCGCCGCAGACGTCTCCGCTGGGCTGCCCGCATCGGCCGCGGCCGCTGCGCTCCTTGGAAAGTCCGGTGCCGCAGCGCTGCTTATTGTGCTGTTCCTCGCGGTCACGTCCGCTACGTCTGCGGAGCTCATCGCGGTGTCGTCGCTCTTGACGTACGATGTGTACAAGGTAAGCTGTAAGCTCCACTATGTCGCGTTTGCTAGGTGCTGATATTCCGGGTTGCCAAGAAATACTTCAACCCGCAAGCGACCGAGGCGCAGATCCTCAAGGTCTCGCACGCGATGGTCGCGGTCTTCGCCGTAGTCATGGGCATCCTTGGTCTTATTTTCTTCTACATCGGCATTTCCATGGGCTGGCTCTACGTACGTATTTTCCTTTTTTCCAAGTGCCCGAGGGTGTTCGGGGCTCACCAAAGATCGTTATGCAGGAGTTCATGGGTGTCGCACTGGGGTCAGCAGTCGTGCCCATCGCGATGTGCATCACCTGGAGCAAGGCGAACAAATGGGGTTCGATTTGTGGAGCAATCATCGGCTTTTGCGCGGGTGTCGTTGCGTGGCTTGTCACGACCTCCGCCCTCAACGGCGGCGACCTCTCCGTCACCGTACGTCTACGTCACTTGTTCACATAGTCATTTTGCTCATATCCGTCACAGACGACCGGTGGAGACTTGGAGATGCTCGCAGGTAACCTCGCGTCCATCGGTGTCGGTGGAATCATCACGATCACGACCTCTCTCATCGTGAGTGGCCGATGCCGCCAGTCCGCTAGATTACAATGATGCTGACACACCTTGATCCTTAGTGGCCCGACAACTTTGACTTTGAGGCCACGCGCGCGATCAACCGCCCCGTCGCTGTCATACACGAAAAGGGCACATCCCAGCGGTCCGGGTCTATCGACGACTCTGCTAGCGAAAAGAAGAGCGCGGCCGCGGACGTCAGCCTTGCACCTGTGTCATCCATTTCCGCCGCCGCCGCTGCCGCAGAGGAGGAACGCGAGCTCGACCCCATCGCGCTCATGAAATCCTTCCGCCTCGCCGCGTGGTCTTCCGTCATCCTCGTGCGTGAACCGTCCTCCACTCACCTTCTGTGGGTGTACCGAATGATCGTGTGTTGACGATAATGGACAGACTCTGATCATGCTGATCCTCATCCCGCTCCCGCTCTTCTTCGCGCAGACGGTGTACGGCGTCCGCGGGCTCACTGCTTGGGTCGTCATCGGCATGCTCTGGGCGTTCTGCTCCGCGATCGCGGTCGTGCTCTACCCGCTGTGGGAGAGTCGCGTGGCACTCAGCACTATTAGCCGGGGAGTTATCAAGGTGCGTCCACCGCTTTCTTGGCTGCTTCAGGTCCGGTTTGACTAACTGTGTTCTTAATCTGCAGGATATCTTCACGAGGGGCGGAGGGAAGTTCGTGGAACGTCCCGTACAACCCGCCGCATGAAACACGATTTATAGACGACTGTAGAGCACGAGACAAAACGTATCATGAACGAACGAATCTGTAATGTTCAAGAACTGTTGTATATTTCTATCATTTTTCAATCCAGAACTACCCCTTTGTTTCTTGCAATTTTGAGGTCGATAGTTCACGGACCGCAGTTGAAAATAATTCGATTGCCTGTGGCCGATTCGACTTCTTCTAGTCATTCTCTGCCAGTGTGAATTCTTGAAGAACAGTTTGTCGATTTGACGTTCTCGTGTCCGTTTGCGAAGGTATTTCACAGTCTCGCGCGCTCGTGACGTGGAGTAAACTTGCTTGGTTGAGTTGCCGAATCACATGTATGGGGCTCGGTGTCGAAGCTTGGCGTGGAATATCATGGGGGCGTCGATGTCTTTATTGCGTTCTGCGATGTCGAATGTCACGGTGTGTCTTCGGTCGTTACCTGACGACATCTGCGTGGACCTCTTGCTCTGAACTGAAGAAAGTTGACACATCGATGTCTTTGCTGAAGTGAGTACTTTTCCCGGAACGGTTGTTTTTCTTGTCTGGGTCGAATTCGTTGCGGTGATGTATGACTTTGTAGCGCCAACTGGTGAAACTTCTTGGTAACTTCGCGAACGTATGCGTGCGCCGGTGGGTGTCATCCCGTCGATCACGGCGCCGTGTTGTATAGTTGTTGGAACCACATGCGAGATACTTCAAGTCGCGGCTTTGTAGTTGTATATCCTGGTTGATGCGTTAGCCAATGCATTGATGGTGCCCGTCGCGATTGCTGTCTTCGGCCGCATTTCTCCCCGTCAGGTGAACTCATGGCACCTCTGCGACCAAGTATTTGCAAAGCCACGGGTCGACTTCTTCGCAAATTCCCCATCGTAGTGCCCGTGAAACGGCGTCTTTTCCTCGGCGGAATTAGAGAGCCATGGCCAAAGTTCGACAAAGGTATCGGGAAGTGGCTTCGCCCGCTCTACTTTGAGATCCATTGGAGTACTTGTAGTTTCGTTGTCACGTTGACGTCGTCCCTTTCGCGGCGGCCTCCTGAGCGGCACCATGCAATAGAGCGTAATAGGTCGAGATGCTCGGAGGAATGCTAGTTGAAGGTAGGCCCGCCGCCGCAAGCTTGTGAAAGACGTGGGCTTCGGGGGGAGGTGCCGCGTGGAAGAGACCTCAAGTCGCAGCGTCAAAATGCCGCATTTAGTACGTGTTCGCCATTGTTACGATATGTCCCCGCTAGTGCTTCTGTCGTGTTCTTTGTGGATAATGCGAGTTTGTGGTGCCGCCATGTTCACGTGCGTAGCTCGCGAAGAGGTCCAGATTATGTGGCTACCATGGCCCGGGATGGATGGAATGAGTTCCCAGCGTGGACGTCCGTGCAGTTCGATGTTTGATTGAGGCGTACGGATGTGGCGTCGTGCCCGATAGAGACTGTCCACGCCGCCCAGCTCGAGGTGCACCGGCAGGTTGACTGATTCTGCTCGTGGGCGTGCACGCGGCGATGGCATCATTCAAGAGGTCCGCGTTCACCTCAACGATCGACGTGGGAAAGCCGGACTGTGGGGGGAGAGGGATCATGGTGGCGACGCGGTTGTAAGCCCCCACCTGGTCAGGGCGATACCGCCGACGCCCTTTGTGAGGCACGCGCGGTAGCGGAGGAGGTGGATGCGACGCGGGTGGCGGTGGGGAGAGGTGGAACGGGGATGTGGCGTCACAATTGGCACATGTGGCGACGGTCTACAGTGCCCGATTTGAGGTACATCGGTAGACACTCTGCGACATGGTTCTCCCATAGCATTTCAAAGCGGTGGAAGGATGGTGGTGGTCTGTGTTTGCATAGACAGGCGATGTGGCGAGGTGATGTGGGTCGAGACGCGCGGTGGCGAGCAGGTGGCGGGCGGAGCATCGGTCGTTGACTGCATGATGTAACCGTTTGAGACGCATGCGATGATGAGAAAAGGAGGGGGTGCTTCATGGTCCAGGACAAGAGTGGGGTGCTTCCGTGGGAGGTGCGCTCGGGGCTTTATACCTGTACCCCGCGGTTCGCACTCCGCCGCGAGTTTCCGGTCAGCCACCATTGTGACCTCCCGTATCCGGCCAACTGTTCGGTCCTTACGGCGTCGAACACAACCAACTTCACGTTTCTGCCGAAGATGTGAGGCTAACCACTAGTGCGCCGGGGGCGAAGTACCCCTCCTCCGACGCCGCTAGATCCTCGAGAGGATGTGGCGTGGACTTCCGGCTCCGTATTTCACCTCTCGATCGATCCGATCTTCCCTGCGCTGCTCTGTTGACGGTGATTGAGACGCATGGCAGGGTGAAGAGAGGACCTCGACGCCACAACGGCGTTGTCGGAGACGTGCGCCACATCCCAACGTTGACGCCGACGCGCGACGCGCCGTGCACGTGACCGTAGCGCTGTGGCCCGACGCCTTGCGAGGCGCCCGCAGAAGGCTGGCACGCTTTCTCCTGCAAAACCTTGGAGAACGGTTTTGGTTAGGCGTGGTACAGGAAGAGTAAGAGTTGTGCAGGGGCGGAAGGCCATAGCTGCCAGCTATATATTAGCAGGAAAGAAACAAACACAAGACGAACGAACTGACCGGGAGAACCGGTAGGGAAACAGCTGATGCTACAAGAGATTTGCAGTCCTGCGATGCAAAGGGCGTCGTTGTTTGCTCTTGAACCTTCATGATGGTATGGTACTGGGGGAGTGAACTGGCTGTTGGAACTGCATGCGTACACTCACTTGTAAAGTCAATCGAGGCAACGCTGGAACCACCGACGCTCAAGCGGGCAAAACATCATACAGCGACTGCACCGTAAGGATACACAATGGCGTACACAATACTCTAGCAGCAACACAGCGCAACACAACACAACATCTGTCACCTCACGCGGCTTGCGCGCTCCCCCAGGCGACCTTCTTTCCGCCTGTCCGGGTGGGCGGGGCGGCGGGCGTTGCCTCCGCGCCCTTGGCAGCTGCATCGGTCGGCTGGCTCGCGGCGGCAACCTTGGGTGCGATGGGGAGGGGCGCGTTACGCAGGGTGTCGAGGACGCGCTGCGCGTGCTCAGTGTTGCGGATGAACCAGCCCGCGTAACGCCTGCCGACAGTGGACTCGGCGATGTGCACCATGTTCTGCAGAGGGCGCCGTTTGCGTCAGTCGAGCAGAAACAGCGAGGGGACACGGAAGACGCACGTCGTTGATGACAAAGTCGAGGTCGCTCGTGGAGATCATCTGGCCCTCGAGGAGGCCCTTCTCGTTCTCGACGCGACTCACGCTCCGGCTCGCCTGCTTCATGACCATGAGCTGCTGCACCATCTCCTCCTCGTCCGCGTCAAGGAAGTTCGCGAGCTTCGCCGCGTCCAGACTTGTGTACAACTTCAGGAAGCTACGCAGAGTCGGCACGGGTGCCTGCGCGCGGACCTCTGCGATGAAGAGCGCCAGGTGCCGCTGCGCGGGCTCCTGTGGGGGTTCATCGAAGAATGCGCGTAGCGCCTCCGCGTCATCATACGGCGGCGGGTTTGCGGCAATGAACTTGGGGCACGCGTACAGGAAGAGCTCCTCGAACGCAGGGATGCCCTCCTCACTGCCAACACAACCGTCAACATCACACATCTTGCACAGAGACAAGCTCCGCGCAAACGCCACACCACTCACCCCCTGGACATCTTCGTGAATTGCTCGCCATACCGCTCCTTCACGATGTTGGAAATGTTGTCGTCCACACGAGTGGGCGAAAGCGCGTTGCAGATTGCAAAAAGCGCATACATACGGTCAGCAGTCTTGTTGATCTAAGGGAAACGCGTGAGCATTGCCGCGGTGTCAAAGGCTCGCGTACGTACCTGGTCGTACTGATAACTCCTTGTGTGGTATTGCCGCATTCGGAGGATGAAGTTCAGGATGGAGACGAATGCCCGGATGGCATCCGGATATCTCCTGAGCATGATGTAGCAGAAGCCGACGTAGTAGTATGTCGTGACATGGCAAGCCGTCACTCGAGTGAAGGGAGCCTATTGATAGACGAGTCAGTTGTGTTGTGTGCCGTGTTTCCAGGCGTGCCGAATACCTTCTGATTGAGCTCTACACTCTCCATCACCTTCAACGCAAGCGTGAAGTCGCCCAATAAGCTGTGTACTCGGAGCAGACCGATAACGCTAAAGTAGCCGAGGAGTTTGTATAGCGGGCGCGTGCCGTACTCTCCTACGATCTCCCTAAACAACGCCGTCAGAGTCAAACGTGTACGGCCAGTTAGTAAGTACTCACGCGATCTCTTCTGCGCTCTTGCCTTCCTGAAGAGCGACAAGGTGCTCGTTGATTTTGGATTTTTGGATCAGGGAGTAGAGCACGTTCAGAACACTGTACGAACTCCAGACCTGCGGCACGAATCAGCCACGATCACCCCAGGAAGAACGACGTAACTCACCTGGCTTCCTTCCGAAAGCAGAGACAGTTCCTCCTCGGTCTTCGACTTGACCTTGGAGCGCCATACGCAGAATGACTGGAACTGGTAGATGAACTCGTCGATGATGTCCCACAGCCACTGTTCGGGTAGCTCCAGTGCGACAGGCCCGTCGGAGTCTGTTGAAACCGATTAAAACTAGTATGCGCAACACATATGATGATCGTACTCAGCAAGTAGTTGAACAGTTCGCAGCTATTCTCGTACGAGTGGAAGCGATCGTCGATGTCCGGGCTAAGTCTTGAGTAGACATGACGGTAGTAGAGTTCGCGGTAGAGGATCAGGAATATTTGGTCTGCACGTGTGGGGAATAAATATCGATGAGATAGAGCGAAGCGCATTCTGCCACTGACCATCGTTGACCAGCGGTGCGATGACTTCTGCCTCCGGCCATTCGGTCTTGGCGTAGTACTTCTCGGTCAACCGATTCCAGCCGCTCTCGTAGGCGACGGTGATTTCGGCGAGGTTGTTCTCGAGGACAGCTTGGTGGAAGTGGGCGATAAACTGCGAGCATATTGGCATCCGTGCGCGTTCTGATACTGCTCCTGGTACTCACGCGTTTTACGACGTCAGGGATCTGGGCAAAGGCGGCTTGCTGAACCATCTGCTGCTGCATCACAAGCAAGGCGGCCTCGTCGATCGTCGACTGTGCTAACGGATGGTTCGCTCAATATCTCCCCGTCGCAAAGTTGACCATAGGATGCCCACCGTCATCGTAGTTGCCGCTCTGGGCGTAAGGGCCGATGGCGAGGCTGAGATCCACATCCTGGAGGTCTTCGTCCATGTCTGCCTCCCATACTTTGCGTTGTTGAGCCATAGTGACACGAGCACACAGAAGTAATGTGAAGCGTAGAGGGCTGGGGACGGGTTAAGCAGTAGCAGGTGCGGTCCGACTGCAAAAATTCAGACGTCCGCACAGTGCCCAGTCTCTCGGCACCTCAGCGCTCACCAGACCTTGCTGCATTTGAACATTACTACTTATGGGATTGGCGCTTATGATGTACTCTTTTAGCGCTCATGGGCCTTCTCCTCTTGCCTGACCTCAGGCACTCCTCAGGCTGAGCCGCTGTACTGCACACTCTCTGAGTTTTCCACTTGTGTCACCGGGTCACTCTATCTGCTGAGGTAGTCCTCGTTTGTGCCTGGAGCTTGTCGGCCGTTTAATCATCTGTTGTCTGGCTTTACGGTTTCTACACGTTGGTAGCCCGCTTGTCTGCCAGCCATGTCCTGTACCAACCTTGTCCGGACTGCAACGCAGAACAAGCAAGCGTTGTCGCATGCTCGTAACATCGCTCATGAGTCGGGTCGGTCACGATCGGTACGCCATGCGAAGCACCCTATTTATTCGCCTCCAAAGCCAATTTACAGTTGACAGGCAACTGGAGACATGCCAGGCCCATCCAGACGTGGTATCCGACCGCGTAAACACGACGACGCCGTAACCCCCCACCTCGACCCGAACAAGATGACCTCAACTTCGATAGCGCACTACTACAAGTCGGCAGAAAGTTTCCAGCAAATTCGTGCTAACATCCATTTGAACCGGGAATATGTGGGTGCTGACCACTGACCCGCCTTAATCTTGTCGCTGCTCACATTGCACTACAGAAAGGCCCGAGTACGAAGCCAATCAGACCACGGTCTACTTCGGATTCGATAAGCAACGGAGTCAACAAATCTACAGGCGCAACGGTGTCCGAGACCAAGCCACCTTCTCGCATAGTATGTGTACACTACCGTCTCGTTGCTCCGTTGCTTATCCGGCCTTCTTCAGCTCTCCTCAGAGGCTTGGCAACAGACCATGGAGAGACGAAAAGAGCGTGAGGAGACGCTGAAGAGGTTGACACAACTCATCCGGTTTCACTACGGAGATACATACGACGCCCGCCCATTCGGCAGCACCTGCTACGGCGCCAGCAGCAGCACGAGTGACATCGATGTGGTTATAATCGTAAGCGGTCGATCGAGCGAGGCTGGACTGGGCTAACGACCAATGCCTTCAGGATGCTGATCGACCATACGGGATCCCAGCTGGTGATAAAACGGCTTTGCCTCGTATGTAGCTCACGGCAGTTCTCGTGGTGACTGCTCATCGCGTTTGTTAGCCATATATGATGTTAGGTAACGGACAGTCCGCCGCGACCTTCTGTAAACCCAAGTGCTCAACGAGTGTTCTAAGACGGCTGGCTAAGTTGCTCAAGGAGGAAGGTTACAAATCCGTTTCCAGCATACCCTACGCCGCAGTTCCTCTCGGTAAACTTCTTAGGTCCCTTCGATGTGAATGAGACGCTCGCTGACGTTTGTCCCGCCAGTGAAACTCACGGATCCCGATACCGGCATGTCATGCGACGTGAATATAAACAACCGGCTGGGTGTGTTCAACACCGCGCTCCTCCGCCAGTATTGCCTGCGCGCGCCGAGTCTCGCGCGCTACCTTCGCACCATCAAGTTATGGGTGAAGTCCGTCGACCTCAACAATCCCTCCGGGGAGATAGACAAGGGGCCGCGCTCCTTTAGTAGCTATGCGATCACGCTCATGACTGTTGCGTACTTGCAGGTGCGCCTCCGCGCACGTTCATCATACGTGTGCATGCCCCTAATCCCACACAGAGTACTGGACATTTGCCGAATCTGCAAGCAGACCAAGATGTGATCGTGGACACGCATTTTTGGGAGCATCGCCTCGGCACGCGACGCTCGGTCCCAATTAGCTTTGGCGCGTGCAAGCGCGTCTCTCCAGCTCTCCAACGCCGTCGCACACTCCTGCTGAAACCTCTTCAGTGTTGGGGACGCGATATGGTATGTGCAGTTCTAGAGGTCATAGCGCGACTTCAGCATCAGGTTATACGCTGAGATGAGCGGAGCGACGCGACGCACCCGGGAGGAAAGTGGGTCGAGGACAACGATGCTGCCCACGTCGTGCGAGTGCCTTTTGACATGGCCCCACTCCAGCGGGGGCTTCTTGGGGCGCGGGATGAAGCCGCCATCGCGTATGCTTATCACCCGCTCCTTGAAGTCGAACTCGTGTGCCCAGAACCTATGCCGTCGGAAGAGACAAGGGGGGGGGGGGTTGAGTTGTCAATCTCGTGGCACGGCATATGCAGCAATATAACTTACCGTAGCCATGCCTGGAATGTGGGCGGGCGAAGCCATTGAGGGCGCACCCAGTCGATCGGAGGAGAGGAGCGGCCAGCACCGGCAACACGGCCGACTCTCTTAACATTGACGCACCTTTTAGGCCCGCATGGTAATTATCATATACTCCTTTGGATACAAAGCATAAGCGATTTAGATGGAGCGCGAGACCGAATGTGTGGATTGGTGACCCAGTCTGACGCGGGCAGACAGTTAGAGCCTCGATGTTTGACTGCATATGAATCTCGTCCGTCTGGGACTCGTGGACCACTCCTCGGCCATGGTACGCATGCACATGTCATAGTTAGCAGCACTACTTCCGCCCACATGTATCAGAGTCTCGTGGCAGGGTCTGTCTCGTCCGTGTCTACTTCCGTCGCTACTTCCGTGACTTCTTCTGTTTCCGCTCTTTGCGCTTTCGCCCAATTAGTGAACCGACATTGCTGCTTGCCTTTTCCTCGCCTTTCGTCGGCGAGGGTGCCACGGGCTGCTTGGGTGTGTCTGAGACACGGCGCTTCTTCTTGAGGGGGGCCTGTTCAGCATCCTCGTCCTTGACGTTTGGCAGAGACTGCCGACGGTGCTTCTTATCACCACGACCCTGGAAAATTGTCAGCAAGGACGTCAACACAACAACTCCAGGGCAGCAGAGCACAAACTGACCGCTTTCTCGTCTTCAGCCTTAGCACCTTTGGTGCCCTTGGTGCCCCTCGTATCCCTCCCGCCCTTCGCATCCCTCATGCCCTCGCCCGTCTTCTGCCCCTTCTGCAGAGCCGCGCGCCGTTGGACGACCTGCACGTTCTCAATGGAAAACTCGACGATGAGCGTACCACGGCTCTTTGGTAGCTCCTCCTTGTCCAGCTCGGCCCTGATGCGTTTCACGCGGGCCTCGTCTCCCCCGCGAGCCTTCTCGGACTTCAACGTATCCTCGAGCTCCGCGCGCCACCACTCCGCGAAGAGCGGGCCGACGGCGGCGTTGTTGTTCGCCCAGCGCAGGAAGCGCAGCGCGTCCGCGTGGGCAGCCATCTCGACGAACCCATACCCGCGACTCCGGCCCTTGCCAGTAACGGGGTCGACACGGTCCTGCTGCCGCACGATCTTGGCCTGCTGCACGCCCGTTGCGCGCCCCCCTTTTGTCCAACCCTTGTGGCCCTTCTTGGCGGCGTCCTTAACGTCGTCTTCGGGCTTGATAGTCTCGGACTTCTCGCCCTCGTCTTCGCGTATAGGCTCTGTGAGCTCGTCCGCGGTCAGAGCCTCGCGCTTGCCCGCCTTGACGTCCGCCTCGAACGCGCGTACGGCGTGAATGGCGAGACGCTTGAGCATGCGCTCGGTCACGAAGAGCGGCAGTTGGCGCACACTCAAGCGTGTACGTGACACGTACAGCGACGGGTTGGAACGCAGCAGCGTGCGCCGTGCATTGAACGACGTCGTGCGCTTCTCGACCTCGGTGGACGGGAGCAGCTCCGCAGCGGGAGTATTCGGCAAGATGACTGGAAGAAGGCGCATTAACGTGCGTGAATGAAAGAGGAGAAGACGAGTACGTACTGCCCTCGCGCAAGAGGTATAGGTTGCGCTTGTCCGCCTTCTCCCGCCTCCGCTCGCCGACCTCCTTCAGCCGCGAAGCTTCGTCTCTGGTGACGGCGCGGCTGACATCCAATGTCCGGCCGTGTAGAACTAGGTTCTGCGCAATGGAAGCGGATGGATCGGGAGTAAGGAGCGACGGCATCTTGAAAGGATTCTTCTTGGGCTGTTGACGGGAATGAGTACACGCCGATATCTCAGAAGTCGTGCTGGCCTACCCCAGTCGTGTCATTGCCGAGCGTTTCGGCGCGCATGATCGTGCTCTGCTCGATCGCCTTATCCGCATCCTCCTTGTTCCAAAAGCATGCGAATCCCGTTCCCCTTGAGCGGCCAGTAGGTCCGTCCATTGTGATGCGGGCATACCGCAGAGGCCCGAAGGCGCGGAACCTGTACGATCTGTTAGTATACAGACATGCGCGGAGGCTAGCGCATTACTCACAAAGTGCGCAGTTCGTCCTCGGTCGCCTCGAAGGGGACGTTTCGGACGAACAGCGTCGTGCCAACCTCCGGAGGCGGCAATGTGGGCTTGACAGGCTCCGGGGCTTCTCCGTCGCTCGCCTCTTCGTCGTCAGAGTCGTCGTGACTGGCGTCGGAGTCGCTCTCGTCCGAGCCGTCTTCATGTACGCCGAGCTTCCCCTCCTCTGAGCCGGTCTCCGCGTCCGAATCATCACTATCATCGCTGTCCCCCGACTCTCCGCTACCCTGGCCCATTTCAACGTCCTCATCCTCCTCTACCTCCATTTTCGCCTTCTCCGCCTCCCACTTATCCTTGCTCAGTGCCCAGTCCACCGCAATGACTCTTTGCCGGGTGTTAGCCTGCTTTTCCTCGGCTTCGTCCTCACCATCGTCGTCCGCGCCGCCGGCCGCCGCCGCCTTGAGCTTCTTTTCCTCCCTGCGCTGCTTTTTCTTCTTCTGCTTGTCCGTGATGAGCGTCTCCGCCATGCCCGCCTCCACGGTCATCCCGTTGCACTTCTCCATGGCCTTCTCCGCGTCCTTCCGGCTCAGGAACCAGATAAACGCGAAGCCCTTGGTGCGCGGCGGCCGCGGCTTGCTCGTTCCCTCCTCTTCTTCATCCGCCTCTTCCTCCTTCGCCTCCTCCTTCTTCACATCGAGTGGAATGTGCACCGAGTGTATAGGTCCATATGGAAGGAATATCGAGCGCAGATCCTGTTCGGTAATGTCGAACGGAAGGTTGCGGACAATGAGACGGCTATTGCGGTTTGGTGCAGGACCTGACTTCGACTGTGCCGATGCTTGCGCGGATGTTTTGGGCTTCATTCCGGACCGTGCAAGACCGTCAAGCCGCTTCTTGAGCGTCGCGGACAACAGGGAGCCCTTGTAGACGTGTGCGTGCAGCTTGCTTACAGCGTCATTGGCCGAAGCGGGGGTGTTGAACAACGCGTGCGCTACCGTAAAGCATCAGCATGCACGAAACAGATTCGTTGAACAAAGCACGCACCGATGCCGGGGTCTTCTTGACCGGACTCCGACTTGACGGGCCAGTCGACTTTCTCTGCGCCCTGCAGTTTTCGCACCTTCTTCCAGAGCGTCTTTGAGTCGATGCCTTGAGGAAGACCTGCAATGACCACCGTGCGGATGGCCACTGGGTCGGAGGGGCCAGCCGGTCTTGGCAGACGAGGTGCGGGTGCCGCCTTCTTCCCCGGCTTTTTCACCTCGTCGCCCTCTTCGCCATCTTTGTCTTGCGCAATGTTCTACATGAGACGGGTGAGCGCGTAGCCCCGTATGTATTACGGGCCAACACACCTTGCTGCCCGCCCACTGCACTCGCAGACCGCGGCCGTCCAGCGTGATGCCCTCCTTGCTGATTTTGTCAATGGCCATCGTGGCATCTTCGCGGATGGCGAAGGCGACATAGCCGACGCCCTTTGAGACCCCGGTTCCCTGCTCGAGAACCACGAACGCGGAGCGCACGGGGGCGAGGTCGGAGAAGAGCGTCTTCAAGTCGGTCGAGGTCGCTGTGTACGGAAGATTCGACACAAAAAGAGTCGCTCTGGGTTTGCTTCAGACATATATATCCGCGCCTGATGTGTCTGCTACGCACCCATGTGTCTTCTCCTCCCCTTCGTCCTGGGTCTCGGTGTCCCTGCCCTTCCTCTTTCCCAGCGCGGTCGACATGATATTTCGACGAGTTCGAACTCGGCTTAACGTGCTGCCTCAGACCGTTCCTTTTACACGTGATGAAACGTAGGTCCCAGATAGAGCGAGCGGTGAGTAAGAGTACAGACTCACGAAGAGCAGACAAGTTAGTGAGAGGGACGCGCTCTAGACGCTCAGGTTACGAAAAATCCTGTAAGCGCTCATTCCGATCGGTTTCATAGACGCTCATAAGACGTTGCCTCGTGCTTCGTTACGGCAGCATTGATAGACGCGCATGCTACCCCGCACGCTGCTGCCGCAGGGATGTGGTCGTGGCCGGCCCCTTTCATTCTCGACCACCACCACGTCTTCGTGCAACTTCTGCCAACCGTGTTACATCTAAGTCTGGACCACTTCTTGTTCATCGTCTGCTACGCCCTGTCTACAAGATGAAGCTTGAGAACACAATCACCTCATGGACGAAGTCTTCTCCTACTCTGATACATTCTGGCGGGGTTGTGGCCTTTCTGGGGCGCCTGTGCACCTAACATAGCACGAGAACATAGGTTTGCTGCGGGTGTCTGATAGTATGTGCTTCCATTTTGCTACTCGCCGCATTGAAGCCATCTCCCGAGCCTGCCATCTAACCTTCAAGCTCGGCCACAGGCTGATCGTCAAACCAGGCGGCAGCTTCTCGTTATAACGACGCACATACAGATCCCCTACCCGCCGAATTAGAAACCTGTCGGCGATTGCAAAGTGAGTCTTCTCTTCTTTGTTCGACCTTGCGGCCACTGTATGCGCCCTTATCGCACCTTCTTGACCATGCCGTAAGAGCGGAGCTCGTACTAACGTTGGGTCTCGCAGAGATGCCCTAAATGCATGTTACGCTCTCGTGATCAGTCTTGGGAACACCATTGACGCAAGTCTCTCGTGATCAGTCTCGCGAACACCATCGACGCAAGTGAGCGGTGCGGACGGTATGTCGCCTCTACTTTTATGCATTCTGGCAGAACTGTGGCTTTTTTGTAACCGCCCGTACAGATACCTTAGCTCGAGAGTGTAGCTTTGCTGCAAGTGTATCATAGTACGTGCTTCCAGCTTGCTACTCGCTGTGCTGAAGTCATCTCCCGAGCCTGCCATCTAAACTTCAAACTCGGTCTCAGTTTGATCGTCAAGCCAAGCATTATATTGACGCGCATACAGATTCCCAACTCACCGAAACGGAAAGTTGTCAGCGTTTGAAAGTGGGTCTTCTCTTCCATGGTCGTCCCGCGGCCACTGTATGTGTCCTATCGCATCCCCCGGTCATGTCGTAAGGACGGAGGTCGTGCTAACATGAGGCTTCGCAGAGCCCGCCATATACAGGCCAAGACGTATACTATGTTAGGAACGTCTCGTTCCAGAAGTTACTCTCCGCGTCAGGCATGCACCGAACATCATGTTCTTGCTCAGCATGTGCCGTTTTCGGGCGGCACGTCGCTCAGTCAATGCAAAGAAGCCCAGTTGTCTCACTTGTTATCTCAGTGCCCCGACGGCGCTCTTGGGTGACTCGTCCTGGAGCCTCCCTGACACTGGCGTCCATCAGGTATGGATTGCAACTCGCCGAACCTGTGTTCTGTGGCCTGATTGATAGCATCCGCGTAGCTGCCTCATGCTAACGGTGCTGCACAGTGACAGACTTCTCGTCGATAGCAACTGGCCATCGAGCGGTCCCCACACGTACCGCACAGGTGAGTGAGAACATAACGGGCACTGATGTCGTACACCGCTCCCCCGCTCGTACTTCCTCGCCGAGTATCACCGCGTGGCCGCCCGCCGTGCCTCGTAATCGCCACAACGCGTTGCGCGCGTGTCTCCCGGCTATGGCGAATATTCACCGCCTTTGGGCTGTCTTGGCCCGACGCGCTGGGCAACCCGGTGCAACTCTAACGGCTCACTCGCGTACGCAGCCGCCGCCGCTCCTCGTTGCTCGCTAGTGCCTTACACCACTGTGGTCTCAGCGATAACTGCCACGTTCCCGGCCCTCCTCCGAACATGTTGCGATTATCGATATCGCGTGCTCGCGCGAGCCCGCTGCAAATCGTGCGCCGGTCCTCATCAACGCTGTGTTCGCTCAATAGACAGTATGTGTTCCCGTCTTTGAGTTGGCAGGAAAGAGTACTCAGCAGACGGTCGCACGCGAGTTCAATAGGCATCCTCGGGGCTCCCACTAGCTATCGTCATCACGTCAGTCTCCTTCCCGCGCCCGCGCCCGCTCTCCAGCGTTCCGACGCCGGACGAACCTCCCATCCCCGCATCTGATTCCCACACTCCGCGCATGCATTCAGCCTTCTGCCTTCGGACTCGGCCGCTCGGTAGCCTCGCCTACAGCCGCCAGCCGCTTGGCCACTATTCCGGGACCAACTTCCCTCCAGGGCACCAGGGCAGAAGCTCGACGGCCGCGTCCCGGTCCCGGACTCCGTACGTTGGTGCGACCACATCTGCTGCCATCGCCCGTCGCACACGTACATCGCGTTCCTCGCGAGGGCCGCTGGGTGCGCGCCAGCCTACACGTGCTGGCTTATCGTGGGGCTCGTCTCTCCCCCGGTCGTTGGGCGGCACCAGGCCACAACTGCATGTTCTGGTGCTGGCGGACAGAACGAGGGGAGAGGGGAAGTCCTACCACCTTTGGCTCACGAACGGCCGCCCCTTGTCGCGCGGGGACACGTAACACGGTCAATTATACCCTGACAGCGATGTCCTGGAGGACGCGTATTCCCAGGCACGTCGCGCAAGGCGCAGCATGAAGAGGAAGTCTGCACGACCAGTTCGCAGTCTGTCTTGGTGGCCGAAGCCGAGGCGGCTTCGCGTGTCGCGTCGGGAAGCATGGCGTTCTCGCAAGCTTTGGTCCGGGGGATATATGCGTATGCAATACCCCGCCGGGTTCCGCGTACGCGAATATGAGCGGTTTTCCTGTTTACTCGATGATGTTGGTCGTCTGCCCGTGCCGACCGCGCTCCGGGACCCGGGGCACGGCCGCTCGGAACGGAGGAACAGTCGCGATCGCCGGTGCCTTGCAATGCATCCCGCTCCGAGGGCGCGCTGCGCGAAGTCAGACGGCACACCCGCGTCGTCAGCGTCATGCGCGCGCCTCCCGCGATCGTGAGTGGGTGGGTCCGGGCTTCAGCCCCAGCTGTGGCCCTGCTCCGCCTCTATGAAGGCTCCCACCGAATGGCCGGGGAAGCTGCGCGAAGAGCGACGCGCCTCCTTCCAGCAGCTACGGGAAGGGCGAGGCTCGAGATCCACCCGGGACTGTATTGCGTGTGTGCCACTCTGACGCTCTCTGACGAGGGTCCCTGCGCGAGAACTCGCGCGTGTATGGCGAATCGGGCAGTGATCGTCGATGGCCGGGTTGATAGTGCATGGAGGCCTGCCTCGCTGCGGTGCGAGTGGCACTGGGTCTGTCCAATACCGAACTTGGACGCCGGGAACGTGCTCGTTGTGTCTGCGGAACCTAGGTTCCCGACGGGGAATGTCAGAGCGGGGAAGTCCGAAGGCGGGAGGCGTAGACACCGCAGACACACGAACGTTGCTTCACTTCTGCGAGACGCCGCTGTGGGTTCAGAGCTGCTCAGTGGGGATCCCCGCAGGGAATACAGTTCGGGCGATACAATTGCAGGCGCGAGTGAGTAAGCCGAGGATGAGTGGGGGGTGATGGCCGGATGTGGACGGGATATGAAGGAACGAGGAGGATCGTATCTGAGAATCGGCGGCGCGAGATGTGGATTCGGTCACGATAGCTGGTCATCCAGAGCTGCTATCGGGATGCGATGGATCACCGCGACGACCGTCTGAGCGCGGATGAGTCGTGCAGCTATAGCGGGCGGTGCTGAGACCCGCGCGGGTGCCGTCATTTGAGCGGCGTGTCTGTGGGGGAAAACGAATGAGCAGCGCATGGTTTCGAGGGGAGATGAATAACAGAGGGACCAATGTGAATGCGTACAGATGGAGCCTAGAAATGTCTCGACCGTACGAGGGTAGCGTGTGTGCGTGTCAGCGCAAATGGCGCGCTCGCTGTCCGCATTCGAAAGGCCGCAGAAGCAGCGTCTCGAGACGAAGCGAAGAGTCGAATTGCCGTGCCAGTCCGAGACACCGATCGCAGCGACCCTGATATTGCAGGCCAGAAGCCAGATCGCACGAAGGGGCTACGGGAGGTGAGCATCGTAACGGGCGCAGCGAGATCCCGCAGATGTCGATCATTCATGAACGCGAACCAGGTGATATTGTGGTGCGCGCACGCGCCGGTGCCAGGAGAAGACCATGGTCGGAGCGTGTCACCGCGGAGTGTCGTCAGACCAGGCGGCGTGGAAGCGAAGAATTGAGAACCGTGCACGACAAATGTACACATACGCTCCGTACGTCAACTCCGCTCGCATGGTTCCACGGACAGTCAGGCGGACGCGCGGCCTTATTCCTCGGCGTGTCACCTGAATAAGCCGGGCGAACATTACGCAAGTTCGTAGTCAGCGCTGTCGATTTTTGCGCCGACCAGGGCGGGAGCGCAGGTGAGTCGAACTCGGGACAGCCTGCGGCGGCGGCGGGACGACGCTCGGGCCAGGGACCGGCGACGGAGGTGGTTGCTCGCAACGGTCGCGGTCGGGCGTTCCGGCGAAAGGACCGAGCGTGGGAATACCGAGCCCTAACCCAAGCGCGCGTGGGAGGCGGCGATAAAAGCCTGCCCGGGCAGATTCACACTCCGTCGGTCATCTTTTTTCATGTTTTGGTTCCGTTAAACTTGCTTCTCCTCGAACTCGGCCGTCCTCGCTGCTTTGTCCTGCCAGCTGTGAGTGCATTCCAGGCGTCTCGAACCAGGTATGCACCTCGCGCCCCCCTCGGATGTCGGGAAGGGCCCCAGCTTACCCGGCCCTTGCGTCCTTTGCAGCCAAAATTTTTATGGTTTTGCCGCCGATTCGCCGCCGAGATTCGAGTTCAAGCGCGGGTTGCTGCTGCGTTTGAGGTGTAGGGAGCGGACAAGCGTCCGTGGTGGAGAGAAAACGAAAAGCCTTGCAGGTGAGTGTCCGTTGGCGAGGAACACGAGTCCGCGGCGAGTGCCTTCGCGGCGTGCTCGAGCTGCGACGGGGGCAGAGGGCTTAGGGCAAATTTACGCGCCCAAGCACGCGGGCTGTGCCCATGATGGTGCTTCCTAATCCGGCCACCAGGCACTCGCCCCCTCGTATTTATTACCTGACTCATTGTTTCCGGCCTTGAGCTCAATGATCATCCTTCCCCCCCTTCAGTTCTGTCATCCACGAGCGGGTCTTCCTTATGATTACCCTTAGTCCCGGCTCGCTCTGCGACGTCTGCGCGGAGGAGTACGGCGCACACAACCTGCCCCATTCCATCCCTTGCGGTGAGCTCACTGTTCTTTCTCGACGTCGCGCACAAAAATTTACTCATCGTCCCGCCACTCGACAGGACATGTGCTCTGTCTCAACTGCTGCAACAACATCATCAAGAAAACCCCATCCCGTCTCACGCCTGCCTGTCCTTTCTGTCGCGTCCAGTTCTCTAGCGATGCCATCCGTCTGATCCGCATCGACTTCGGCAGCGGTTGGTCGACCCCCAAGAAGACGACCATCGAGGCCCACGACCACATCGATATCGGCGAGGACGATGTTCTATTGTTCAACCCTGGCACCGTCAAGACCAGAGCCGAGGCCCGTAGGCTCGAGTCCAAGGTCGCCAAGGTCGCCGCCAAGAAGTGTTCGGTGGAGGAGGTGACGACCCTACACAGGGAGCTGCAGGAATGGTTGAACTCGGACAAGCTCGACGAGCAGGTGCGTTAGTCAGTGGATATCACACGAGCCCCGCCACTCACATTGTCGCCACAGACGTCCTCTCTTCAGCTCAGCGCCGCTCTCCTGCGCGCCATCCTCGTCAACCACGTCGCCCACTCCGAGGCTACTCGCATGGCCAAGAATGTCGAGGCCAACCTCCGTGAGCGTCTTGAGGATGCCCAAAACGAAAAGGAGAAGCTCGAGGCTGAGCTGCGCAGTATCGTGAGTGGCACTCGGTTTCCTCGGATATCCGTCGCACTAACGCGGATATACAGAGATCTCAATACTCGCAGAAGGCGCAGGAGGCCCAAACCCTCCGTGCCGAGCTCAACCGCTCGAAGGTCAAGTCCGCCGCCCCGAGCTTGGGCGTTCCGGCGACGCCGCCCCCGAGTTCCGTACCCTCGGGCATGATCTCCCCTCCGCGACCCCCGTCTACTATGTCCGGATCTCGTTCTGGTGCCACTTCACCGACGTCACCCACCCGCACATCGTACACGCCGTCCTTCCAGTCGCCCCTCGCTCGGCCCGCATTGCCGATGCATTCTCGCACGACCTCGATGCACGTCTCTGCCCATCGGTCGATGACGCCTTCCGTTCGGTCTGGTACTCCCCTTGTCAGCGGTGCTGACATCGCGCGTCCGGCCACTATACCCCCCAAGCCCCGTCGGATGTCGATGTCGACGCCGACCCCCACCAAAATGATGCGGTCCAGCTCCAGCTCGGACGAAAAAGAAAAGGAGAGGCAACGCGCCGACGACAAGCAGCGCGAGAAGGATGAGCGGCGCGTGCAGCTCATCCAGCGCTGGATCCCCTCCACCGACGCGTTCTCGCGCAGCCCGCCGACAGGCCGCCCCGAGAAGTTCGAGTCCGCGCTCGCTTCCGCGACGAGCCGCTCTGTGCACCCCTCCATGGTGCCGTCGCGGTACAAGACGCCTCTCTCCACGCACTCGCCGTAATGGGCCCATGGACCTGGTTTGCTCTCCGTTATTTATCGATTCATCGGATCACTTATTTCCTCACTGTGCTCTCGTCGTTGGTTATAGTACACGATATACATAGTTGCTGCCTCCTGCTTCCCGCTCTCGCCTCTTTTTCCGCACCCTTTCCGGTTGTTGCCTTGTCATGGATTGACTTCGGATGCACACCTCTACCTTCCCTACGTATATACTCCTCCGTTTATTGCCTTGCATATATTGGGTCATCAGGTCTCGCACTCCGCGCTACCCCCGCATTCCTGGCGTCCGTTCCCTTTCTCGATACCTCTCCCCCCTTTCTCCTCTCTTCTCTTCCTCTTCCCTTCTCCTCGCTTCCTCTCTCCGTCCCCGTCTCCTGCTTCCCCTCTGTCTCGCTCTCGTCTCTTTTCTCTCTGATCTCGCGGAGCTCGACGCTAATCTCTCTCGTCCTCGGACGCTCTACTACAGCTGACCTACTCTCCCCGTGTAGCAAATGTTGTTTATCTTCTCTGACCCATGCTTTACGACCCGTTACGGATAGATACGCTCTTCACGATACCACAATACGATATTACGATTTAGATTAGTTCCTTGGAGTGCTCAGACGGTCGTCTTCGCCGTTCGGTATTCGGACCCGGCGACGCTGCCGGTTGTGTGTATGAGAGAGTACGGGTATGGTGCGAAGTGTGTATTCGACGTCCCGTGGTACGTTCGCACTCGGCTACAAAGATGCTATCGATCTCAACGGGAAGTACATACAGAGAAGCCCGCTCAGATCCGTGTCGCTTCGTCGCAGTTTCGTAAGGAAGTGGGCGCGGCCCGCTACGACGGGTGCAGAGCATATACGAACTTCGAGGCTCCGGTGTGCACTTCGAGCTGCAGAGACATACCCTGCGGCTCCGTAGCAAAAGCCCATCCCCCGTCACAGAAACACGGCACTGCGATCTCTGCGGAGAAGGTGATGCAAAAGGGCAGGCACTGCAGACCCGAAGCAAGGAAGGCGTGCGCCACAGCACAGAAGGCTCGCGCACTCCGCAGGCTCACGCGCACAGAACGGGACGCCGAACCCAGGCGTGGCCCTTCCGGTGACCTGCCTGGCTGCAGGTCCCATGCAGAACCGGGCGGCTCGGGCAGGTCGAGGGTGGTCGAACGCGAGGGGTGGCCGAGCACGCTGGACTGCGGTACGAACCGTCCGCGCGCGGTTCGCACGTATGTCGCAGCCGGAACTTGCGAGTGAGTGCGAAGACGCACCGTGCCGCAGGCCCGAGGGGTGTTTTACGAGGGTCGCGGTCGGCTCCACCCCACCGAGGGAGTCACGCACGCGCGCGCCGCTGGGCTGCAAGGGTCCGGATCTCGAGATTCTCGAGGGAAGGTGTGCCACGCATCTCGCGTGGGCGAAGCGTCCACCGCATCATGTGAAAGGCAGGAATAGAAAGCGAGATGGGCCTCCTGGATCGTGGGTGCCGCATCGGTGGACGTGATCTCGCCAGCGTGCGCCCAACGTGCAGGCGTGATCCTTCCCGATCGCAAGAGAGACGCGTTAGTTGAAGGGAAGGCGCGGTATGGAGCAGGATACCTCACCTGAGGCGACCTTCAAGGGGTTGGACGCGAGGCGACGGCATGAGCTCCTCAATGTCACTTGTGAAGGCTATGGCACTGGTAGGTCGTGGCGAAGGTAGAATCGCAACCACGCACGCCGCCGCTAGGCCATCTTGCGGTCACCGGCGACATGCAGTAGGTCTTCGACCCACCGGCGGGAGGCATCTTGAAAGTGCGGTCCAACCGCGGGAAGTCGATCCACAGCGGGTAGCGGGCACAGCAAAACGCATTTGTGTAGGCGGGGACCATAATTCGGCGTTCAGAAAATCTCGCTAACGCGGCGGGCGCCGCGAGGATACCTATTAAACTGCAATTTTAACCTCAAGTGAGGTAACATCCCGTCTCGTTGAGGCGTCCCAGCTGATGGTCGGCGTGGTTGCGCTGTCCGTGTGGACGCCGCCGTAACATTTACTCGCCGGCACTGTGATAAATGTCAGCGTCCCTGTCCGTGTATTCTGATAGCAAGCTGCTTTGAACTTACCGCTCGTTTCTCATTTCAAACTCCAGCCCATCACAAGCTGAAGAGTTGCTCAGTCAGCGAGCGGATGACGACTTACTACTGAAACGCCTACTACGCTTGCTAGCTTATCCAATTGAAGTAAAGATTGCTCAATGAGTAAGATTTCCGGACACGAGTCACTCGGTGAATGGCTCGACTGGAAGATTTCAGTGTAAAAGTTGTAGAGGTAGTCAGCGGTCTCGATGGGCTACGCATTCCAGTGAGCGTGGCAGGGTCGGCCGGATTTTGCAAGTCGGGTCCCAGCGAGTCCCGGTCGAAGAGCCCAGAAAAATAATTTCCAGACGACAGCGTCCAGCAAGTCTTCGTTAAGATCATCCTCAGCTCCAGTTGCAGGATAGACCTGCCAGCAGCTGATGCGAGAGTAACCAGGCTGCTGATGGTCGAAGTACGTACCGAACAAGTTCAAGATGGGGCTTGTCCCGGAGACGACAGTCCAACAAGCGCCGGATTACAGTGGATTCACGTGCACGCGACGCGTCGGCCGTCGACACGACGGACAAAGCGATAAATCGCATCCCGGGAAAATCCCGCGAAATCCAAACTGTCCCTGGAAAACGACGGGAAAGGATACCTGCTCTGGGCGCTTAGGTCACGTTCCAGGGAAAGGAAAGACTTCGCGGGATTTTCCTACCAAATTCCCGCCTTGCGAGATACCGCTTTGTCCGCCGTGCGAGAGAGTCGGCCACAGCTCCAACGCCGTTGTGGCGTTGTCCATCTTCACCTCAAACACGGACGTGTCGGAGTCGGCCAAATCGCGTCTCGAGAGGGGCCGGAACATGATGGCGGAGGAGGAAACGTGCATCGCGCTACTCCGAAAGAGCGATGTGGCGATGTCGGCGCTGATGACTGGATGCGAAACGTTGTACTAGTGGTGTTTCGGCCGACACAGCTGGTACACCATACTGTATGGACCCGTATATACCTACACATACAAGGCAGAAGCTAGGAAGGGAAGCGTTATCGAGTGCTCTGTCTGCTTTTTGGATATCTAAATTACAGGAATCGGTTTCTTCTTGCGTTGTCACTTCTCTTCGTCGTTCCTTAGCCACCCTTGCCGCTCCGAATGCAAGGCCCGCTCCATATCTACTTCTTTTCCTTGGGGGGAGGGACATACGTGAGCGCCTTGTCGATGGACTGCATCGGGCCGAAGATGTCCTTCAACTTGGGCTGGTTGACGACAGTCTCGCAGTGGCGCATGACGTTAGGGAACTTCGCGCGGAGGGACGCGTCGAGGTCCACCATGGCAGCGCGTTTGATGACGGAGGCCACGCTAATATCGGCGAGCGTGATGCGCTCGCCGACAAGGAAAGTACGCGTGGAGAGGTGCGCCTCGAGGGTTTTGAGAGCCCGGATTTGGCGCTCAATGAAAGTGTTGTGGATCTTAAAAGGAAGATTTCAGCATCGGGGGGTGCGGTGATGGTCGAAAGACGTACCGGCTTAACGTAAGTGCCAAAGGCGCCCTTTACAAGCTGGTAGATGAAGGTCGTGTTTGCGGCGATCTCGCTGTCGGCGAACGAGACCCACTGATCCACAAGAGCGGACTCCTTCAGGTCAGAGCCCAGCAGAGTGGAGTTGGGAGCAAGACCAGCAACTGCCAAGTAAGGTCAGTGCACGTTCTAATAGTACAAGACGGGAGCGGGTTGGATACGAGGCGTGTCATTGAAACGATATTTATGAAATGTATGACGGGATGCTGTATGCCGTCGACTCACTGTAACGCGCGATCGCGGTCGATTCGAAGAGTTTGAAGCCATCTGCGCCATCGAGCGCGGGAATCTTCCCATGTGGAAACTTGGCCCGAAACTCAGGCTTGTCGTTGTCCTGGTGATGGACGTAACCTTCAGGCAAGTCCACCTGAAGTCCGTTGAGCGCGGCAACGGCGCGAATCTATACTTCGACGGTTAGTCAAGCTCGTGTATCCGGGACGAGAAATGTAGAAACGCACGCGCTGGCCTGACCCCTGGGTGGGCAAGGTGTAGAGAGTGCCGATGGAGGCCATTTTTACGTCGAGGAAGAGATGGTGGTTGGAAGACAAGCCGTAGAACTCGAACTGTCAGTGGATGTATGCGGACGTTGAGCGCGCCGCAGCCTGCGATTGACTCGTAGCCGCCCTCCGAGTCATTGGCCTGGCATTGGGCGTGTGCTACAGACTCGAGGCGGTACAGCCTGGGTCCGCGGATCCTATGGCGTATACGCACCGTTAGTAGACACGGTCACGCGCAAGCTCCTCATTCGTAGTAGGCAATAATAGTAGCTGTCACTATCAACGAGCGATATCAACAAGATCTCTGCCCCCGTCGTCCGCGGGCCTAGTGCAGCTCCTTATTCGAGGCGAGAGCAACAGCCTGTATAACATGTCAAACACAACTTACCTCCGTGGCTCTCATAAAAGCCGAGCGAGTATCATGTTCAATACTGATAGCATCTCTAGCTTGCGCTGACGTATGCTTGGAGGGTTCACGAGCCACAACTAGAGGACCTGGGCGAGTGCCAGTCTGATTCTTGCAGGTATGGGGTAGATCAGAGGCTTGAGTGCGCAATAACAGAGCTTTGGGCGCTGATAGACTCTTCGTGATGAATCGTGAAGGAAGAGGGAAAGCGGGGCGTTCACGTGCACGCTCGTGCACGGCGCGTCGCGCGTCGGCGTCTATGGAGAGTTGTGGCGCCCGTCAGCCACAACCCCGCCGTTGTGGCGTCGACCGTCCTCTCTCCGCCGATGTGTGCGGCTCGATCAACGTCAGCCCAAGGACCAGTGGATGACTTGATGGTATGGGATGCGAGTAGCAGAGAAGGAAGCGTCCGCCGTCAAGCTCCGGGAGGAGGAATGTGGCGGCATCGGCAGAGGAGCGCTTCGCACCCGACGCACGGGCAGTCAGCCTCTCGTCTTCTACGAGATTGTTCGTGAGGCTGGTGAATTGTAAGATCGGCACGAGTGTAAGAAAGAATGGGCTAGACGCAAGGCGGGCGAGATCACGAAGGTGGCTCACCGGAAACTCGCGGCGGAGTGTGAACAGGTGTCCCAGCCCGAGGTATAAAATCCCGGACGCACCTCCCACGAACGCACACCCCTCTTATCCTCAATCACGTCGCATCTCCTTCTATCTCTAACCTCACTGTGTGCGGCTCATACCGCTGCATTGTCTCGATTACGGCCTGCAACCTGCTCGCTATCGCGCGTCTCCCCCCGACGCCCTCGCCACATCGGCTCCCAAGCCAATACCAACCTCGATGCCCCCTCGTCTTTCACATATGAAGGGATGGCATAACGGCGTAATCGTACCACAAACAAACTTCAAGCTAGCCGGTATGGGTCGTCGCCGCATTCGTCGATCGCGACGCCACATCCTTCGGGGGCCCGGTTCTCGACTGCTCTGCAGCGCACAAAGCCCTGTGGTGTGTACAAGTTAATACCTCTGTGAATGATGGAATGGGGAGGAAGATCTCCTAAAATTATCATTGCTGTACGTGTTCAGGCAATGCGTCGTCATGCTGATGTGTCGGGACCTCGGGTGCAGACCCTCAGACCTGGAAGAGGGCCATGAAGAGGGCCAACAAGTGGATAAGCGACATAGCGCACCTAGATCGACGGTATCCTCCTTGGTCGACGGGATCCTAAAACCCGGACTCAATCTGGTCCAAAGCGGACTGGCAAATATCCCGAGTGGCTGGCGATCCGTAAGGCCAAGGAAAGACCGTGGCCCATATGCGGTTCCCTAAGACGCCCGATGTGGATACCGGGAGCAAGGGAAATGTGCACACGTACACTATCGTGACACCCGCTTCAATACGAGACTAGAAAATCAAGGCCGAGGTCTTAGGACAACATAAATTGCCGGCCGTTCAACTCCAGAAATACCACAACAGGTCATGGACGCGGTCGTACGGCCGGGGACCTGTTGATAATCATCCGAGAATTCCTTGAGAATCGAAACATATATCAGCAGCAGACAAGACATGCACGAGAAAACTCGATCTCACACGCATGGGTCACCTACCAACGATGGTTGCGGCTGGCGACGATATACCTGCCAGGAGCGTATCCACTCGTTCGCCTTGTAGTTGTAAAAGGTTGTCAAGGCCGCGACATCGACACATCGTGAAAACGGTGTAAATCGCGATCGCAGCGAATGACCGACCCGACACGGGCCCAAACTCGACCCGACTGCCTATAGTATCTGTCAACGCAAGCTCGCTCTTCAAGCTTCAAAGCTTCACCGGTCACCATCAACTTGGCGAGCCGAGTCCTTCGGTACCGTCGGGCCTCCGAGTGTGCCGTTGGAATCTTCGCTCTAACTGGGACCGGGTGACTGGCGGGATGGTGTCAACAAATTCCACAAGCCACATCACCAAAAGCACGATCATCAACTCGTCACAAACCACCCGGCGTCCATACCGTTGCGCTAACGGCATCACAGAAGTAGAAGATGGTGCGCCGCTTTGAGAATCGACTGACGGCCGGTCACTACGGAGCGAATAGCAGTCGGCGGGGCGGGAGGGCAGAGGGTGCTCGCCCAACCGAGCCGGCGCGGTGCAAACGCCGATGAACGCCGGTACACCCGATGTCGATGTCGAAAGAGCCGAAGAGTGCCAGTGCCTGGGACGCCACCAGAGAAGGCGGCGGGCACGCTCGGGAACGCCATTGGGGGGAGCGAACAGCGAGCGGTGCCGATCGGCCAGCCATAGAAGCAAGACCGAAGCAGTCCCCGGAGTTGTGGCGTATGCGCCGATCGCTAGGTGAGGTGCCCTGTGAGAGAGAAGTCATCCCTGAATTGTTGCGAAGTTAGAAGAGCGGAAGCCGGATAACTAGGTAGGAGGAACCGCGGAAACTACTTACTTACGCAGAATCACTGAGCCGTGTTTGGGTAGTACAATTCAACATACATCTTGGCATGATGCGGCTGGCACTGGACTGATACAAAAATCACCTGCGAAGGGTATGTCATCCGCTTGATGAGCCGAATAGAACACACCGTACATACCGGTGCCGTCGCAGTCGCATGGAACGCGAAGAAAAAGAGGGTGACATGGAGGATTTCGAGGCGGTCAGCGTTAAAGTCAGCGTGACGTGAGAGGCAGTGCAAGAAAGTACGTTCACCTCGAGACCTAACTTGGACCGAAGCCGCGTCCTACGCAACATGTCTGTTGTGCCTGATGTCAGCCGTCATTGCGGCCAGCCGCGTGCAGAGCCAAGCCGCCCTCTACGCGTCTTTGCAGGCTTCAGCTGAGCAGAGACGTACGGCCGGGTCTTTCTATGGCTACAGAGGCCGACGACACACCATGCGCTGCTGATCGCACCCGAACGCGCGCTGCGCCCGACACGCTCGGCATGCCATTCGGCTATGTTGGCCAGCGCCAGGGACCGACGCGGAGGTTCCGCAAGGCTTCGTGCCACCTCAACGCCGTCCCGCAGCTAGCAAAGGAAGGCGCATCAGCCGGCATCTTACCGCACCAGTACCCTTCTACTGTATGACAAATAGACTCACGTTACAACCAACTTTGAGACGCGTTTGAGTCTCGGATGTGCGTAGCATCCATGTACTTGGAAAAGGGACCCTTCATGCACCAGCGGGCGGCTCGCGCGACATTCTTGAGAACCCGTAGCCGCGAGGTCGAGCTGTCGAGGGCGGGTCTCGTCTTGACGTAGGGAAGGACGTCATGTTCGTCATGCGTACCTATCGTCAGCCACATACGGCGCCCTCGCGGACGTGCTGTCGCGGTTGCACACGGGAGGCGGGAGAGGGCACGAACCTTGCGGCCACCGACGTTCCCCATTGCTACCGGCGGCCTCGGTGCCACTGAGTAGACACCAGAGGGTTGGCGTGAGCGATGCAATGGGCTGCCGGGCGCGTATGCGCGAGTGCCGTGGGCGCGTTGGACTGGACACTCTGGCAGCGCAGATCGAGGTGACGAAGGCCAAGCGCACCTGGGAGGTCACGCTTGCCCCCCGGCAGTTCCTTTCATATAGGCTAAATTGCACTCATCGACGCGCCCTCCGAGCCTAACCTTGGCAGTACGGCTTGCTATAGGCTAAGAGTCGAGAAAATGGACACGCTCTCCCGTGACGGGGGGCGCTGGAATCTGCGTGATCAATCTGCTCTGTCAGACAAGATAATTAAGGGTGAGATTTTCCGCTGGAGCAGATGCGTGCGGAATTGTACTTACTGGGCTGCGCCGGAGCGCCGAGCGGTGGGCGCGGTGCGGTGATTAATACGACGAGGACTAGGCTGCGACGAGCAAGGGCAGCCCATGAAGTAGGAGAAGATTTCAATAAGCACAGATGCGTGATTGCGCTCTCCGCGGACCAGTCGAGCGAGCCTGGTCATCGTGGGGCACCGGGTGATCAGTCGTGCGTTCGGCGGGGCGGGGGCACGCATGTACCACTGCGAGCTTCAAGTCCCAATTGCGCACCCGAGGACAGCGTGGAAGCCCGAGGGACGCTCGCTGCGAGCACGACGGACAAAGCGATAAATCGCATCCCGGGAAAATCCCGCGAAATCCAAACTGTCCCTGGAAAACGACGGGAAAGGATACCTGCTCTGGGCGCTTAGGTCACGTTCCAGGGAAAGGAAAGACTTCGCGGGATTTTCCTACCAATTTCCCGCCTTGCGAGATACCGCTTTGCCCGCCGTGGAGTCTAACTCGAAGGAGGCGATGTGTCTCATCCCGAGTGCTTCGTATCCGCATGGCCTATAACGTACGTACTCAGGAAGCACGGCAGCGTAAGTCCGGACGCCTCGACCAGCGCACAGACTGGCCTGCGAGCGAGGGCTAGACGGGTTTCTAGGCATTCGCAAATGGAAAGCATGATCTGCGCCGGTATTGTCAGGCCGCAACTGTCAAGGGGGCATACGGCGGAGATGGCGTACCAAGCGAATCATAACGTCCAGCGAGCGCACGGGGCCCAAAGAAGACCCGCTCCGTGCGCAATACAACAGTAATGAACTCAGCGTCGGTGACAGGGAGGCGAAGAGACGCATCCCGTTCCTGGCGGAGTGCTGCGAGAGACTGATGGAGGTGGACGGGCGTCGAGAGCGCGAGAGCGATTGGGCAAGGGTGAAGGCCGAGGGCAGCTGTTTCTTGATTGGACGGAGCAGAACCCCGCATCAGATTTAATGTTGAGATGGAGGATTAGCGAATATTTGTACGTTTGTCGGAGTGGACAAGGAGAAGGAACGGCCCAGCGCGATGGTCGAGGCGAATACGTCGAGCGTCAGTGGCGTCGCGGCAAATTCCGACATCCCGTTTTGGCATGCGGGGTCCTCGAACCGGTTAATGATCCAGCTTGGTCTCGACGTTGTCGGTGACAACTCGCGAGGTCCTCCAGTCGGTCATATCGGCAAGCTCTGTCTAGGTCTTCGAGCGATGGTCTATTGTTAGCCGAAGGTGCAGTGCAGGTCAGCTAGGAGGACTCTGCGGCGATGCCGCGCCAATACCGAGTGGATCGGATGACCGATGTTGCTGGCAAGCCGGGCTTTTGTCTATGGTATGTCTGCATCTCAACGCCACCAGAGACTCGTTCTAATTGGCTCACTTCATTACAGCCAACCACATTTCTTGTCTCTACTCTAGTCTGAGAACGAACAACACCGTTTCCTGCGTCACTCGCCTCCAGCGGGGTTTTTGTTAGTGTCCAGCTGCCAGGGACGACGGCGCCATCCCACGAAAGCCATCTGCGCCGTTCAATCGCGTGAAGGTGATGGGGGACGTTGCACGGCGTTTGAGCTCTAGATTCGGACGTTGCGCTATAGATCCCGGAGGAAGAGAAGATACGTCAGTCCGCGGTACCGCCCCCCAAGCCTTCCTCGGAGGACGCGAGCGCCGACCAGCATCGGGTGCCGGTTTGCGCGGGTACCTGCCCGCATGGTTGTCTTCCAGCTCCACTTGCGCAGACGTCGCGTACGCCCATTTTCGCTCTCCGCATGTCAACGTATTCGGGAGGTCGGGGCCAGGCTGATCGTCCAATACCACGTCACGTTCCGTCTACTGCGAGCATGAACGGGTAAATCAGACACGGAGAATCAGCCGCCCGAGAAGTTATAAAAGCCATCGGGACTGCTGCCCTGTTCTTCAGCAGCAGGCCCACACAGCTCGCACCGCACCAACTCTCTTCGCTGTCATCCCTCCCCGCACATCCTTTGCAGCCATGTTCTCCCGTCTGCCCACAGTCGTCGCATTCGCTTCCCTCGCAGTCCTTGCGGTCGCCACCCCCATGGAGGTCAAGCGCGGCGGCGCGCCTCCTCCCGTCACCAAGACCGTCACCGTCACCGCACCGGCGGCGACCCCTACCGGCGGCTCGTGCTCTACCGGCCCCATCCAATGCTGCAACTCCGTTCAGAGTGTAAGTCACTTCGCCGTAGACATACATGAAGACGTCTAATCGCGGGTTTCTTTGCAGTCTAAGTCCGACGCCGGTAGCCTGCTTTTGGGCCTGCTCGGGATTGTCGTGCAGGGCGTCGACGTCCTCCTTGGCGTTGGCTGCTCTCCGATCAGCGTCATCGGCGTCGGAGGCGGCAGCTGCAACGCGAACACTGTGTGCTGCCAGAACAACAACGTAGTACGTACTCTATGCCGTATTGAATCTGGGCACCTTCTCACACGTCTTGTCATAGGGCGGCCTGATCTCCATTGGCTGCGTCCCGATCATCCTCTAAGGGATGAGCAGCGACGAGATCACCGGAGTAGGGTGCACACGTTGGGGAGTAGAGATTGAATATCTCGAGGAACGCTATGTAGCTTTGATGTCTAGCTGAAATCTGATTCCAATATGTTTCCCGCGACGTCACTGTGTGCCCACTAATCATCCTTGAACGTCTGAGTACCTTCGGTACGCTGTCATGCAAGTTACCAACCCGATCTAGCGACAAGCGCCTTTGCACCAAGCTCTTGACATCCGTTTCAACTTGAAGTTCCTGAATTCAACTCAAATGAAGGCACAATCCGACGTTCGTGGTAGACATGTGCATACTCTACAAATATGGTATAACAGTCGGAGAGCTACCAGGCTGGCGCTAGTTTCTGTGGCATGCTCTCGGAGATATGAATCACACTGGCGTCCTATTGCAGTCTCAGCTAAGCTGCTCTGCCGACGGGAAAGATAAACGTACCTCGTGTAGCGCGATGCGTCTTGCGCCCGCCTCCGAGCGCTTCGCTTCTGCAGGTAGCGCGAGGTTGTGAGGTCCGCGGTAGTGCTGACCCTTACATGAGAATGACGCTCGTGTCTCAAGCTGGGAAGTAGACGAACCTCGCTGGAACTGACGTCTTGGGCTGTGATCCCCTCCACATGCGATCTATGCATGGAAGCTGTTAGTGGCGTGAGCGGTATGGGCGCACGTCCCCTTGTCATCTGCTCCCGAAGCATCTCCCGCGCGTTCAGCATCGCCAAAACGGAGTTGAGAAGCACTGAAGTATCAAAATATTACGACAGTCAAAGGATTACGATAGTCAGTCCGCCGCGTCGGCACCATCACTAGAAGGGATAGACGCACGCTTCGGAAGCAAGAAGTAGAAGGCGATATAGATGAAGGTGTGGGGGGACACTGCATACTGCGGCGCAGAAGCGATGTAGGTTAGATTCCTCAGGGCCCTGATCTTCGACGCGGGTACTCACTGCGATGAGTGCCATCAATGTGCATAGGCTAAAGCGAGTCAGCGAGGAGACTACGATACAAAGTTCGTTATACGCTCACGTAGTTACTACTCCAGTGTTCACGCTGAACAGGATAAGGGTCCGAATCGTTTGATCCACGCTAGCAAGGTAGGACACAAGTCAGTGCGGCGCGCTAAAATTATGCGGCTCGACGTCTAACGTACCCGAAGTAGCTGCTTCTCCGCCTTGCAAGTAACGCACACATCGACGCAGCGATGATGAGGTCGGCGGCAAAGATCATCGACAGACTGAAGTAGAAAAGCCACTGTGTCAAGGGCATGATGAGCACGCAGGTGGGCCGACGCAACCAAGTACCATTCACGTACCGCGAATTGCTGCAGCTCAACGTAGCTGGTGCACGAAAACCTAACGGAGCGTAGAGCAACTGATGAGAAGCCAAGTTCGCATGCACCGTTATAATTACCCACCCCTTGATCGGATACGCTGACGGAAGAAATCAGGAAGTTAGTAGACACTCCGAGCCCATAAGCGTATGCAAGGACGCACCCAAACTACAGCCTAAATCGCCCTCGTCAGTCGCGAGACAGCGGCATATGTGAAGCAGACTGACCAAAGCTGACCACAGATGTGATGGCCTGGGAGGAAACCCAACGGGTGAATACCAAACCAGGCTTTCTATTGACCGCTACTTACGATGATTGAGCAGAGAACACGGTTCCTGTCGCTCACTTTTGGCGGTCATCGACGCTACACACCGCGTATGCAAGGAACCTGAACTCACATATCCAAATTCTGTAACAGAATAGACTGTGCCCCCAATCGCGCTATGTAAGCTGCCAGGAACGTGGCGGGCTAAGGCTAGTGAGTATACTCACCCTCTGATAATTCCGTCGCTTACACCCTGCATTCATATCAGTCATGATGCATTGTCGTTCAGCTGGAGATGCACTATGTACTTACCGTCACAATGACCTGGGCCTGTGCGACATTCAGTAACCTCTTTGCGGTGTTCGATGTAGTGCAAGACTCACCAGCACACTCCTAGCATCGTTCATGTGCACAGTTGATAGATGATTATATATATATATACACAGACAATAAACACTCACCACGTCGGTTTCAGCACACCCAAGAAATCCCCAAAATTCGTGATAGCATAATGATACACAGTATGCGTGACCATGATCAGATGAACAGTGTCGAGAATCCTGAGGTGTCGCAGAGGGTAAAGGAGATGATCGCAGTTTACGTGAAGCGACGTACCATAGAAATGCGACCTAAGAGGGAGGACAACAACGTATAGACGCCACATGAGCTGACGCCATCCACGCGGAGGGAGCACTTACGAGGCTCTTCATCGTAGCCGAGTCTTTGCGGCTCTTCCCATAGTAAACGTAAGTCTGCAAGGTCGTCAACCCATAAAGACTATGGAGAAATCAAAACATGAGTATATCCAGATGAGGACCTCAACGGGTGATATGGGACTCACCATGCCGCAAGGATATTGCCTGTACACAGCTCATGTGTCAACCGCCACTCCTAGAGACGCAATCGCCCGTACCTATGAAGGCAGCTCCGATAGTGTTACCAAGGGAGAGCGATATCGGCGCCATATGGGGAAGGAAGTAGAGGGGGGTTGGCAAAGGGCGGACCTCTCCCTCGAGCGGCTCGCCACCCTATGTATATTCTCACTCACAGGTCTGATATGCGCCGGTCTAGGGCGATGAGGATGTCCGCGTAATGCCGTACATCTCTTTGGGGGTACCGGGCCTGACATGTCAGCGGCGGAGAGCCGTTTCATCACGATGTGCAGGCGATGGCATCGCGAAGCCACTGGTGTCCGTGTTACCAAACCTTCGAGAGCTCGTGGTCGCGTGGCGGGCGGCGTGAAGACAGAAATCAAGAGACGGGAACGAGGCCAGCAGGAGGGTGCATTAACACCATATGGCTGTACCACATCACCGTCGAAGCCGTGGCGCACGGAGCGAGGCGGACGTGCGCCGTCATCACGGTCTTCTGTAACGAGCGCTGTTTCCCAGAAGGCAGCGCGAAAGATGGGGGTGGAAGCGGCGAGTTCCTAGGCCTCGTCGTTCGGTGCCTGTTGAACTCAAACTGGCATATCAATATGAGCGGCACTCACTTGGGTCGCCGCAGGACAAATTCAATCATACCCAATACCTACATGAGGCGAGCAGCACTACGCAGAACGTGCTGCGCGGCGCGGCGCCAGTGGCTGTCCTGGGTGCAGTTGGTTCGAGCTTAGTGTGCTATATATTGTTGCCGCTCACTCATAGACATTCAGTGATGCCGCATTACGATCATTTCGAGGACAAGAGACAAACCGCGGGAGAAGGATACCGTGAGCGGTGTGCACGGGGGCTGTCATTTCGAGACGCCACTGTAATCAAATTCGAAGGCATGGATCATGATTGTGGTCTGTTCTACACGGTGCCGGTTTCGTGCGGTTCTTCGATTCTAGCGTAGAAGTCCTGCCAGAACTTCTGGCTGGCCTGTAGGGCGTAAATTTAGAACATCAGCTCGGGACGCCCGGGCTGCTTGAAGTAAGGCATACCTCATCAGGGCCGCCCATGATCTGCTGCTCAGCGGGGTCTGTCTTCAGCTCAGTCGCCGTATGTACCTGGATTTGCAGCCCGGACTATACCATACGATGTGAGCGTCGCAAAATCAGTCGCTGTGTCAACAGTGAGTGAACGGAGTAGCGTCTTTACCTGATCACTGGCGTTTCGAGGACGGAGGCTGTGTCGCGCCGGCCTGATGGGCGGTAGATAGGGTGAGGTGGATGTCGTAGCGAGCGGGATGGAGACCATGCTTGGGTCGGCCTCTCTAAGTGGACGCCGCGCGTTCAACGTCGCGAGCAACGAGTTCAGGAACACTGTCTAGGATATGAGAAATCTGAAGCAGCAGGCCACGAGAATGACTCACATTTGGGAAGAACGAAGTAGAACGCGATGAACACGAAATTGGTAGGCATCGTCGCATACTATAACGGACACAAAATTAGCCCTGGACAACGCCGATCAACCACAACAACACTGACGCTGACGAGACAGAGCAACGCGCAGAGGCTTTACCCAGGTATTAGCGAGCGGTGGACGGATGAGGTGCGAGTCACTCGGGAGCGTACCTGGTGAGAGCGCCAGTGTTGATACTGTACATGGTCAAGACGCGGACTATAGAATCCGTCCTATACCCCCCATCAGAGCTGTGGCGGATATCGAACCTTTGCATACATACCTCGAGAACCCTGTTCGACGTTGAGCCAACAGGACGCACATCGAGGCAGCAATGAGGACGTCCGCCAGTACGCCCGATCCTAAGCTGATATACAAGATGGTCTACGGAACACGTTAACGACAGCCTGAACACAGAACGATGGGGTGGTGCTTACCGAGACCTCAAACAGGTCGGCGAATGACGCTAAACTGAGTCTGTTATACACCTCAGAACAAGAGCTCATGGATATGAGCGTGCAACGCGTACCCCTTGATCGCAAAAGCTACTTCACTAAATATTGTAATACTAGGATGGATGGAGATAGTTACTCACCAAGGCTACCCCCTATGAAGCGCAGTCGCGTTAGTGTCCTGACGAGCCCATGTTTGAAAGCTGCTTGCCAAATACAATGAGGGATATCGTCATCTTCGAATTTCGCAGCTATCAGCACAGTGCATATCGACTCCCACTGAAGAGCTCACAATTGTCATAATAAGGGTCCGGTTATTGTTGCTCACTAAAGGCGCACCGGGTTACGCATGCCCGCGAATAGGCCAAAGGAGATGGGCGTACATTTCCATACCCGATCGCAGAAGATGCTGCTTGGCCCTCAGCGCCGGCACGAGAACAAGACGTGGATGGCGATACACACCTTCTAACGATGAGATCGCTCACGCCCTGCTTTGTGTAAGCTACAGTAGCACGAACCAGACTGGATCAGACTGCTCACAGTTACGACGACTTGAGCCTGGGGCGTACGGCACATGTTAATGGATGTCGGCACAGGTAAGTCTATCCTTTACCATTATACTCCTATAGAGGCGAGTGATGAGTTTACCTCATGATATGCAAGAGACAGAGACCGCACCATATCGGTATCTCGAGTGCCAGAGGGTTGGAGAAGTCCTTGACAGCATAGTAGTAGACTGAATGCGTCACCAACGCCAAGTGGAGGCTGTCCAGAGCCCTGTACTGAACTCAGCCGAGGGTCGGCAAGGTCGGGAAAGAGGAACGAGCCATAAGAAGAACACCTGGAAACGTTGATCAGGAACCGCGGACAACATGAAGCCTAAGCACGAACAGTACACTCACAAGGAGCTTCAAATACAGCCTGTCTCCTCCGTTGCGCCCATAGTAAATGTAGGTCTGCACAACCGTGCCTCCGTATAGACTATGGGCGGGCTCAGCGAAGGAAGCGGGACGCGGGACCGGATCACGCACCAAGCAGCTGCTATGTTGCCTAGGAAGCATTAGTCAAGCCGTAAAGTTCACCAAAGACGGCTCACATACCTAGAAACGCGGCACCCAATGTATCATCCAGCGACAACTGGGCCATTGCAGGGGCAGAGTCCATCGTGAATGAGGTCGTCCAGCGGGGCTACGTCCCCGACCTCGCGGCGTGGGGATCTACTTATGGCTGTCCTGGGAGGCATTGACATGCGACCTACTGGTTGCCAGAACTGTCACAAGCGCGTGTGGAGACGTCCGGGGCGAGTGCGCAGCTTGAAGGGCATGGGAACCGGGGGCATTGCGGCCAGCCTTGCGTGGGAGGTGGGATCGCCCGTCTCTCAGGTCATGAACCGGCATAGAGCAATGAACCTTCGGCCCAGAGACAACGTGGGCGCGCGATACGCGGTGACCTGCACATATTTAGACCATGCACACGCCAGACTGAGTGCGTTCTTCCGCGGCGAGAAGTCGCCAGACGGCGCGTGCCATATGCTGGCTGGGGCACAGTTCGATCCAAAGGTGACGTAGAGCAAGAGTGAACGACTGGGGCGGCCTCCGCTGCCAGAACGGCTCGCAAACCCCGCGTAAGTTGCGGCCTCGGTGAGCGGGCTCACGGTCGCGTGGAGTCAACGCCCAGGGCACCCTCTCCAGGGCTGAATCTAGTCCACTGCACAGTATTGTTCTACCAAAGTTGCGGTGGGCTCCTATATGGCGGTCATGTAATCAAGTCCATCGGACGTCGGTGGTTTCCTGGGATACCGACACCGTGTGACCCTATACCAAACGGTAGGAGATGATCAGCGTTTGATACAGGGATAGGTGAGAACACTCAACGTACCCGCACATTGGTAAATACACATACAAACTCTTGGTCCGATAGGCTTGCGCAAGCAGGTGGCAACGAATTCGGTAGCACCAAGGACGCCAGTTGGCGCAGCTCGTAAGGGTAAAAATTCATCGGTGTCGTTGCAGGTAAGTTCTCCCGGTGGATTGAACGTAGAAAGGCGAGGTCCTGAGTGATATTTGTGGTAGCGCGGATGGGATGGATATGAGTAGTATTATTTGGCTCGATGGTATAAATTTAGTGGGATATTTTCCGACGCACTCAAGTACGGCAGGGCTCATCGAGCTATTGGTCAGAGGCACTCACCCTCAATTTAAGGTTGATCTACCCAGAGCTCATAGCGAATCTAACAAGATCGACTTCGCACGTGTTCGTGCTAATCGGAGACCTGTTTTATAAGCGTGAGCGTCGTATATGCACATACTGACACACTTTTCTTACACCGTGGGCGTAATGTGCGGCTGTTCCGCATGGAGTTTGCTGCATGGTTTGGCGTCCACAGGCGGGATAGTCAACTAGACACCTCCGCAATCGTCCCCCGAGATGACCACTTGCTTCGAAGCTGTCGCTAAGCCTGTCTCCGTGTACGACTATCTCCCATGCTGCCGACCCCAGTTATCGCGTCCACAAACCCTGACACGCGTTTTTCGGTTGGCTCTCACACCTGAGCCGCAGTGCGGAGAAATGAGAACGGGTGAAGATCATCCGACACCGCTTCTAGGACGGAGACAGAGTTAGCGATATGTCGAGACCTCTTGAGAACCATGCTGGGCCTCACGAGTTGCACATGGATGCTGCTTCTGGGTGAACATAAAAAGTGAGCTTTGATGCTCTCGTAAAGATTATACAACAATGCGGCGTGAACCCGATCGTGGGTGGCTCCTCACCAAACACGATTATCCCTCTTGAGCTTCTTGCTCTCGTATCTCGCGTTCGATCCGTTCCCGCTCTGCCTGACGCATGCGCAGCAGCGTCATTGACTCATAATCTATCCCTGGGACATCTGTAGACGCGGTCGGCGCCTGAGGGATGACGTTGAAGTCCGGCTGAAAACAATGCAATTCAGCAACGCAATAGTGTCGAATGAAGAATTTACCCACGAAGGTAGACGGGAACGAGGCGAAAGCTGATGTTGAAGGAGCCTGAGTATGTGGTGAATTTGTCGCCTTGTAGTCAGATGACAGCGGCGTCTGGGCGGTAGCCGCTTTCGTTCCACTATTGGCCGTCGGTGGCTGGTTAGAACTTCCAGACGACCCACCGCCCAACTTCCCCATCTTCTTCAGCCATCCTATCAGCTCGGGTTCCTTTCCCTCCGCCCAATCAACCTCAATATCGGCTAGACCATTCTCCGCGCGTCCACTCGCACCGACCGCACCGAATGCGCCCACGATTTGCTTGAACGGCACGAGAGCTGTGCCACGTTTTGGTTTCTTGGGTGGTGCAGGTTTCAACGAGAGAACAATGGACGACTCGTCGAGTGCGCCAAAAGGCGTGAGGAGAGCGCTGATACTTGCCGCAGAAGTGAGTGATGGATGGGAGGTGAGGGTGTACTTGACGCGGATCGTGGTGTCGAGTGGACCTTACTCAAGTGTCAGAATCCGAGGTGCACACGCGCGAGAAGAGGTGAACTGACCTAATGACGGAGGTTCCAGCTCTGAGCGAGCGCTCTGCCCAAGCTCCTCGCGCTCACGTTCCTTCTTCTGCAGCTCTTTCTCTCGGTCTTCCCGCAGACGCCTGCCTTCCTCCATGATACGCTCGTTCTCTCTCCACCGTTCCTTCTTCTGAGCCTCAGTTTCCGTTCGTGCCTTCTTGAACGCCCTCTCCCGCTCCTCCAGTTCTTCAACCAAGTTCTTTCTCTTATTGTCATATTGGGAGAACCGTGCCTTTCGGGCTTCTTTGAGGCGCAACTTGGCGTCCAAAGCCATCCGCCGGAGCGGGTCAAGCAGGAGCTCTTGCGCTTGATACAATTCATGGAACTTGCGAGCTACAAAATTGCATCAGTAGTACTCGAAAGGACTGCGCGCAACCCAACGTACCTGCGTCTGGATTACCTCGGTTCTTCGAGATGGAACTTGGTTAGAGACGCGTTCAAACTTATACGATTACGCCAGCAGCACAACATAATCACTCACCCTGTCTGGATGGACTTTCAAGGACCTTTGTCGATATGCCGTCCGGATTTCTTGTTCCGACGCCTCAATCGACAACTCCAGAAGTTCGTATGGATTGACATCCTCCTCAGGGGCAGACATCTTGCGCACGCAGATGTCTTACAGGAACAAGCAGAAAGGCCGACTGGAAGTATGGCAGCAGGCGGCGGAAGTGGAGACGGTCGAGGTACGAGCTGGTAAGTAGGACTCGGAGGCACGTTTCTGACCTCGTCGGACGCGCCGCCACTTCAAGTGTGCCGTGACTTAGTGATTAGTCACGGTCACGGTCACTGGCAATCTGAGAGCCCCGGCGGCAGGCCACTCTGACGAGTCTCGCGGGGACAATCCGGCGGGTTGAGGAGCAGGTTGTCCGCGTGGTAGAAGTCCCTCCCACCAAGGAAACACTCACTGAAGGTCGCCGCGATTCGGAGAACACCGCTGCCAAGAAAGAAAGGTCAGTCGTGTACGATGTAGTAGCGCAAGCGACGCAACGCGATGCTGACTGAGATTCACGGTCGGGGTCGAATAGGCCATAGCCCGATTTCGGTGAACAGTTGGATCGACTGCGATCGAGACCTGAGCGCACTACGGAGGAATGTGTGTTTGCAATTAGTCATTCTCGCTCTCCGCAAGAGACCGGTTTTTGACCCCAACTCTGCGCATTGCAAGCAATAAACTTCTCAAGTGAGCATTCTAGTATTATATATGTCCACGAAATTGCGCTAATGTAGCTGTACAAGTCTTGCACAAGAAGTTTTTCTCTTACCGACAATTAATAGGACCAGAAGGCGCCAAAGCGTCCGACATAGGACACTCTGTATGATGTAGGATCCGTCACATGTACAAGACATATGACGAGGTGTCAGTTTCCCGATGAGCACGCAACCTCAGGCAATGGGTATGCTGTCGGTGGCGAGTATCTTCTCACGTTACAAATATCTTCCAGGCCTGTACCAGACGAAGTCCCAAGTCCCAGTAACAGTGTATATAAGCCCAGATCACTACACTGCAATGAACGAGACGCATCTCGCCTCGATAGACACCTACGGCTTGACGATACATGGCAGATAGCAACAAGCCTCTCGTTCTCGTCCTCGGCGCGACCGGATTCACCGGGCAGAGCATCACCGAAGGGCTCCTCAAGTCTGGAGGATTCGTGAGTGTCCCATCGCGTTCTGCGCATGAAGTCTGAGATTGCTGATTTTCGGAGCAGCGCATCGCTGCGCTCGTTCGTCCGACATCCGTATCCAAGCCGCAGACGGAGACCCTCCGTACGTCCGGCGTCGAGATTCGGCTGGGAGACATCAAAGACACCCCTGAGAAGCTCCGGGAAACACTCGCGGGCGTCGATATCCTGATCAGCGCGGCCAGCGCGTACATCCAGGAGGATATCTTTCGCGCCGCGAAAGAAGTCGGCGTGCAGCGCGTCGTCCCATGCGACTGGGCGACGCCCGGCGCAAAGGGCATCCGCACCCTCCACGACAAGGTGCGTCCGACGTCTTCTGAACCGCCAATGAGGTTTGACCCAAAGTACCATAACAACCCACAGAAACTCGCGGTCCGCGAATTCGTGCAGGAGCTCGGCCTCCCGTACACGTTTATCGACGTCGGGTGGTGGATGCAGATATCGCTCCCACTGCCCGCCCGCAGCACCACGTACATGAAGGCCAAGACGTATGAAGTGTTCGGGGATGGCAGCGATCGGTTTCTCGTGACGGACCTGCGGCACATCGGCGCGTACGTCGCGCACATTATCGCGGATCCGCGCACGCTCAACCACGCGGTCATAATCTGGGAGGACGAGCCGACGCAGCTAGAAGCGCACGAGATTGGCCAGCGACTCTCCGGGGAGGGCGAGAGTCTCAAGGCGCAGAGAAAATTTGTACGTGTGCCCCTTGTGAGGACGTGGCTGTTCCGGAGGTTCATGTTAGCCGGCGTATACAGGTCACAGCAGACGAAGCCCTGCAAAGGACCACTGAGGGCAAGGCGAAGCTCGCACGTGGCGAGGGCACCCCCGAGGTTGCGCTTCAGGTGTCCTGGAACCTGTACAAGTACAGCATTCACATCCTTGGCGAGAACACGCTGGAGAACGCGAAGCGGCTGGGGTACCTCGATGTCCGGGAGCTATATCCTGACCTCCCTCGGTACACCCTCAAGGACTTCGCGAAGGAGTTCTATTCATGGGAGCACCCGGGGGCGGCCTTCGATAGGTTTGGTTAAGGCCAGGGGTGTACAAGTAATGGTTTTACATCTTCAACGTGGCTGCTAAATATCACACTGTGCCTTACTCCCGACGCGCTGCAGGTACATCCCCATGGCTAGTAAATGTAAGGTATCAAACGATACGGCGTCTTCTTCGCCCACGCCTCCCACTCCTCGCCGAAATTCTCGCGCAGCACCGCATCCTCCTTGCTAACGCGCGTCAGCACCTGCACACCCACCAGCCCGATGTACCCAAACACGGCGGCGAGGTACACCTTCCCCCACCCAGTCCCCCGCCACCCGACCTCCGTGAAGTACGCCCCTGCGCTCGTGGCCATGATCAGGTTCCCGATGGGGGCCATCACGAAGCCGGTGTAGCTCGGATGCCGGACCCAGGCGTACGGACCGTCGGTCACGAGGTTGTGGTCGCTCTTGACCGCGAGCTGCCAGGTGAAGAAGCGGCCGAGGGTGCGGTAGGCCCATACGCGCACTCCGCCGCCGATGAGTGCAATGGCGGCGCCCAGGAGGTACCTTGGCGTGATTTGCAGCGAGAGGGTAGGTACGGGCGATCCCAGGGCAAGCACAGAGAGAATAGAGTCGGAGAACGACGAGGGGACGGCTTGTGCTAGGACGGCGACTGCTTCAGCGACTGCTATAGCGCAAATCCCGAGCTACACCCGCCCAAAAGACCCGGTGAGTGACTTTCGGAGATGAACGGTCAGTGACAAAACTGACCTTTGAGAGGAGGACAAATTTCAGTTGCACGTCAGCAGTCCGTGTGAATAGATCGGGCTTCGTGAAGCTGTCTCGCTCCTTTGGCGGCGGTGGAGGATTGGGTGGTGTCAAGGATATGTAGGTGAGTGCCACATCGGTCAACAGGATTGGTATCTTGAGGAGGGGCGTCGTAAGGGCCGGAGGGATGAGCAGAGACATTCTCGATGATAGTGCAACAGTCGATCTGAGGAAAGTGCGCCTGATATCACACCGTATTCCAGGCTTTATCAATCTCGCCAGCCGACGCCGGCTTCGCGCGTAAACATTCCTACATGTTCCAGACCTGAGAAGAACAATTCACATACGGTTCTTCAGACACACACAGGCCTGCAAGCGACGCGGGGGTCATGGGAACCTTCTAGCATGACGGTCACAGGCAGGTTATTTGTCTGAGGTGCTGGCCGGCCACAGAGGCACCGGTGGTACACGGTGAATTGTGGTATGTCTTCCATAGCAATCTCGCTGCCTCGTCTGAAACTTGTGAGAACAGGTACAAAGCGCGCGATTAATGCGGCTTGTGGTTTAAGAAATTACACAACGAAGCGTCGCGGTGCGAATTGTCAAGTGACCGCCTCTGCGTGAGAAACATACGCGCATGTACGGCCGCCGACGCTGATACGCTATCCGGATTCAGGGCGATGCCCGAGTGTCTGCACGCGATTACTCAGTGGTAGACTTTAGCGCGAGTATTTATTTCAAGCATACGGTGGCAGCGCTAGGCACTCTCTCACCTACTCACTCAGATGACTGTTCGGAACGCCTCTACAGACTTCGAGGATCGCCCTGTGACGTACTTATACGGTGGATCTTGCACAGAAGAATGGCCTTCCTGGCTAACTGTCGGATATGACATGACTCTTGAAGCGGGTGCAGTTTCTCAGCGCCGAGCGGTCCTACCTTAGTGGACAACTTGAACGTGTTCCCTCTTACAGCCGTACTCGATGGCGCAGTAGGAGGCCGTTGTTATATTCGACTATGAATCAATGCCGATACCACTGTGTCCAAACATCGGACTCCCGTTGAATTCCTGTCCGACTGTGACCGCCGACGACGAAACGTCGAATCCTGAGCGCTGCCACTGAACCTTCCAAGTTCATCAAGTTGCTGCGGGCGGGTGCGGCACCGCCACCTGTCAACGAATGATATCACCTGCGAACGTTGAGCTTCCTTAGCGTCGAGTAGGTAATCAGTGGTGGTGGTATTCCCCGTCGATGCAGAGCTGGCAATATTCTATGCGCGTCCAGCTAGAATTCGCTGGGTGTATGGTGACCAATCCCTAGTACAGGTAGGGTATCGCCTGGTACGGTGTCTTCTTCGTCCACGCCTCCCACTCCGATCCAAATTCTTCCCTCAGCACCGCGTCCTCCTTCGCCATCCTGTTCAGCAATATCATGGCGGCGGGCGTGAAGTAACCGATCATCACAGCCGCGCATGTCTTCCCCCAGACCGACCGCCAAACCCCGGCTTCCATGCAGTACGAGCCCGTGCTGGAGAGCATGACAATGTTGCCGATCTGCAGTACGATCCAGCTGATATAGCTCGGGTGACGGACGATGGCGTACGGTCCCGTGGTGACGAGCTTGTGACCATCTTGCAAGGATAGCTGCCAGACGAAGAATCGCCCGAGGGTGCGATGACACCATAGGCGATTGAGCCCGCCCGCCAGGGCGAGCATGCTCCCGACCACGAACGTCGGCGTGATGCGCAGGGAGAGGTCCTCGACGGTTGTTGACACTCGCGCCAGGCTCGGGTGGGATTGCCACAGTGAGGGGGTTTCTTGAATGATCACAGCCGCCGCCTCCATCATAATCAGACCGCACGTACACCACTGCGAGTGCCGTGGATGAGCTACAATGTGGGCCAAACGGGCTAAAATGAAAGCGCTTACCTTCAACACGCTGATTATCTTCATATGCATGTCATCTATGGGGGTGAGGATGCCGTGGCCGTCGTACTTCTTCGTTTGCACTGGAGGGGGCGGAGGGTTCGGCGGCGTTGTAGTGATGTAGTTGAGGATGGCCTCTGATACCAGGAGCGGTATCTTTAGCAATGGCGTCGACAGGATCGTCGGGATGTAAGCGAATAGGTTCATGGCCGAAGGTGAGCAGAAGAGGTGCTATCGGTTTGCGCGTAGCGATCCCGTCCTCAGGGTACCCCCTTATATACCGGAGGTTCGAGCCACGCGTGCGTCTACATAAATTGGAGCCGAATAATGAGCGATTCGTGGTACCCTCCTCTGTGTGCAGGTACCAAGGTGTACGTATGATGGGGCTTGGATCGCGTCGTCGTCTCTTCTGTCTGTACAGATTAGTACCGGCTCCTTCCCTGTTAGTCAGATCACACCAAAGCGCGCGCTCAGGCCTCGTCGGCTGGGATATTGGAGGATTTTTGAGCAAAGTCACGCCCTATTGTGAACACGATGCCTTGAAGAGAACCTGACTATACTGCTACGGTAAGCGTTATTTAGTACGCACCATGCCACTACGAGCACAGACACTCACCTGGAAGCTGTCGGCGGTCCCTATCATGGACCAAAGGTATCGAACGCCGTCGGATCCGGCCTTCCAAGCATGGAGTTCGAGGGAGGCGTGCGAGACGTACTAGACGATATCGTAACTTCCACATAGACTTGCCGACGTTCGGCAGCAAGGGAAGTAGTATTTGAGGATACTCGAATGACGCTAACCGGCGCCTTATCTCCCTCAGGCAGACGTTGTGTGATCTTGTTGAAGACGAGGGTACGACCACACTAACACCAGCGCCGATCCTTGCTTATTGACTTTCCCTTCCCGGGCTTCCGGTTAGAGTGTCTGAGGTGACTGGTGAGCCATGACGTGGCCCACACTTGTGTGTCTCTTGTAAGAGGATTGCCTGCGAAAGCCAGGGACCTTGTACTGTGAACGCCTGATCCACGCGAACGTACGATGCCAACGATATCGCACACTGATTCACGAAAACCACAACAGCATGCGACAGAGGACGTTGAACGTGTTGAAAGACATACCGTAACTTTGCAAGATACAAGACTGAGGCTTGTACATGTGTCGCAAATGCTTCCCTGATGGACTTCAGAGACTTGTCTGGCGGAAGAGGGTGATGCGAGGAGAAGATCTGGTAGTATAGTCCGCTCGAAACCTACGAACACACGGGAATCCGCACCAAAGAGTATATGAACCGACGGGGAATTAGGACCGCGCGCATAGATATAACACAACAATGGCCCCCGCCATGATGGGTGAAGATATACGAGTCGGGTCGGAGCGGGGGCCACGGAAGGGCAGAGGGAGCAAAACGGGGGAAAGCCGATCATTTGTGTGTCGCCTTGACCACTGACACGACGATGATGACAATGATAATGGCGATGGCCACGCCAATAATGAGCCTCATCTGCACGAAGGATGTGTGAGTATCTGCGTTTCACACCAAGGGGCGTCTACAAACCTTCATATCCTTCCACCTGGAGCGCCGAAACGATCAGCGTCATAGCATTCCTGGTAGGCGTGCGTACATACCACATATTCTGGAGAACATGTTAGCGGCAGCACAGAATTCAAAGAATGCATACGGTACATACCTTGCGTACACGGTTCGCGCCGCGACGGAATCCCTGCGCGGATACGGCGAGGTTGTCTGTAAGAGGACATGACATCAGCCACGGCGCTTGGCATATACACAGCACGCAGCGGCAGCAAGTACTGCGGGTACTCGGCCAGGAGGTGGCACCACCGCGCGAAGCGTACTAGGGAATGCAACTCACCGGTCTTGTCCTGCAGTTGGTCCAGCCTCTCTCCTCGCTCAGCGACCTTGGTGATGTTCTCCCTCATGATCCCAACGGTGTCATCAATTTGGGCCTGAATGGCCGCTGTCTTCGCGTTTCCCGCGGGACCAGCCGGGTTTGAGGAAGAGCCGCCACGGGGCAGGTAGGGGTCGTACGGTTCGGACCTGTAGCAGACATCGTTGGAGCGACGTGGGGGGTCAAAGTGCAAGTTCAGAGCGTGGAACGGCAAGCGATAGGGAATGCCACTGACATGGCTGTTGCGTGCGAGTTTTGGAGGTGGGAGAGCTTGTAGATGAGCTGGAGAGCACGACGGAGAGCAGCAAGCGGAGACTGACCAAATTAGAGGAAGGAGGTAGGGTGCGAGCGTCGGTGGTCGTGAGGGGAGGTGGTGGTCGTGAGCGCAGGACTGCGCGGCTGGTGACGAGAGACGGAGCGGTTCGAGCCAAACACGCGCAAGCACCCCGCACCGCCAGGCACTCGGCCATCCCTCCCGCGCACAGTCGCACCGCCGGTGCCTCGATCATCTTACTCACACATCCCCTCTCAGCAAATGTACTGCATAGCTATGCAACCGGTCCGTAGAATGCAACACAAATCGCACCAGTACGATCAAGAGATGCGGATAGAATAGCAAACATCCAAAGCCCAAACCTCAACGTTCAACAGCAGCTTGAAAGGGAATCATACACAAGGGTATCGTATGTATCTAGACCAGCGAGAGAGCGTCACAGTTCCATAGTACGGACGCGGTCCGGTATGTGAGTGAGCAAAGAGCTCTACGAGCGGAAGGGAATATACAGCGCGATCCGAAAAAACGAATGGATAAGGATAGGGAGCGCAACGCGAGCAGCTGCGACGGTCCTCAGGCGAACAACTTCAACATGGTATATACATCTGAACTGTCCGAAGCAACGAACTCAGCGTGCGCACCCACCCCTACTCCTCTTCGCCCTCGTCTTCCTCTTGGATGCCACGGAAGGCGAGGCCGGCCCGCCCTGGGGGCAGCTGGCGTCGCCCGCCCCGCTGCTCCGCACTCTCGAAGACGTTGTCGTTCGCTGGGAGGGGAGAGCTGCGGCCCGCAGGTGAGCGGTTCGCCTTGGTGCGGTTCGCCCTGGGCGGCACAGGCCCGACGGACAGACTTGTGACCGCAGTAGTCGCCGCCCGCTTGCTAGTGGCCCGCGGGGTGACGCTGCGGGGAGCAGGGGTCTCCGCCTGCACGAACGTCGTGACGGCGCTGCTCGCCGAGGAGGGCATTTGGCCGAGACCACCAACGTACGCGGGGCTCTCCTCCTCTTCGTCAACCCAGTCCGACTCGTCTCCCATGCTGAAAGACTGCCGCCCAGAGAAGACGTCGCGGATCCCGGCTGGCATTTCCGCAGGGTAGACGGCTAGGACTTCAACGGCCGGGTGCGCGGCGCGCGTTTGCCATCCGGGCGGCTCGAGGCCCCACGACTTCTTCCAGCTTGAACGACCCAGTGAGTTGAGGTATCCGCCATTCCCGCTTGGGTTCGCGAACGGCGTTTGGCGCTTGTGAGCAACGAATGTCGCGGCGCCGTGTGCACGCCGAGGCGTCTCGTCCAGTGATCGTCTCACTGCGACCTTGTGCGGCGAGCTGTTCCGGCGACTGTCCGTCTCAGAGAGGTCGTAGATGGAGCCTTGGCGCGATGACGCGCGGGACTGCGCAGAGGAGGCTGAGTTGGACCGCAAATGTGGCGGACGATTCGAGCCAGACGGTGTCATCTGTATTTGTCGGACTACCCTCGTCGAGGAGCCCGAGCCGCCGCGACGATGAGCACCCTTGGGTAAGGGGGACGCCGTGCGGCCCAAGTAAATGGACCCCGCCGAGCTCGCTGACGGTGACTTGCGGTGCCGTGGGTGGTTGATGAAGCTGTGTATCGAGCTAGGGCGCGACATGAACTCCTCGCGCTCCGAGTTCGGCGTGTGGCTGCCGAACGACCGTCGGCTTGGGTCACTGCGCCGGCGCGAGACCGAGGCTGAGTACGGCGGCGACTCGACAACCCCGTATTGCACCGACGTGGATGACCGCCGCGAATTCACGCTGCTCGACCGTCGTGAGGACATGGAAGCCCGTTTGGCGGCGCGGGCAGCAGCCTGAGCCTTGCTGCGGCCTGCAGTAGCCTTTCCGCGTCCGCGGCCCTTCACGGTGCCTCCTCGTCGTGTCGACACAGGACTCGAACCAGGGCTGTTGAGCGAGTTGCTGTGAGCGAGCGCTTGCGCCATTGTAGGGTCTTCCTTGCGCTTGCCCTTCGGGTCCTCTCTGAACCAGCGCTGGAACGTGGAGAGCAAACTCGCGCGATTCCGGTTACCAATAGCGCTCTTGTTCCCGCGCGAGGGGATGCTAGGAAGTGAGGTGAGCGTGTCCGCTGGGGAGCCGGTGTCGGGCGGAGGGGACTGCTTGCCCGCCATGACCCACGGCGAGCCCATCTGCCCCTGGGAGCCGTTCAGTTCCGCAGGCGGCGGCGTAGATGACATCGCCGCGTCCTTGACCGCGCGCAAAGGAGGGGTCTTCATGTGCTTGCTCGACCCGCTCCCATGTGACGATCGCGGTTCCTCCGTACTCCCGTTCCCGTTCTTCTTCTCCGACTTCTCCTTCTCTTCGCGCTCTCGTCGCTCCCGCTCCTCGCGGACCGCCTCCGCAGACTTCTTCCGCACGAGACCCGCGGCCTCCAGCGCGGTGGTCGCGCGCTGCATGATGCTCACGCTGCCCGAGCGGTTCTTGCGGCCCTTCGACCCTTGGCTCTCCTTGTCTTTGTCCTTCATGCTCCCGCTGGGAGTTGACGGAAGCGATTTGCCGGCCAGGGAGTCCGCGACCGAAGGCGACGGTGATAGCAAACGTGTGGGCGAATGGTTGCGCGGGGGAGTCGAGGGGCGCTTTGAGACAGGAGCGGTAGGCGTCGCAGGAATGAGCTGTAGCTCGGGCGCGGAGTGAGCAGGCATCAGCGCTGGGGGGATGGGCATGCGGGACTCCCGGGTACGGCCGACCGTGCCATCGCTGGCCTCCGAGCGTGCTTCATCTGTGTGCGAGCGATGCTGTGAACGCCCGTGCGACTTGTCCCGTCGCGCCTCCGGACGCGGGGTTTCGTGCGGAACATCCGCAACAGGCTCCTCCTGGACGACTATCGATGTGTCGATGGATGGTTGTGAAGCCCCTTCCTCGGCTACTCTCTTCTCGGTCTTACGCTTGAGCATCCACCACAAGGCACCTGTCGCGTCGCACGCGTCATTGAGGACCGAATGGACGATCTGGCCAGTGTCAAGGCCTAGAGAGCACATCGAGTTCAGCAGCTCCCGCTCCAGAGGGGTAGAGAAGATGAGCGGCGCGGGTGTATGCAGCAGGGAGGAAAAGTCCTGTGGTGGTAGAGGGATATTGGACTTTTCGAAGTTGTTCGGTCCGTGTTCCGAGAGTGTCGAAGAGACAGAACGTCGTTTGGTGCGTGCTGGTGTTCGGGTAGGATAAGCGGGAGGGATCTTCGGGTTACTGTCATCCCGAGATACGTTCGGGCGCGGAGGGGTAGAATGTGGGCGGTCAGGGAATGTATCAATCTCTTCTAATACAGTAGGAGGCTTTGAGGAACCTGGGACCGGCTGCCTAGCTGTGAGTTTCTTCAAGGTGCTCTCGCTGGCGTTGCTGTGCATTCCCTGTACGTCGGGAGAAGAGGACCCAGGCGAAGTCTCATCAGGAGTAGTAGGCGCAGAGGAGTAGAACTCGGAGGAAGCAGAGTGAAATGTAGCGTCTGAAGCGGAGGATGCGGAAGGAGGTTGTGGATAGAGAGATGTGGTAGTCTGCAGCTGTGCTGGCGAAGATGGCCGGGAGAGGATGGGAAAGCTGCTCTGAGATGAGCTGCGCTTTGGAAGCTGATTACCAGCGGTGAACCAAGGATGCGTGAGGATCTGCGCGATCGTGAAACGTTCTGATGGATCCACACGAAGGATCCCAGCGAGTAGAGCCCGAGATTCTGCGTGCATTCAGTACCAGCATTCACGTACCAGTCTAGTCAGCACTTACCGTCCGAAAGCCATTCAGGATCATCATACTCTCCCTTGATGACTTTGTCCCTCATGATGCTTTCATCGTCATCATCGAAGGGTAGCGTGCCCGTCAAGAGTGTGTAAAGGATCACACCCAGAGACCAGACATCAACCTCTGTTGGGAATGGGTCGTTAGCATGATTTCGCGAAAGGACGTTGACGTCAGGCTCCGGTGGGCTACAGACGAAAGAAGGTGCCGGCTGCTTATGAATCGAAGAGCCATGTCAATTCACTAGTGTGCCTGCGGGGTAGGGATAAGAAGCGAACAACGTCAGCGTACCCAACAAAGCCGGTGATTGATTCGAGCGTCCCTTACGCCGAGGGAGGTAAATCGACCACCTTCCAATCGGCCGAGCGGTTCTAAAAGGTGCAGTCTGGTTGTCCACGGCGGCATCGTTCTGACAACGTGGACGAACCATGGTTTAACGGGCAACCCGGAGAGAGGATTTACGGTGTGACCGCCTCGTGCATATCGGCGTCCCAGCCCCGCAGAGGCTGCCGACAGATTCTCAGAAGGGGGCGGCCCGTCGAGTCAGCCGTATGGACCGGCAGGCACCGCGACGACTCAGAACCAGGGCCCGAAATCGGCGCTCCACTTTCGTCTGCATACCCATAGGAAGCATCTGACATGTTTAGGCACGTACCTGGTCCAAGATACTTCTTGGCCATGAGCATTTCGGGAGCGGCGTATCCGGTCGTCCCGCAGAAGGTCTCCAGCAGCGTGCCCCGTTCAAACTCCCGAGTGAAGCCGAAGTCGCCGAGCTTGACACGGCAGCGTTCATCCAGCAGCACATTCTCCAGCTTGAGGTCGCGGTGAACGATGCCTTTCTCGTGCACGTACGCGACCGCGAGACAAAGCTGGCCAAAGAATACGCGGGTCTCTTCCTCCTCTAGACGGCCTTTCTCCGCGAGGTAATCAAAGAGCTCGCCTCCAGAGCAGAGCTCAGTTACGAGCCAGATGTTAGACTCGGTCGCGATGACCTCGTAGAGTTGCGTGACATGCGGGTGGTGGAGCTGTCGATGATGGTGAATCTCGCGAGTGAGCGCCGCAGACATGGCCTTCGGGATCTGCTTGATAGCAACGCGGATACCAGTCAGGCGGTGGACTCCCAACCTGACCTTCCCGTATGTTCCTGCATTCCACCAAGTGAGACACAAACGAGCAGTGAGGTGCGTCATACGGACCTTCTCCGATGACCTTTCCGAGCGTGTAGTTCCCGACCACCTTGATTTTCTGGGAGGATAGTTCCTTGCCAAGTTCGTTATACGCGGTAGCAAGCTGGGCCTTGTGATTCTGGGTTTGGGAGACCGATCCAGAAGGCCTGTGTTCGGCTGCGGGAGCCATAGCGAGTCATGTACAGAGAGTAAAAGGGAAAGGAACGTCAGAGGCGGAGATGCCTGGAGGTAGTAGTTTACAGAGGAGAGGGGGATGTTCCGACGAGAGTGTGGAGGGAGACGGAAAACGGTGAAGAGCATGTCCTCATGCGCACCGTGTCACAGCCCACCTCCACAACGCGTGACGCAGTGTGATCATCGTGATGGTTCGTGACGGATCACTGGCGGATCGCAGCCCGAATACCCAGCGATGGACCGTCGACGCGCGGATACGCTATGCTTCATCGCAGTTGGCAAATAAACGCGATCTACTGGTAGCAATACAACGGTAACATCAAGCTAACATCCGTAAAATCGTCAATGGTACACGAGATCTATCTCGTCGCCCTACAACGCGTTACGCGCTCATAATACGCTCGATCTCGAGCTGTACCCGCATGCGCGCAGCGACGCCCTCCGGAGAGGGTCCGCCAATGAGACGACCCGCCAGTCCATGGTAACCAACAGTGACACCATCGTACAAGAGCGAAAGCAAGCGGACCCATTGCTGGCCCCACACCTCGCGCGCGAGCAAGCCGCCCACATCCAACGCGGCTAGAGAAGTCTGACGTCAGATAGATTCGCGATCATACATGGGGCAATCCGGCTCACCGTGCAGTACTTGCGGAGCCACGGAGCTATCCAGCAGCTGCGGGTCCTTCAGCATCCGCGAGACGAACGTCCAGTATCGCGGCAGCCGGACCACCGGATCGAGCGGCTGGCTCACTCGTGCCACAAGGATGTGGAAGTAAACCCGCATCATACCGGTCACCCTGCTGGAGTATTCCGATAGGGTTTCGTCCTCTCCGCGGTAGCCTAGCGCCTTCCGTCTGCCCTCTTCGCTGAACGCTGTGCCATCGGAATCCTTTGAAGGGACGACAAGGGGCACTGGCCATCCGCCTGTCCGCTGACATAGCTTCGCCCAGAATACATCTGCGAAGTTGTCCAGCACGCCAAGGAGATTGGTAGTGACCTGGGCAAGGGGAATGGCGCTCCGTTTCTCGGCCGTGACTTCTGTCTCGGCTTGCAATAGTATGGCCTTCGCAAGGGAGGAAAGGAGGGCGACGTAAACTGGCGGGGGATGGGGCTGGAGTGGACGGATAATCTCGACGATTTGTTGCGACTGCAGACAGCATGTTCAGCATTAGCGAGAGCTCAACAAAGAGTATGCTCACAATCTTGTTGATGGCTTCCGCGTCGTTGGTGAGTTGACCGATCTTAGGAGTGATCGCCCGACGGCCAGCACTCCAGATAGCCTTCAGAGCTTTGTCTGCTTTCACTATCCTCATTGGTCCTGTCTTGATCGCCTACAGTCGACCATATAAGCACGGGACGTAGGCAACTTGTCAGCGGTGCGCTCACCTTCAGAGTATCCCTAGCGCGCTTCCAGTCCTCAAACGCGGTCGTGAAACCCAACGCCTTGCGTTCCTGCTCCTCGGCGCGATCTCGCTCGTTCCGCAGCCGTTCAGCCTCTGCCTGCTGTCGCTCCTCTTCCTCCTCCTTCTCCTTCTGCTTCCTCTTCTCCTCTTCCTCTTTGCATCTTCGTTCCTCCTCTAGTCGCTTCTTCTCTTCTGCCTCCTTCCGGACACGCTCCTCCTCCTCGCGCTTCTTCCGCTCAGCTTCCAGCTTCACACGCAACTTGTCTTCCTCCATCTTGATGACCGCGTCGATGCGTTCCCAAAGCTTGCGGTCACGCTCCTTCCACTGCGAGCGAAGCACCTCCTCTTCCTGCTGCTTCTTTACGTTCAACGCTGAGAGCTGCAGCTGAACCTCCCGGAGCTGCTGCTCGTGGATGGCTGCGAGCTCTTGCTGAGCCCGGGCCCGAGCCTCGTTCCGCTCCTTTCGGTGCTGCACACGTTCTTGCGCATGGTGCTGCCTTGCAACACGCTACGGAGACGTCAGAGGCAGATCAAGACAGGAAACGCGGAACATACGAAGGCCTCCTGTCGTGTATCCTTCTCCCACTCCTCGTATGGGTCATGGTGGTTGACATGCAGTCGTATCGACGCCACCGCGTCCTCGATCATATGCTGCTCCGCCAGAGGCCTATTTCGCTTCGGCTTTCTGTGAGGCCCCGTCAGCACGTCGAAACGCGAGTGGGACGCGCGAAATGACCTTACGGCGGTGGAGGGGGCACTTCAGACTCGGACGCATAGCAGAAGGAGTCGACCGACGCTTCACTCTCCGCATCCGAGTCTGAATCTTCAGAGGAAGAGGAGGCAGGGACGCCGAAGGTGGATCGCGACCTGTATTGTCTGTCGGACACATGTGAGCCTCTCCCAACCGCTAGGATCTTGCTGAAGAGACGAACCTCCGAGGAGATGATGGTGGAGAAACTGATGGGGAACGCGGGGCAGCAAACCTCATGGCGTATGAAGCTTCGCGGAGGACTGCACACACGCGTAGATGAGGGGAGGAAACAAGTGTGAGGTGAACCGTGAAGTTGCGGTGACTGCAGCAGCGGGGGAGGCTCAACATGAGGCTACTTTCCGCCACAACGTCACCCACGTGGCGCCCACGTTTCGGTCAAAGTCGATCGTTGCGGGCGCTTCTCCCTCAACACGGCCGCTCCGGTTCTCCCGGTGTCCGGTCCGGACAGAATCCCCGGAGGTGCGCCGCGCCACAGACGTCCTCTCGCCGAGTCTCCACCTTGGACTCTCTCCGTCTTCGGACTGACCTAAGTTCTACTCGTCCTCCACGCCCCTGTCGTGCACCCCATCTTGGCAGCAACACCACTAGTATCAGTCAGTCGACCCGCAGTATGGCTGAGACCTTCCTAGTCAGCGCTCGCCACTATCACCTCCCCACCGAACTACTGCGAGAAGTTGTTCATTACTACGCCCATATCATCTCCTGGCGTATCCCCGAGAGAGCGAGACAGAGCTACAAGCCGAACTGGACTGATTACCAACCCCTTACATTGGCCTCTAAAGTACTGCGCCAGCTATCTCTAGAGACTTGGTTTGAAGTCTACTACGCACAGTCGCCGGAAGACCTAGTGAACGCATGGCCAGAGTTTAGCACTTGGACCAGGTACGTTGTTATTACTGGCCCTGTTCCGCATACCACGACGCTAACACGAACTTCAGAGAACTGCACTGCGTAGAACTAGGCACGGACCTCCAGATCCGCCCCGTGCAGTGGACGCTCCAGGCGTTTCGCCGTCTGCGCAAGCTCCGCATTGACTTCGACCCGTCACAGTCGAACGCGATGCTCCTCATGCGCTTCGACCACCCGCGTCCCATCGCCTCTCACTTGCAAGAATTGGAGGTGCACGACGTCTCCTGGCCGTCCCCCATGGTTGTGCGCCTCGTCAGCGAGGCGTTTCCCGCGCTACGTGTGCTCAAGCTCATGCAGGACCTCGTGTGGTGCGGTCTCTGCAATACGTGTCGGTTTGCGACTTTCAAGGATCATCCCCCGCCTGAAATAATGTACGAGAAGACCGTCGGCCTTCCGGTAAGTGAGCCTGTATGTATCTCTAGTAGTGACGTTTGTTCATCGTTTCTCAGAGGTATTACGAGACCTACCTCATGTCACTCGCCCAACTGCATACCGTCCAGCTGACGGTCGCGTACGGTCTTGGGGGACTCGTGTCTCTCTCGAACAACGACGTCCTCTGGACGGGCGAATGCGACGACTGCATGGACATGATGTTCCCATCCTGGGACGGCTTCAAGGCGGAGTGGGTCGAGCAGAAGAAGACTATGGAGAGACCCCCGTCGCTCAAATGCGTCCGCTGGCGCTTCCGACACAAGAACGCGGTGGATGTCGCAGTCGACCTTGAAGAGATGGAGAGCCCTTCTGGGCAAGAAGAGGACGACGATGAGGATGATACGTAGCGCAGCCAGTGCGTCTGCGACAACACTGCACACAACAACATGGGTTCGCTACGTTTACTTCACAAAGCCCAATAGTTCATTAACCCGGCAGTTCGTCCAGACTCCAGACACAATACTCGCCATGCGCTTTGGAACCCATTCACGACTTTACCGTCTTGTCGCTCTGCTCTATACTAGAAGGTCGACATGCATCACGGACCGTATCCGGACTTCACTCGTCCTCCGCTGCTCGTCTGAAACACGCGTGCATGGCGAAGGAGCGATGTTGTGAGTTGACCGATGTATTGCTGGCGGTGCTTCCTCATGCTAATGCTGCGCTATTGACCGGTCTTTAGCATGCCATGCCATCCTTAGCATGCCATGCCTTCCTTAGCCATATTCACAGCACCGCCAAGGTCCCGTAATAGGATTCGTGCGTTCTCATGACCGGCCCCTCACCGGTCAAACGGGACGTGCGCCATTGGCTCGTAGTACCGGCACGCCCTCCGGACGGAAGTCAAGTCAATAACCCTCGGTCGCACTCGATCACGCCTCCGCTGGTCAAACACGATGTCATGATGGGGGCGTTCACACCGCTCCAAACGACGTATGTCATACAGCTCCGATGTTCCCTCGATATATTGTTATACAGGTGTGGTCGTACATTCAAGTTCCTGGTTACGCAGCAATACACTCAAACAGCCTTCGTGGTGTGCGCGGCATCGTGGGGAGGCTGCGCGATCGCGGAACATCAGCCCGCTGTAATACTCGGGAGGAGAAGACACGCACAGCAGAGGTGATGCCGAGGACGCGAGCGAGCGCGTTGAACTCGTCGGTGGTCGGCGTGGACGCGCCGGTGCAGACTACGATCCAGGTGCTCGCATCAGACAAGCGGGAACTCGGGGAGCAGAGGAGGGGTACGCACTGTCAATGACGTGCTGCTCGGGCTTGCCGATCTGCGAGGCGATCTGCGCGTAGGACAATCCTAGCGGCACCCCCAGGAGTCAGATTGCACGTCCACAACGGCCGCGAAACGGGCTACAACGCACCCTTCTTGTCCTTGGCGGCGGCGAGGGCAGCGCATTGCGGGTTGGGGGCCATGGTGTTCAGACGTTTAGAGAGGACTCGGGTAGGTGCTAAGCGAGATGGAGAATAGGCTCTGCGCCGTCCGCCGCTCTGTCCGCTTTATATAGGTGCTCCCATGGGAGCAGAGCCGTCCCAGTTGGGGCCGGGGCTCTGGAGGATCAGATGAGCGATTGTTATCGAGCATAATCTTATCCCAATCCAGCGGCGTAGGTCAACGGTGACAGGGAGTTGTCCGAGGCTGTCGTGGGTCGCATCATGCGGGAGAGAAGGCTTCTGGTGCTCAATGATGCACTGCAGGATTCCCAGGTCAGATACGGGGAGCGGGGTGCCCGTGCCCGGAGGTGATATATGTGTTGAGTGGGGTCGAGGAACGCGGAGCTGCGCAATTCATACGGGTTGAATGTGCACGTGGGGGGGGGGGAGTCGCGAATATATGGAGTGTTGTAAACATATATGTGGCAGCCTATCAGCGAGCCCGCATTTCCCTCTGAGAGGCACCCGCCCAGTGAGAGGACCGTGGCGGTCCGGCAGACACTCCTAACATCCACATATGTACTGCGGGACAGTTCTACTAGTGAGTTTGGAGTTTGTGACTTACGAGTTGCAATATTAAATGGTCCGTTATCTGGTATATATGGAGGCGTTGGTGAGCGGTGTGTATCTGCGAGTTTGAGAAGACAGCCCGGCATCAACGACCCTCAGGAAAGGGCAGAGCGCGGCGCGTCTGTGGCGTAAACTCATACGCGCGACGCGTTTGCCACGTGAAACACACCACGTGCGGGATTTGGCGCCCATTCCCAAGTGTCGAAATCTTCGTAGAGGTGGTCGTCCTCCTCCACACCGTCCTCAAGCACCCTCCCTCAAGACACCCGACGAGCTTATCATCATGGTGAGTGCTCCGTTGTGCCGTACAGATGCGCCAGAATGTGCATCGGGCAGCAAAACGCGACATTCGCAGATGGATGGCTTGACTGACGATCGGATGTAGCCCCCCAAGAAGGTCAAGGCGCCCAAGGAGGAGAACACCGTCTCTCTCGGCCCCCAGGTCGCGGAGGGCGAGCTCGTCTTCGGTGTCGCGCATATTTTTGCGTCGTTCAACGACACCTTCGTCCACGTTACCGATCTGTCCGGCAAGGAGACCATCTCCCGTGTCACCGGTGCGTCTGCTCAATTTTGGCGCTCTGAAGCAGCCGTTAAACTTGTGTGAAACAGGTGGCATGAAGGTCAAGGCCGATCGTGACGAGTCCTCTCCCTACGCTGCCATGTTGGCTGCTCAGGACGTCGCCACCCGCTGCCGCGAGGTTGGCATCACCGCCCTCCACATCAAGCTCCGTGCTACCGGTGGAACTGGTACCAAGACCCCCGGTCCCGGTGCCCAGTCCGCTCTCCGTGCGCTCGCCCGTGCTGGCATGCGCATCGGACGTATCGAGGATGTGACCCCCATCCCCACCGACTCTACCCGTCGCAAGGTCAGTAACATTGCATTGAATCAGTGGGGCGCAGAAATATCAAAACTGACCTATCCGCCAATAGGGTGGTCGCCGTGGTCGTCGTCTGTGATTTCATCACAGCGCACACAAAATATCATCTCCCGGATCGCTGCGTCTATGTACTGTTGCACATGGTAGTTGTCCGTATGGAATGATCAAGGTCGCTGCTCGACGCGCAACAGGTTCTTTGGCCTACGCAAAGACCTGCCCCGTGGTCGACGCCCATTCTCTGATATTTTGTTGGACTGCCTTGAGTGTGTTGCTATGCTGTATCAAATATGTTCTACCCCGAAGCCGGATGAGCGTGAGACTCCACATTAGTCGAACTGAGACCACTCCGCCGCCAGGTGGTGTTAGCGTTGCCTCGGATGGGACACGGCGAGGCTGCGCTTTCTCACCCTCTCTTCTGCTTGATTACTCACCTCCCATGACGGAACTGAAGCTTGTGTATCGTGGCCTGCGTCAGGTCTCTGACTGGGCTCTGCGCTTCTACTCAGAAATATACGTTGATGGGCAGGAGAATGTGCCGCTGGACGGTCCTCTCATTATGTGCGTTTCCGAGTTTCTGTCCTCTCCAGCTGCCGCCTTCGATGTGCAGACCACACATGGCCATGCTGTAGAACGCTAACCTTACGACGTTCGTTACAGCACGCCCTGTCATCATAATGAGCTTTTGGATATTGCTACCCTTTGTGAGTCGAGCGCCATCCTCGGCCTACCCCACATTCTGAACATGCTACCTGGGCGTCCTCCTCACAGCCGTAACCATCCCCCATGGCCGTCCAGTATGCTTCTGGGCGAAGTCGTCCATGTTCAAGAACCCGCTCGCGCGCGCCATCCTCCTCTCCTCCGGCAGCATCCCCGTCGCGCGCAACCCCAACAGCGCCCCGGCCGCGGCGGACTCGGAGCAGCCTGCACAACCGCAAACCTCCGTCCACGAGGCGCTCTTCCGCGGCACGTTCAAGGCGCTGGACAGGGAGGAGGTCATCGGGGTGTTCCCGGAGGGCACGAGCTACACGGAGCCGTGCATTGTGCAGGTGAAGGACGGGGCGGCCCGCGCGGCGCTGGAGTATGTCAAGTGGGCGAAGGAGACGAAGGGCGGGCAGGCGAAGAAGCTGCAGATCGTCCCTGTTGGGATTGTGTACACGGACAAGTCGCAGTATCAGAGCAGGGTGAGCACGTATTGCCTATTTCTCGTAGAACGCGTATGTTGACGGCCGGGACCTCGTTAGGTCTGCGTGAGGTAAGACTACGGACATTCAGACCAACCAACCTCGCTCACTGCATGCCATTGCAGATGGGGAAAGCCCATAGATGTGGAAGCGTTCGCGCAGGAAAAGCTTTCTGCGGACTCTGCGCTCTCTACTGAGCTGGACTCTCGCCCTCTCATCAAAGCTCTGAGCACGGAGATTGAGAAACGAATGCTCGACTTGACCATCAACGCTCCGGATTGGTGAGCGCCGGAATTCATATCTCGTGTTGGAAGCCATGAACCAATGTTCTCCCTCTCAGGGACACGCTTTACGCTATTGAAGCTGCTAGAGATATCTTATGGGACGACAAGGAGCGCCTTGACGCGTCACACTTCGTGTGGATGTCGCAGAAGTAAGCACACACAAAGCCCGCAACCTCGCAGCACTAACTCTACCTTCGTACATGACAGTCTGATCAGCCTCTTCACCGATCCGAACGCGGCGCCCTCCGTAACGAAGGCCAAGCAGTCTCTCCTCAAATACCACTCCCTCCTCTCCTACTCCAACATCTCCCACAGCTCCTTATGGGGCATCATCCTTGACCCCTCCGTCCACCCCACCCGCGCTGGTGCACTCGGCATCTTCGCGCGTCAAGTCCTCACCACCGTCCTGCACCCGCGCTTCATCCTGTTCCTCCCGACGTTCGTCCTGCACGCGCCAGCGTACGCGACCGGGCTGCTCGCCGACCGCCTCTTCCGCACGCGCGACTGGGAGGAGACGCGCGCACAGTTCAAGGCCATATTCGGCGGTGTCGCGGCAAGTGCGGCCTACGCGGGCGTCACCGCGTTCATCGTGCGGCGGTTGGTCGAAGGCTCGCCTGGGGTCTTGGGCTGCGTGAAGGCGCCGAGGTTCACGCTGCCTGCCTTCAGAGCGTTGTGGACGGTCGGACGGTGGTTCTTCGCTGGGGATATTGGGATATTGTCTGGCAAAGCTAGGGCTGCGTTGGGTGTTTTTGGTGTCTTTTACGCCACCAGCTTCCTCCTTTCTCGCTGGCACAACTATTGGGTTGGCTGTACGTATTCCAATATTTGCCATAGATTTGACACGTCCCTGATACATTTCGCTTGCAGCGAACTACAAGCAGTAAGCAGGAAGATATCTCTCTGTGTCAGGGGAGGCTGACCGAGTTTTATAGATCAAAGCGTCTTCTCACATCCTGGAAACTGGTCCTGGGGCTCTTCTCGCCCCACTCCAGCGATCTCACAGGCGAGAGGCTGGCGCCGTACACAGTGCCCTACATTCCGCGGCCTAACCCTTACATCAAGCGGCGCGACGGTGCAGAGACCGAGAGCGATAGAGCGCGTCTGCCGCACGCTCCGTCGGTGCCCCCGCGCAAGCTCATTCGGCCGCTACTCGACGCGCGGTCGGAGGCCACGCGTTCGCTGTGGTCCTTCCTCGTCGACTCGAAGTATCTGCGTGGGCTCGTGACCGCGCGTATGCGAGGCGAGGCGTGGATGCAAGTCGGACCGGCGAATTAGCATGTAGCACAGCATTGTTACCGACAACTCCTGGGATACCCTTGTTCCTGAGTACAGTCGACTCAGGACAGATCTTGCCGAGCAGAACTAGCTCTTCTTGGATGAGCAATAATACACGATCGAGATACTGTTCCACAAATTTACGCAGGAGAAACACTCTCATTTTGATCCATGACAAGTCGGATAGTCGAGCTGTGAGGTACTCATTACCAAGTCAGGCACCTTCATGAAGAGGGCCGAAAGAATGGCATCCGAGTCGACGAGGACGAGTCGTGGGTTGACGCCGACACAGACGCGCACTGCGGTTGGCCGAGCTCATACGGTCACGTGCTGCGATCGGTGGCGGGGCTAGCGGGACCGGCCCACTCGAGGTTAGCCATCGACGGCGACGACGACAGCCACCGCAACGACGGCCGTCTCCATCCCACACCTATCTCAGACCGCTCTCCTCGCCATCGCCCCCGCCGTGCGCCCCTTGGCAGATTAGTGGCCGCACTGCCCCAGCTATCAGGCTGACAGAACTCACACCCGCCATTCCTATTTGAACATTCTGCCAGTTCTGCCGTGACGTACTGATACCGCCCGCCGCTTCCCTTTTACGCGCACCCCTCCCTCCCACCGTCGTCCACCACGAATAGCGCACCCCGAGCTCTACCACGATGAACTTCTTCAAGACGAAGCCCCGCACTCCCCCAGATCTCGTCCGCGGCCTTCGGGACGCGCTCCCAAGGCTGGAAGCAGGACCGCCGGGCGGAGAGGTGCGAAGAAAGGCGAGTGCGGTCCAAATCCGACGATGCCCCGTATTGAACCCGCCAGCAGGCAAACGATGATGTGGGACGGAACTTGCAGCAGATCAAGGCGATCTTGTACGGGGATGGTGCGCATGATTGTGAAGGGTCCTCAGCGCGCGTGGCTGACCCGTGTTCAACTTCACAGACCCACTGCCGGAGTTGGTTGCGCAACTCGCGCAGGAGACCTACAACACCGACCTCCTACTCCACTTGATACAGAACATCCACAAGCTCGAGTTTGAGTCGCGAAAGGATGTGGTCCAGATATTCAACAACCTCCTTAGGCGACAGATTGGCTCCCGGTTCCCCACTGTGGAATATCTGTCGTCTAAGCCAGAGGTCTTGTTCGCCGCGTTCGATGGATATGGCAACGAGGAGATCGCGCTCAACACAGGCATGATACTCCGCGAGATGCTACGACACGAACCGCTTGCCAAGATTTTGCTATACTCCGAACAGTCAGTGGCACTCCCTACTATCACGTGTTTGCCCGTAACACCGTGCTGCAGGTTCTACAGGTTCCCCCATTACATTGAGAGCACGACGTTCGGCATCTCGTGTGATGCGTACACCAACCTCAAGGAGACCCTTACGCGACACAAGGCCATGGTTGCCGAATACCTCGACAAGAACTACGATCGGGTACGTCTCCTTTTCGCCTCGCACAGGCCCTGTGGGTGACACTTATTGCGACCCCCCCAGTTCTTCTCATCATTCACAACCCTCATACTTTCCAACAATTACGTCACCAAGCGGCAGTCACTGAAGCTCCTCGGAGAGATCCTGCTGGATCGTGCGAACTTCAACGTCATGACCCGTTACATCGCAAGCGAGGCGAATCTGAAGATGATGATGAACCTGCTTCGTGACAAGAGCAAGAACATCCAGTTCGAGGCGTTTCACGTGTTCAAGGTAGCCTTGCTTTCTACACTCCCGATGCGTGCGGTTTTTAACGTGATATCTCCGTAGGTCTTCGTTGCGAACCCCAAGAAGCCCCCACAGATCGAGGGCATTCTGCGACGTAACAAGGATAAGCTTTTGAAGTTCCTGAAAGACTTCCACAACGACAAGGAGGGTAAGCCGCCATTCCCGCCCCTGTGCCGCTAGCCATCGCTAATGAACCCTACCCGATCGCCCAGATGAGCAATTCATGGTGCGTCCCGCAAAGGGTTTATGCTTGTGCCGGTGAAGGTTGCTAACAGGCGCTTGCCGCTCTTATGTCTGCAGGACGAGAAGCAGTTCCTCATAGTGCAGATTCAAAGCCTGTGATGTAGGAGCTAGCATCCGATGCTTCCCATCCCCTGACACTCCTTGCCAGCGCAGCATCCCCTGATGCACGCCCTCCCATAGTACGCGCCTCCTCCTTTCCCTAGTCACCTGCGCCACTGCTGCTCATACCCACATTCCACCTCGTCACTCCGTCCCTGTGCAGTGTACCATCCTTCTTGCTCGTGTATCAACAGTAATGATCGTCCGTCGTCCCAGGCTCTCGATACTCTCCGCATCCCCAAGCCCCGGTGGTTGCCGTGTAGTCTCCGTCCCGTCCGCTCTCATCGCAATGAGCTCTCGCATCTCTCGCAGAACTATCCATGGACTCAGTAGCAGTATGTCATCTGTCCTGTTTTCGAAGCCGGTGTACATACTGCGGTGTTCCGTGTCTTACTACAGCATGGCCCGCTGCGCTGGTTCGCGCGCGTGCTGTCCAGACCCCATGTCCTCTTCCAAGCCTGAGCCCGAGCCTCCCTGGCACCGTCGTGCCGAGTGCTACCCTGCTAAGAACGTCCGACCCAGTGCCGCATCCCCCCATACGGGTGCCGTCCCTGGATCACACCCACAGCTGCGCGACTGAGCCCGCCGGAGTCGAGCAGTGGCAAAAGGAAGCGCGGTCATGTGCCCGCGTATGTCGTCGAGGGCCCCCGGGACCCGGGAGGGCGTGCCCGCGCCGTCCGATCTCACATGCAGCGTCATGCATTCGCGCCCCGCGCGGCCGCGCTCCCAGCAGCGGCCGCGGAAGCACAGAGATCCAGCCGTGCCCATTGAGTCTCGGTCCTCACGTGCGCGGTGCGCAGGGGGTATCGCCGAGGAGCTGCGCTGGTGCGGTGGGAGCGACCGCGCGCGTTCGCAGCCCGCGGCGCGACGTCGTTGGAGCGTTGCTGCGAACGCGTCGCTGGGCAGGGCCCGAGCTCCGAGTCCTCGAGCGGCGTGAGATGGCGGCTGGCAGTGGCACCGCGATGGTGCACCGTACCCTTGGGGGGCCATCGATCTTCCCGCCTGCGGGGCGGCCGAGGTCTCGAGGGCGACCTGCCGGATGCGCGCAGAAGGGGGGCTTTGTGCGAGCGTCGATCCGTTTTCATCAGGCGCGCACGCGCGATCGCGTCGTGTGCGTTCCCACTGCCCAGGTGCGCACACAAACGATCCGCACCGGGCAGAGAGGCAGGGGCAGACGAGCCGGCGAACCTTGGAAGCCGTGCGCTCCGGCACATCTCGCGCTCTTCGCCCTTCGATCTTCTGGCGCTGTGGGGCGTGTCGCGCAGAAGCAGCCACGCAGGGGCCGGCGCATTCATCGGGCAGCGGGGGGAGGCCTTGGGACGAGGGCCTGAACGCCGGAGGTCGCGCGCGCGGGCCGTGCGGGGGCGTATGGGGTTAGGCTCGGGGAATGAAGGCCTTCTCTTCTGACAGGCGAGGCCCTGGAATCTTCGCTAGAGTGGCACTGCTGGCCCTACCTAGTCTTCGCTCGGTAACGGGGTGTGCGGCGGCGACAGGGACGCTGAGAGGAGTGCCACTTGGCGATGTATTGCTGGGAGCTGTCGGCACGGCCGTTGCTGAGCGAGACGGAGTGGCACGGACTTGGGCTCTGGTGCAGTGCCGGTCCCTTTGTGCTGGCGGGTCCGTCAGACCGACCGCATGGCGATCTGCAAGGCGTGAAGGTAGTCCAGAACCTGCAGCTTGGCGCCGTGCCGTCGACGAGCTCACCGTCGGCCGGTCGAACCCGTAGCCTTGGGACGCGCAAAATTCGCTGCAGATGCAGCACTGTGAAGAGTACCGGCGCGGGGGCCAGTGCTTCTCGTGACCTGCAGAGGTCCGCTCGGACATCCTCGATCGAACCGTCCTGCGGTGTCTGAAAGGAAAAGAGGGCCCTGTAAAGGGGGGCATCACTGTCAGGGAGCCGTTCATGATCGAGGGAAGGTAGCCACCTCCACGCAGGAACCGCATTGGACGCTGGAATGTTGTGCGCGGGTGGCCGTGGTGTTATCGCAGTGCGCCAATTGCTGCCGCGGTGCTGGACGCTGTCTCGGCCTGCGCACCCCCCAGGGCCATAGACGACGCCGCGACACGCGGATAGCGCAGGAACCCAGGTCGGACCGCAGTACCGCTCCGACCAAGTGTCTTGGATAATGAATTCCGGAACGTCATCGATGCCCGTGGATGACGGCGAATAGGTCTCGAAGTCTTATCGGATCCAGGACGTCGAAGACATGATGGAGTGGCGAGCTACTTCTGCGGCTGGGAGCAGTGGCCGGCCATGGGGAATGAGATCTATCTTCGTCGGTGGTTTTGGGGGCGCAGTTTGGGTATGTTCACTCATTCAGCGGGTGTAACTCTGCACAAAATTAATAGGGCATCGAGTCGTGAGGTAGGCTTGCAACGTACAGGATGGGGGAGAAAGAAGGGGCGCTGTGTCGCTACAAACGTAGTCTATTTGGCATCTAGCGGGGTTCAAGGTGCAAAATGTGTCAGTACTCTGGTCAATGTGGGTGCTGTGAGCCGTGGAATGTTTATTGTTACGGTGAGCACACTGTACTCTTAAATGGATATTCATAAAATTGCGGGGCGTTGTCCGATATATGGTGCCCTGCGATGGAAGTTTGAGGTGTTCTAGGTGCTAATTACCAGCCCAAACTCGCCCATGACTCGGGGTAGATATTGAGTCTTGACCGAGTCGTTTTCCGCGATGCCAGCTGATCTTGTGGCACAGAGCAGCAATCCCTGTGTCTGTATCGCGCGTACCGTGCGCCAACATACGAGGCATAGAAGAGATGGACCACAGAGCCCATCGGAAATATTTGGCGGTCGAACGAACGAGCTCTGTTGTGCGAACAAAGCAGTATGTTTTCTCCGAGTCCGCCATGGACGATGGTGGTCAAGACGCAGAGTCGCCACAACGCCGCCACCAAGGACCCCCGCCTATGCTGCAAGAGGTCCGATAATAGTGCTGTACAAAATGACCTGTAAACAGGCCTTATGTCCGATAATCATGCGGTATATTGGGCCCTTATGGCTAGCTATGTCCGATAATATGTGCTGTATAATGGGCCTTAGGGCGCTGCAGGTCCGATCCGTTATGCTGACAAAAGAGGCAGCTGCCCGGCCGGCCTACCCGTATCTGCCGGCGGCTGTCGAGGAAGACTGAGCAGAATGGTACCCACTGGGCAGCACTGGGCTCGTATTTGGGGGTACGATCTCCATATGCTGGACAAAACGGTCCGTTGAGCTTGCTCCACGGTACGTCTACCCAGGAGACTAGACAAATCGAACCCTTATGCTGCACGAGGTCCGATCGTCATGCTGATAAAAACGACCGTCAAAATGGTATGTACCATTATCATGCTGTATATAATCCCGAAAAAGTATGCTGATAAATGTGGTCAAATTCGAGGGTTTTGCGATCGGACCTTTGGCGGCATAGGCGGGGGTCCTCGCCACCATCGTACGCTCAAATTTCTCCAGCGTGACGTCACGCCCACGTGGCTACTAATCTCACCGCCTCGGCGCCTATCTCTCTCTCGCACATCCTGCCGGCGGACGCGTCGATGCAGAGTCGCTGCAAATGCTCACTTCGCCAGAGAACAAGTTCGCGTAATTGAGAAGTAGCGGCTGGTGAGAGCTACGATTCGTTCCGTTCGTTCCTCGTACTCATTTCCGATGCCCTAGCAGCTTCGTTCCGTTCTGACGCATCTGGGATATGAAGTCTCTTGATAGACACGGGCGTGCCTCCCACACTCCGTCGCCCAACGCCCGAATACTCACCGGGCAGCTTCGAGTCTCTTGCGAGCCCTGCTTCCCTGGTGAGTGACCGGCTTCTGGGCCTGTCGCTCGCGGATATGATCCATAAAGTTCTGAACCCAGTACCTTACGCGCAGCGCGGTTACGACACCTGTGGAATGCCTTCCCTTCTCCCTTTTTCATAGCATCGCACGAACGTGCCCTCTTCTTTATAGACTCGGCCGCAAAGTCCTATGATCTTGGCCACACCCTTGAGGTAACAATGCCAACCACTCCTCGTCAGCTCCATCGCCATCTATGCGCCTTGGTCTTCATGCCTCTTCACCGTTGGTTGCTGTCCGAACCTCCGTTCTTTGGCCCACGAATACTTCTCGTGCACGTGCGTACTTCCGGCACCACTTTCCGACGCTCTCTCTGAAGTGAGGGGAAATCGCTACCGGGCCGACCACACGGTGACCCATGCGGGGAGTACTCGCTGCACTCTACGCATCATTCTGTCTTGCGGCGGAGGCAGAGTTCAATTGACCTTTTGGTGGTCACCCGGCCGGATATGCAGTTCCCTCCGAGGCCGAGCACATTAACGTTGCCTTTAACGCCCATAAGACGCGCCTGCGAGGGTAAAGGTACGTACAATCACTACCATCTACGAGCCACTGGCGACGGCAGCATTGAGTCGTCACGTCAATGATATCGTGCGCAACATCGCGACAACAGGTACGGTCATGATACAGCAGGGACATCTCGTCATCCGCTTGACTTTCACAGACATTTCACCTCCGGCGCACGCCGCAGCGCACGAGGCTCGCAAGCCCAAGGGACCTCGATCCGGGGGCCGATCAGCTGGCTCATGAACGCTCTCCACCGAGTCTTTTCTTGTTTCGGGGAACTCAAGAATCTGGATGGGCTCCTCCGGTGGTTCCTGTGAGCGAATAGCGCCTGGGAACAGCTGAGAACACTTTGATTCAAGGTCCGTCTCTTATCAATAGGACATTTCCCTCCACTGGATATTCCCGGTCTTGTTCGTCCCGATAGCGCCCCGGCCGTGCGGTAACGATTTCCCCAACACGGCTCGTCACCTTGATGTCCATTCGGAACGGATGCGACAGACACTCAAGGCCGATCGCCCGGCGCCTCGTGCTTAGCCCGTCGAGCATGTCCTTTCCGTCCAGCTTGTACATGGTCTAGCCGGCACGCGATGTTCGTTAGGCGACCGGTTCCTGCCACCTTATTATCCCAGTCCCGTCTCCTCCTCCGTCCTCTGCCTCCCGCGCCCGCGCTGGTCTCGTCCCGCCGTTGATCATGCTCGTCCTCCACCCCCACTCCCAGTGCGACGTATGTCTCGACAACTACACCACCTCCCGGGAGCCCTATTCCATCCCGTGTGGGCATGCTTTCTGTTGGGGGTTCGTCGCCTTTATTTTGTCTCTCCGAGCTTCGTCGCCATTGACGCCGCTCGTCTCTGTGTTGCAGATGTCTGCAGTCGTTAAAACGTCCCAACTGCCCCCTCTGTCGCAATCCCTTCCATGACTACGAGATGCGCAAGGTACACGTCGATAAGGCGACGCTGCCTCCCGCCACTCCTCAATCATACCCGCCCGATCTGGAATCCGCCGACCGCGCTCGTCAGTTCCAAACGCAGCTTACCCGCATGATCAGAGGGGGCGCAACAGCATCCGACCTGCGCGACGTGCAGTCGGAGCTCAAACCTTGGCTCAGCACCCAAGGGGCGGACGATGTGCGCGGATTCTTTGCTTCTTGAGCGTCGTCGCCGGTGGCTCATGTCCTACCAGCATGCAGATCTGCGGGCTACGTACACGCTGCTGTATCGGCTGCTAAAGGGCAAGCAGGAGCTTGCGGACGTCGAGCATCATTGCTCCGGCCTGAAAGCGCAGATTGAGGCTGAACGCCTGGTAGCGGCGGCCAAGTACGAAGAGCTCGAGAAGAGGTCCTTCGAAGAGCGAGAGCTCCTCCTGGAAGCGGAGAAGACTCTCAATGAGGAAAACGCTCGCCTCCGCGAGGAAGTCGAGGAGCTCAAATTGTAAGCGCTCTCTTCACGGCGGCGAGATAAGTGCTAATCCACCTCTTTCTACAGGAAGGTACGCAGAGGCACTTCTGTGGACCTGCCCTTCGGTCAAGCTAACAAGATTTCTTACAGTACGACGACTGTTCTGCCGAATGCAGCAGACTCTCCGACGAGCTGAAGGAGCTGAAGGGTAACCCTCTTCCTCCATTACCTCGCTCGATTGAAGCTCGTCACTTCTACCTCCACGACCTCAGCGGCACGAAGGGTGAACCAATCGCGATCCTGAAGGATAGCCCAGACTCTGCCAACGCGGTCAAGGTTCAGCTCATCGGCACCAAAGACAGTTTCTTCCAGCTGTCTCCTGTTCCTCATGCCATGCCCGATCTCCCTTCTGGGTTGATGACCTTCCAGCCGCTCACAGATGACATCGACGAAGCGGCGGACGACGACAGGAGTCTGACGAGCAGCCGCCTCTCCGCGCCTCGCGCAATCCCCATCCAGTCCAAGTCCCCGTCGTACCGCTCCCAGACACACCCGTCCGCGGACCCCGACGCGATGGCCATCTCCGTCCCGCGGAGCACCCTCGACGTGCACATGGCGAGTGTTTCCTCCTCGCCCAACGTCTCCACGATGCACTACTCCTCGCGGCCGGTAGAGTTCGTGTCGAATTCGGTCGGGCGTGTTCCGGAGAACGCGCTCGGCCTCCGCACCGCGGAGCCCGTCCGCATGTCGCCGACGACGATCAACCCAGAAGTCAGGGAGCAGCAGGAGCGTCGCGAGCGTCTTGCGCTGCTCAAGGAGGTGCTCAATGACCCGGCGCCGTCTCCGCGATCAAGCCTCTCGCGCAAGCCCACCCTTTCGGATGCAGGCTCCGACCGCTCACGCCCCATCGCTCCAAGTGGCCTGTCGTCCACCCGCACGCCGTCGCCGGTGTCCAGCACATCGCACTCTTACTCCGCGTCCACTCTCGAGAGGGAATACGCGCTCCGGCACCAGCTCCTTGAGCCCCGTCCTGAGCCACGCATCTCTTCGGCGAGTGCCGCAGCGCTCGAGCACCAGCAGCGCACGCGTGCCTCGTCCACCGCGTCCACCACCGCAGCGCCTGCGCCCTCGTCTCTTACTCACGCGACTGCGACGCGTGACCGGGACCCTGCACCTCCCATGCACGCCATCTACGCCCCGGCGCCCCCGCCAGCGTCCCCTGCGAGACCGGTGCAGGCCCGGCGCCAGTCGACGGACACGGCGTCCATCTCCAAGGGCAAGGCCTCCGCGATGGGCCTTACGCCTGCCGGATCCTACCCCTCGGGCCTTACGCGCAGCATGCGCGCGATGCAGGAAGCCCCCCGCGTCTCATAGTCCTCGTTTCCGTTCCGCCCCTGGTCAGTCTCCTCTCGCACTCCATAGCAGCAGCCGTGGAGGGGTGGGACGCGTGTGCGCACCCGCGAGACACGCGCATGCGCGTGTGTTCGCGGACGTGCGCGGCGGCGTCCTGTCCTCGCGGCATCCGTCCCCTGCATCGTCATAAGTTATCCGATTCCTAGGTACGACCCGTTCGCTCTCCCGTCCCTGGTCATCGCCCGCACACAGGCGGCGTCGCCGGCCTCGGCGCAGCCTCTCCCCCGTCCCTGGTTCCCGCAATATAACGCATCTACACGCACGCAGCCGCGACGGGCCCGCATGGCGGGCCCCGCGGGGTTAATGTATACTATCTATACGCATATGCCACCCCACCCCCCTTACCCAGCCCCAGCCCCCCTTCTCGTCGCCTCCGTCGCATTCGCACTCGCATTCCCCGCAGCGCTTCCAGACGCTGTGGGGCGTTCATGTCCTCGTCTTCGGTCTTCGCCCGGCCTCGGACTTCCCGCCGCACCCCCTCTCCGTGTCCGCGTCCTTAATAGGCACCTCACCTCCTGTACTAGTACAGCGTTCGTGCATGCAGAACTTTGCATCTGACTCCCGTGATGCCAGGCCGCAGGAGCAGCACCTCTCGCTTTTACCCCGCATTCCAACGTTGATGCGCTCACGCACACGGCTAGAGTGCACTCTCCGGCAGCAGGACGGGTGCAGAGGAACCACCCTTAAGCGGCCCTGAAGATCGTTTATTGAACCTTGAAAGCTTCCCGGGACCAGCGCCGCGGTCCGAAGGCGATGGCGAGGGAGGGATCGCGCACGCACGGCGCCGCTTTCGCCCATGCACCGCGAGGTGGGCCAACTCGTCACCTTCCAGACGAGCGCTGTTTGACGCGTCTGCAACAGTTCTAGTAATGCGAGGTGGGAGGTGGACGATAGAAGTCGTCGGGCATGAGCGGCTTCTCTCGGATGCCGTTGTTCACTGAGTGCACCTGCGACGGGGCTGCGAGGTATCAGACTTCATACCGGAATTCCACAGCGCCGGATCGAAGAAGACGTGGTTAACGGCGCGGAGGTGTACGCCAGTGGGAAACAGTTTTCGCTGGCGGCGCATGGCAGAACATGAGGATTTAATGGATGGTATAGGACCCGAGAGGTATTCCATGGACGTAGCGCGAGATGTGACCCCCAACGCGTGTCGCTGGAGAACGCGGATGTCCGGAAGACACAGGCGGGAAGTCCGTTTGTTGTGACGGTGAGATGTTTTGGGCTGAGCGATTGCGTTGAGCAAGGACGTGGCAGGCAGGCCAGTTTCCGGAATTCTAGCGACGGTTCCACGTCGACCTGCAATACATCATAGCGCCGGAGGCATTTCTGCTCATTTCGCAGGCGGGCCAGGTCCGAGAGACTACTGCGCATCGAACGTGCAGGGTTTAAAACAGCGAGTGAATAAGATAAGTAGTATGCGAAGCCCCGAAGAGCACCAGTTTTGATACAACGGACACGTCGTACCGGTGTTCCCCTCGCGATATATGCCGGTCAATACAGCCGGGGGCGAGGCCGTCCCTCCAGTCCGTGAGCCCTCATGATGCCAGCTCGACACCAAGCCCAAAAAGTATGCTAGCTGCGCAGCCCGAATCCGCCGCTCACTTGGTGAACGCGCGGATGATCTTCGCGGAGATGTGGAGGAAGAAGATGGAGGCAATGAAGGAGAGGGAGAGGACAAGGACGATGAAGGGGTCACTGCAAGGATGAAAGGGGGTGTTGAGTCATTGCTGAAGACATGACGAACGGACGTAGGCAACACTCACACTCGGAGCCCTGGTGAGTCGTCCGTGTAGAGCTTCAGCATGGTGTTTGACGAGCCGCCAGCCCCCGCCGCGCGTGATGAATTGGGCTTCGAGACCTGCGAACCAGTCGCTCGCCGACTAAGAGAGTTACATTGGATGAGCAAAGCGAGTGCACTGGATGGGCGTGTTGCATACCGAATCTGTGTCCCCGGAGGCTTTGCAACACCAGTGGGGCGGCCATTGTTGGAACGGGAGGACTCAGAGTCAGACTGCACGGAGTGTCAGCGTTCAGTAGTCCAAGTTGCGAAGGTTATGTTATTGTTCAAGCGACATACCATGGTGGCGGAAGGATGGAAGATGGACGTGTGCTGGCAAGTCCAGCTGCGAGACGCAAGAGCACATCTCTCTCCCAGCGCCACGTGGATTGTTGCGTGACGGACACGTTAGGGAACGCCCATGTGACGTGCGTTATTATCACGTTGCGCTTGTACGTGACGGTGACGCACTTGGTAACGGCAATGGGCGCTAGATGGGCTGCTACTACGCCTGTCCTGCAGTCTGCTCCCATTTCTACCTCACACCATGTCTTTGGTCAGTGCACTATTGCTCAAAGAAGTCCCGGAAGCTGACGTGAGCTGCGCATAGATTCACGCACTCGTGGCCAAAGGGGATACCATCTTGGCCGAGCACCAGGCCGGTTCGCGGGATTTCTCGCAAGGTGAGTTACATGGATATGTAGAGCTAGCGTTCACTCACACAACGATACAGCCACACAGACCATCCTATCAAAGATACCTCCTAACAACAGCAAGCTCACCTATGTTTGGGAGCAGTACCTCTTCCACTATATCTCCGAGGGCGGGTTCACCTACCTGGTAATGGCGGATGATGCTGCGGGGAGGTGAGTGCCTAGTCTCTCGACGTCAAGTCAGTATCTGAACTCGCGTCCTTTCGCAGACGCATGCCCTTCACTTTCCTCACCGAGATACAGCAGAAGTTTACCTCACAGCCGGGTGCTTCGTCCTCCACATCCGACCCTCCTGCCTATTCCCAGCAAGGGACATTCGGCCCAGTGATTGCTCAGCTCATGACACAATACAACACGAACCCGCCGACGGACGAGCTGACTCGCGCACAGGCCGAACTAGCGCAGGTGAAGGACATCATGGTGCAGAACGTAGAGCAGATCCTTTCGAGAGGCGAGCGGATCGAACTCCTGGTCGATAAGACCGATAGCATGGCGAGCCAGGCGACCGCCTTCCGGCGAGGCGCCAGGACTGTGCGACGGAGCATGTGGTGGAAGAATACGCGCATTCTCGCGCTCAGTGTCGTCGTGGCGCTGGTAAGTACGTCAGTTCATATGCAGGCTTCTTCGCTGATCGTCCACCCGAACGTCAGGTGCTTCTCTGGGTCATCATGGCTCAGTTCTGCGGCGCAGGCCTCAACCACTGCAGCTCGAAGTCGTGAAGCGCAGCATCTGCCTTCTGCTATATATCCCCACAGCCGTGTATGCTAGTCCCTCGTTTAGTTCCCCATCCCGCTCCATGTATCATAGTCCCTGGATATGTCATCTGCGTAGACTTCCCAAGACTCTCCCTATCCTCGTCGCAAATACACAGGCTAGTCAGCCAATTATGGCAGACGTAATTCGTACCTGGATATCTGGACGGCCCTGGGCGAGGCTTGTGAATTCTGGCGCTTTTTCGGGCTTTCTCTCGGGGGCAGGGCTGGGGGGCAGTACCTTCCGGATTTAGCGGGCGGGGTTGTTGTGATGGCGCTTGACTCTTACCACCACGACCGACTTTCTCAGCCTTCCCACTCGCCGTCTCTCGAGCTTTCTGCGAGTCTGTGCTTGCGACGTCGACGCCGACGGTAGCGTGGGTCGTAGGACGCGATGCTGCTCGTCCACCCGTCGTCGCAGTGCGACGTCTGCCTAGACCCCTACACTTGGAACACAGCCGCGAAGTCGCCACATGCTATACAGTGTGGCCATGTCTTCTGTCTCGAGTACGCATATACGGATACAGCGTTGTGGTACGTGCGGTGCTGACAGTGCGGTATATCTAGCTGCCTGCGGTCGGTGCACCCGACCAACTGCCCCCTCTGCCGCAAAGGCTTCAATCCGGAGCGCATCAAAAAGCTACACGTCGACAAGGTCAACGGAGACGGGTCTGGACCTGCTGGAGCCAAGCTGGAGGAATACGAGTTCTTCAGGCGGATCGCCGTGCTCTTCGACCACCGTTCGGAGCCGGAGGAGATTAACGCGCTCGTGGAAGAAGTTAATGCGTGGGTCGCGCGATCGACCCGTCTATCCGATGCGTCTGGTTCCGAGGTCACGGTGAGTTTGATCGTCTGTGCACGGTACAGCTGGTACAGCTGTAGGCCTTTTTTCAATCGCGCCACGCTTGAGGCCTGGCTTGACGCGTAGGGCTGAACAAATAGCTCTCAGGTAATATATGTGGCGGCTCGGGCGTAAACAAGACCCCCAGCGCGAGTGTCCTGTGAAACGTCCTGTTGATCCTGTACCAGCTGTGTCTCGGTTTTTCTGCGTGTTGCATGGTGCTCACGCTTGTTACACCGCAATTCTGCAGGAGCATCCCTTACGTACTGCGGTGACCGCTTTGCACCAGTACCGGGCGCTTTACATCGAGAAGGAGGAAACGAGAAAACAGCTGTCGAAACTGCGCGAGGTCCACCAACGGCAAGCCACGCTCAAGGACAGCGATATCCACAAAGCCATGCTCGTCGAACGACAGATGCTGCAGGAGAGAGGGAAGGCGGAGGAGGCGTTCCGCGCCCTCCAAGACGAAAACGCCCGCTTGCAGGCGGAGCTAAGGCGATACACCCACTCATCTAATCCCCTGCCCCGACCGCCTGAGATCAATCCTCGAATTACGAGTATAACCCGCCAGCTCGCCACCTTGCCACCAGGGCAACAAGGCGCCGTCACAGCACCCCCACAGGGCTTCGTTCCCACCGGTGCCGTGGTCCCCGCAGAAGACCCCCAGGTGCCGCCGACGACCGCTGCAGATACCTCACAAGTGGTTCCTCCCGCCCCCGACTCCGGCGCTCCCTCACAATATAGGATCACGAGCACAGGCGAAATGCTTCGGCAGGAGAACAGGCGGCGATCACACTTCATCGTCCCCGGCGCCCCTCACGAAGCCAGGGTAGTCCCGGAGCCCTTCGAAATGCACGACACGCCCCGTGCGTCTGCTCAAGTTCCGTTCGGGATGAGGACGACAGGGCTTAGCATATACGCGGGGCATGACTGGAATGAGAATTGGCCCGATCCGCGGGCCCGCCCTGGCGAACCCATCATGCACGCAGGAGCCAAACCAACATACGCCAGGTTCTTGCCCGACTACGAGGCCCCCCCGCCCCCTGCGACCGCCCACCAGTATGCGCCTCCCCCGCACGGCGCGCAGCCTTCCGCGTCGAGGCATAGGCGTCCTATTCCCGCGCCCGCGCCCGAAATGGTCACAGCAGGCGTGCCGTACCCGACCCGCTCCGCTCGTATCCGTGTGGTAGCACCAGACGACCCCATCGTGGGTCATCAACCACTCGAGTGGCGCCCAGGCCACGAAGACCATACGGGCCAAGTCGAGGTGTACGACCCGCAGATCGGCATTCACTGGTTGCCTGAACCTCAATGTAGGCACCTAGCCGTCCGTGCGCGCGGTACACAGAGCGACGCCCGGTACGCGATCGCAAAGGAGCCATCCCAGCTGGACGACGGCGACGTGTCCCCTGGTCCTAACCCCTTGCAGCTCACTGGCGTTCCGGAGGGCGTTCTCGCAGGTTCGAGCGGCAGCGCTATCCAACGTGTGGACGAGGATGCGCTGTTCTCAACGGCGAGGGAAGGGTCTGCATTCTTCCAAAATCAGCAGATCGCTTCTGTCCGCGCTGTTACCTTCGCCGCAGACGAACCTGGTCCTTCGACAGCAGGAGACACGTCCCTTTCTGCTTTGCATGGGTTCGCCGGCGGCTCGTCGCAGGGTGGCGCTCTGTTCAGCCTAGGGGCCCCGCAAGAACCGGGACAGTCCGGTACTGCTCGGCCGCTGGTTCGAACGCAAGTACCTGCAGAGACCCTACCTCAGCCGTCGCCTGCCTCCTCTTGGGGAGGCACCTATCAGCCGAGCCGCAGGTCCAGTCTCTCACTCCACGTCAACAACCTTCCACCTCCCAGCGACTCCCAAGATACTACGTCGGATTCAGTGGAAGAAGGGTCGATCGAGTTCTTTGGCCAATCCATGACGGTGGACATCGCGGACAACGCCTCGGGATCCTTCCGCTCCGGGGAGGCAAGGCCCTCCGGCCTGCTGTTGAACACATCGAGGGAGGGCAGTTCCCGGCAGGTCGTGACAGGTCTCCACGACCTGGAGGCTATCAATCGCTCGTTGAGTGAGATCGCCGAGCCCGCCCAGAGCGACACCCGCAGCACTCGTTCGTCTCCCTCTGCACCTGCGTCCTCCCGTCAACCACGACAGGCGCCGGCATCTGGACACGACTCTCGCGAACATGTCGGCCTCAGGACAGGCATCGCGTTGTATAGTTCCCGGCCCACAACTCAATACCCCGCTGCTGGCCCTTCTACTGAGCCTCTCTCAGCGCCTCCCGCACCGTCGACCCATGTCCGGTCACTAAGCCGAACTTCAACACGGTCCCGCGCCGAAAGCACAGTCAGTCACAGCACTAGCGGCAGTGGTGGGAGTGGCGGCAGTGGTGGCGCCAGCTCGCAACGCCCTTCAGGCCAACGACATCGCCGCAGCTCGACTGCGTCCAGCGTGCACTTCCACGACCAGTTAGACGTTCCCCCCGCCTTCCGGCCTGCAGAGCCGCAGGATACCCATGCCTACACCTCTCAGGGCCCGTACGCGGATGCCCCGCGCGGCAGCCAGGACTCCATTCCGCGTTCTCTCGGCTCCATCGGCGAGTTCGGTACCGGCGGCGGCCTCCTGCTCTCGTTTGAAGCCCCGAGTACGTCCTCCGCGGTGGACAGGCACGGCGACGCTGCCGCTGGCATACACGCCCCGCGCCCAGTGGCCAGCAGCCGTTCGTCGACGCGGAGCCTGTTCAGCGGTGCGTGGAACGCGAGGAACGGCCGGTGATATACCGGTATTCACATCTCAAAATTCGTGGTATGTACCTCTATCGTCCCCCTAGACTATTCCTTTCTCTCTCGGCCTTCTTTCTGTATCTGTTACTATACCTTTCGGATTTCCCAGTGCCTCGTCTATCTCCCCCTGTCCCGCTGTTTACTCTTCATATATCCTCGTCTGTTGCTCTAGAAGACTGTTGTAGGATGTTGCGGCCGCTCCCAGTTACTTACGCTCTGTTATCAATCCGTGCTGTTGTTGTCTCTACGTACGCCTCACTCGCCGCCGCTCTAATGTCTGCCCGAATACGCTATCCTCACGTCCCCGTTCACGCATACCTACGCTTGCCATATCCTACTGTGCGTTCATACCATATCCAATTATCATCCTCCGACTGCCGAATTGCTTTTGTAATCCTTTTGTGCACTGGTCTGTGATTCTGTGCAGCATCTTCAAGCATATCGGTGCCAGCGTCGAGTCTGCTTTAAGTGCTGAAGCAAGTGCCGGAGCGCTAGCCTCGCATGTCGATCACTTCGCAAGATTTGCCCTGTAGTACCTACATGACTTTCCTATCGGTTCTGATTTGTTCGCCGACGATTCAAACTAGTCAACGCATTATATTGAGCTGCTTTTTGAGTGTTTGAGACTGCAGTCCACCGGGTGGCGGGCCGCGGTGCTGCGTCTAAGTACGGCGGTGACGGTGATGGCGTGAGCCAATTGAGTTCGAGAGACGTGTCTGTACAGCTTGCTGTAACCTTTGCCACATCACCTCGCTTCTTCTCCCAACTCTCTGTCCTCGTTCGCATTCTCTGCGCTTTGTCGTTCTCTTAATCTCTTGTACTCTTGCGTATCTCGCCAAACTCGGTTTGCTCGCGAAACGCTGTTTCAAACACCGTACATAACATAACGCAGACACAGCCATGTCTTCCATCCGCTACTCGGTCATCGTTCCCGCCTTCCGGGAGAATGGCAACATCCGCGCCCTGGTCACCCGCATCTTCGGCGCGCTAGCGCAGGTAAACTCCCCCGTGAACCCGGCGGAGGTTGAGGTGATCATTGTGGACGACAACTCGCGCGACGGCTCCGTCGAGACTGTCGAAGGCCTCCGCCGCGAGGGCTACAACGTCCGCATCATCGTCCGCACAACAGAGCGCGGCCTCAGCAGCGCGGTCGTGCGCGGCTTCCGGGAGGCGCAGGGCGACAGCATGCTCTGCATGGACGCGGACCTGCAAGTGAGTACATCCGTTCTGTACGCGTCTGCCGTTTGCACCACGGCGCGCGAAACTGCTTTGGGAAGGGCACCGGACTAAACTGCGTCACCTAGCACCCTCCCGAATACGTGCCCGCCATGCTTGCATCCATGTCGCCCACAAAACAATTCGCGCTCGGTACGCGGTACGCCGCAGGCGTCGAGATCGACGAGGGCTGGCCGCTTTACCGTCGCGTCATCTCCTCCGGCGCGCGCATGCTTGCGCTCCCGCTCACCTCCGCCAGCGACCCCATGTCCGGATTTTTCGGCATTCGCAAAGAGACGGTACGTCACTTTTCTCTCCTACACTTCTCCTTCTAACACGCCCCGCATCGCTCCCAGTTCCTGAAGGCGCGTAACCTGAACTCGGACGGGTTCAAGATCGCGCTCGACCTGCTTGTGAAGTGCGCCATCCCTGGCGATGCGATCGCGGAGGTGCCGTTCTCGTTCGGCGTCCGCGCGGAGGGCGAGTCGAAACTCACCGGCAAGGTCATGATCCGCTACCTCGAGCAGCTCGCGGAGCTGTACTGGTACAGCTTCAGCTCGCTCATCATCTTCGCCGCGATCCTGCTCTTCGTCGTATTCGTGCTCCTGGCGCGGTCAGTGCTCAGCTCGTATGGTGGCCTCGACGGGAAGGCGCAGAGCAAGTACTGAGGCGCGGTCTCTGGATCGGCATCCGGCATCCGCAGGCATGGAGATGATTCGTCGGAGGTGTTGTGGAGCTGAGCGGACGGGTCTGTACAAGTATGCGTAATGTTATTGTCTCGCTTCTCCTGTGCCGGACACTGTTTATACCTTTATAGGACCAAAGATGCCTAGGAAATACCGCACGCGACGCAACCACTTCTCCCACATGTTTCGTCTGGCAACCGTGTGATCAAGAAGAGATGGGCTACACTTTACGCGTATGCATGAGACAAGGGTGGATGAGGCCCATCCATGTTGGTTCTTGTGCAGAGCGAATGGTAGGTCATAGCCCGGCATTTCACGTGGAACGAACAACATGCAGCAAACGCGAAGTGGGGGAGGAAAGCTAGTTTACCTCGGGTTACATCATGGTCACATTAAGGTGACTTACTGCCCGACCCTACTTGGCATCGGTGGTCGGATGCGTATGTGCATCGACGGGCAGCCTGAGGGTTGCAGAGTGTTCTCACAGTGCGTTCAGGTGAGCCGTCTGACCGCCCATCCGATAAACTCGTAACTGCTAGTCAAAGTTGCTCACATAGACGGATCTTGTCTAGACCATACCATCAAATGCCGCCGATGCCATACTCGCACAAGTTGTGTGTCAATCCTCCAGGCGTCTCAACGGCCAGCCTGGTCTCGAAGTCTACCATATGGAGCGCTATGTAATCAGTACGTGTCCCGCTGCCCAACATACCCACAAGTGCTCCCCAGTGCTGACTAGAGCACAGTACCCTAAATCCTCAACTCTGCTTGGCAGTCTGCGGACTCTTCCTTGACAGACGTCGCTAGGGCCGGGGAGCGTGCACGCGCATTTTTCTACGGCCAGCTCGCCCTCCGCCCCCCTTCGCCCTTCCTCGCGGTCCATTTTACGGCCACGGCATGTCGGATAGGCCGCAGCTCGGTTGCGCCCCGTGCGGAGCAAATTATGACCCTGCTCCCCTTCCCAAGCTCCCCCTTCTGCCGCAGCGGCGCGGCCGCATGTCTGGACGCAGAGCAGTCGAGTCCCCCCAAGAACGGCCGTGGCGCTGCTCCTCCGTCGGCCTTCCCGAGGCGGATCGTCCCAAAACCATAAAATTCATGATATCGCGAAGCACGCCCTGGGCTGTTCCCGCCCGCACATGGGAAGAGCGACGGCTGCTCGCTTGAACCGCGCGAAGAAGCCCCGCGAGGTCGCCGCGTCGGACACCCAATTTTTATGACATTGATGCGGCCCGTGCCCACGGGCGCGGGGCGGCTTGTCCCCCCGAGGACTGTGGTTTGTTCCAGATGCGAGGTGAGTGCGGGGTAACGATGCGCTATGTGGTATGTGGTCGGAGGTGCTCACCACACTCGACAGCGACGGACGGCGTCCGCCACATATGCTGCCCGACGCGGTCGGTGTGGTTCGCCGGCGGCACATACGTGGTTTATCCACCGCGCCGGCACGTCAGGGATCTACGACACCCCCACCCTCGTCGCGAGCCCTCCAAACAGTTTTTGCGGCGCGAGACGCGAAACGTCCGAGCACGGCGACGGACGTGAAGAATCGTCAGAGAGCCACGTTCTGCGTCTTCCCGCCGCACTGTCTCCCCGGGCCTCGCGTCATGGTGCGAACCCGGGCTCCACGAGGACTCTCCGAAGCACCCCTGCTCATTTTCCCCTCCATTCTCCGAGGCATTCTGCGGCAGGGGGAAGCGCGAAGCTCGCCCGCTCTCGTACACCATCAGGGCGCGTGGCCGCGAAATTTGCGCGTCGACCGAGTCAGAACTCAGAACCACCGCGCGATCGGAGCCCCCTGCTTATCCTCCGCGCAGGGCGCGGAAAAGGCCACGAAGAACGAGAAGAGCAGGCGCACGCGACTTCCCGATTAACCTTCGCGCGTCGCGGACAGGGAGGGGGTGTAGAGCGCAAGTTGAAGCAGACCACCATCCGGGACGCCCCCGCGACCCGGAACGGCGTGTGTACGACATAACTCTCGTTGCCGCGGCCGGGAGAAGGATGGTCCCCGACGACCACAGACGCACACAGCGGAGGTAGCCCTGCAGATGCCAGGTCAACGTGTCCGTGCGCCCTGTTCATTCATTCAATTCGGTGTCCATGTCAGAACGTACACAGGGGTTCTGCCGCCCGCGGCGAATCAGAATCGACGAACGTCGTCGAACCTGGGGGTGATATCGTCGCGCAGATGGAATGCCGCACGCCCGCAGAATCGCCGGCTGGGAGCCCACGCGAAGAGCCCGGCGCGGCGGCTGCACCATGCACGCGGCGTTTGGCGGTCGACGATCTGAGGGGGAACAGAGCGTATCTGGACGCGGCAAGCAGCGGTGGGCGTCCCGTGTCATATCTGCATGTCGTACGTTAACGTTGGCGTTCAAACTGCAGTTCACGGCAGCGGTGGTCGACGTCAATGGCGGAATCATCAGATTCGGACGCGCGAAGCTCGACCGCTGCCGCTGCGCAGCGCCGAGCATGCAGATGCGCGCAGCAGGAGGTGGGAGTGGGCCGGAAGGAGCGTGCAGGGACGCGTCCGAGCACCCCGTGTGGCTGAGACGGCGGCTGCGGGGACACTGCACAGCGGGTTGCGGCGACAGGGGACGCGCAAGGGCCCGGGAAGGGCGAGATGGGGCACCCGGGGCGATGCGGTGCGGGACGGCGGCGGAGGAGGCTCAGGAATGCAGGCACGTCGCACTCGCAAGCGCAATGCTAACGTTGATTTGTGTGACGGGGGGTCTAGTTCGGACGGTGATGCGCACACAGGCGCGGGGGAACCTGACGACGGGCGCAGGGTCGGCCGGAACGGGCAGTCCGTGCGCTCGATTGGGCGAGAGGGGCGTCGGCGGAGGAGGCCGGCGAACAAGCGCAGGCCGGGATGGGCGGCGGCTGTACAGGGAAAGGGGCGGGCGGTGCGGCTGTCAGATACGGTGCAGGAATGGGCGTTGGCGGGGGCCCAGGCTGATTGCGGACGTGGTTGCGAGGGCAGCGACATCAGGGGGACAACGGCGGGCAGCTGAATAGAAAGAGAGGCGAGTGTATTGACGATTGGGTGCGAGGAAGATTTGTCGAAGGGGCTTGTTCGGAGAGGACGGGCGCGTCTCGTAAGCACTCCCGCTATAGACTTCCCGCCGGCAACCACGATCCCCCCTCGGCGGATCGGCATCTGTCCTGGACCCCAACTGCCCGATGCGGGGAGAGGCATCTCGACCACCGAGCGCCGCTTGTGCCTGATTAGGCAGGCCATAATGAACGCGCGTCGGCAGAATCCCTTGCTTTCTGTTCTGTCCGCCTCGACACGCACGGGCGACGTCGGCTGCCCGCCTCAGCGAATCACTCTCCACGATGTCCCGGCCATCCCGCCTCCATTCCCAGCGCAGTGCGCGCATGCACCCACCCACCCACTGCCTTCCCCCCGCCGACGCACGAGACAATAGTGGTGTTGTATCGTCGCACTACTGACACAAATGGCTGTACCGCACGCTCCCATCCAGCTTCGCACCGTTTGTCTTGGGCGGGCACAGCATGGCTCCTACGCACTCCCCGAGCAGCCCTTGTCCCAGCAGCCAGCTCGCTCGCCCGCCTCGCGTACCGTGTATAAAGCGCGTATCCCGCGCCTCGGGCCAGCCCTGCTCTCATCGGTTAAACACTCGCGCGCCTACTCACTCCGCTAGCGAACCCTACTTCTCCTTATATCTCCCCACTCTCCGCCGTCCCCTCTCGCATCTTTCGTCACCGCCCCCGCCCGCCTCACCCCCCGCCATGCCCCTCACGCTCGCCCACGTCCCCGAGGAGATCCTCGAGCGCATCCTCGCGCTCATCCTCGTGCAGTCCCCCGAGTCGTCTCCCCGCCCCTCCTGGCACCCGTACACGAACCCCAACAACGCGGCTGGCCACGCGAACATCATCTCCCCCCTGCTCGTCTGTCGCGCATGGCTGCGCATCGCGACCCCCATACACTACCGGCACCCCGTCCTCCGCACGCCGCGCCACGCAGAGCTGCTCCTCCGCGCGCTCCGTCACACGCCCGATCTCGCGCTCTGCGTGCGGAGCCTGCACCTCCACGCGACTTCTCCCGCGCTGCGCGACATAGTCCCGCGCTGTGCGTACCTCCACACTCTTGACATCACAGTCGACAATGCCGACGCCCAGCCTGGCGCCGTGCACTCGGGTGGTGCGACTGCCCCGGGCACCTCGGCGCAGAGCGGTCGTGACCGCAATGTGGTCGACTTCTGCGAAGGGTTCATGCAGACGCGGTCGTCCATCCGCCACTTGATCATCCGCAAGAACGCGTACTTGACGCAGCCGAACGCGACGTACGTGTTCGAGCAGCTCGCGAAGGCGATCGTGCGCTGGCACAAGCTGGTGAGTAACATCCGCATTTGTTGGCCTCTGGTGCGATGCGTCTGTGGCGTCGGGCGCGCGTGCGCTGGTGGATCATGTCGACACCGAGGAGTATCTATCGGGTGGCTTTGACAGCATGCGGTGTCCCCGGGCGCGCGCGAGCAAGACGCGCCAGCTGGTGCCGTCATGTTCTGCCCTTCGATCAAGCAAACCTAGTGTCTTGATATCCAACCTTGCACCTGTTCCGGCGGCGACATGTGGACTGGACCCTTTTGCTGACGCCCGCTCCCTCTGATTCGCAGGAGACCGTGAACGTCGCGTTCCGCCTCAGCCCGTCGCCCGCCGCGACCGCGCTCACACAGGCGCTCGCGGCGGCCCCGCGCCTGCACACGCTGCACACGCAGCTGCCCGCGGTGTGGAACACGACCCTACTCGATGTGCGTCTACGTTCCTCTATCTCTCTCTATCTCTCGCCCGCTGTCATCTCCCCGGAATCTGTTGCGTTCCGCTCCGTCTTCTCCGTGCTTCGACGGCTTCTCGCCCCTTCGATCACGTCCCCTCGCCCCACCCGCCTTCTCTTCCATTCCCCCCGCCTGTCACGTTGAAACCCGACACTGACTCTCTCCCTCCAGATCGCGCAGAACCCGTCGCTCGTCCGGATCGTGCTCTTTCCCGCTCCCGAGCACGCCGGCGCCCACCTCTTCCTCGCAGAGGCCAAGCGCCACCCTCGCCTCGTCGACCTCATCCGCGCCGGCACTGCGCCAGCTGCGCCCCATCCCGCTGGCCGCGCCGCCCCGCACATCTCGTTCTCGCTCGCGGGCAACGCGCGTGCGCGTGCGGCGAGCTCCGTCGTCCCGCCCGGGTCGACGCCGATGCCCGTGCCGACGTGGGGGTACGAGCGCGAGGTCCCTGCGCCGGTGTGCCCGCCCAGCTCGTCGCGGGGCCCTGCGGCGTACCCGCCATCTGCGTACGCGTACCCGCAGGCTCCCGTTGCTGCTGCACCGCAGTACGTGTACCCGCAAGCACCTGTGGTCGCGCCTCCGTACCCGTACGGCCAGCCGCCGAGCGCGTACCAGCATGGACACCATCACGCCGGCTACGCACCGCGGGTCGCTGTCCCCAATGTCCCTGAGCTCGTCCACGGCCAGGCACAGCGGAGGGCGGCGGGCAGCCGGAGGATGACCGCATCATGAGCTGTGCTGCGCCTATTTACAAAAGCGGAAGAGACAGAGGAAGAGAAGAAGAGAGAAGACAATATCGGACTTGCAGACGAAATTCTTGTGTTACAAACGCGACCTTGGGCCCCCGGTGACGATGCTTTCTTGTTCTGCGCCCCTCACAGCTGACGATATACGGACCTTTTACGTGCCTTACTTACGATTGTACATATGTATAATAACACCATAATACCCCGCTTCCTTTTCTCTCGTCCCGCGTTCTTTCCTTGAGTTCTTTCCTTCCCAGCACCGCGTGCGCCTCCCCCGCGTCATACCCACCGCATGGGTGCGGGTGGTTGCTATCCCGACGGGGGACGCGTTGCCAGTGCGACGCCGTTCTTCCTGGTTCCAGCTTCCATGTGCGCGGTGCGCCAGCCACTCATTCAGTATTCAGTCCCATCATCCCATTCAGCCCGTCTTCGCTCCTTGTTCTGTTCTCGCCGCTTTCGTTTCGCACCCGCTCGTTCTTCTCGTCTTCGCGCATCCCTAAAAGGGACATTCCTTTGACATAGACTGTAGATGACCACACGAACAGAAAAAAAGCCGCCGCGCAAGGCAGCGCCCCGTCGTATACCCACTATACCCTGTGCAGACCCACTGTACATGGCACGCTCCATACCCCATACCCCCACACTCGTTGCAATGCACTCGTTCGCTCTCGGCACTTCGCCACATCCCGTTTGCACGAAGCAGGTCCTTGGCACGCGCTGTGGTGCTTCGACCGGTGACAATCGAGTGATACTTCAAACTCTCAATAGAGCAGGTCGTATCCTCGCACGATGCAATCGGTGAGTGTATTGCTTCCGCGCGAGATCGCGCTCGTATTTTACGGCGGGCGGAGCCGGGACTTACAGCTGTCTGCCAGGACGTAACCATCGGCCCAAGCGGTCTTCATGGTTTAAGTTTGGCGACGTTTACGGGCCGTGTCCACAACGCCAATTTGTTTGGCTTAGCCCTGACGCCACCATTCACCAAGTAAGCGGCGGTGGGTGGGTGTGGTGGCACTGGTTGTGGAGGTGCCACGGACGGGCAAGGACTCGGACCGGAGGGCGGCCGTGCTATGCAAACGGGGCGCCACAGACGTATCTGTTCCGTCGTTTCAGCACAGAAAAATGTTTCGCCACAGAACTAGTAGCGTGCATTCCGAACACTAAAAGCTCCCGGTCAGCATGTGGTCGATTGCGCGCGTGCAAGTTCCGCGACGTAGGCACGGAAAGCCGCCAGTACTAGTAGTGTACATTGCGTATGCACATGATGTACCTAGTCTAGCCAGACGAAGCTCGAGCGCGTCGGGACGTCCGTGTTCGTCGCGACGATCTCGAGGTCCGCGCCGCCCTGCGTGCGCTTCAGCACGACGACGCCCGCGCTCCCCGCCACCCCGCTCGCCACCAGAAACGCGTTCTCGTCGCCCCCGCTCAGCTCCATCCCGCGGATCTGGTCGAGCCCCGTGAACACATGCTTCACGAACGCCAGCTGCGGCTCGACCGCATAGATCGCGATCGCGTCCCCGCGCGGGTCCTGCACGCCCACGTTCCGGTTCGACACGTATATGAACGGCTGCGTGAAGTTCGACCCCGCGGCAGGCGAGGCCTCGGCGAGCAGGATCTCGCCCGCGGCCATGCTCGCGCCCGCCGGGAGCCCGGGCGGGACGACGGAGAAGTTCGCGACGAGCGGGGCGGGCCCGGGCGAGGCGGGGGTGGGCGGGATCGCCTGCTGCGTGAGCGTGGACGAGAGCTCGTGCACAGTGTACAGCTGGGAGTCGCGCACGACGATGTGCCGCGGGCCGCTGCCCTGCGGCTGGTCGATCTGGCCCTGTATCTTGAACGCGCCTGGGGGGCCCGTTGGGGCGAGGCGCCAGATGGTGTCTGCGCCCTGGGGGGGAGGAAAGGACGTGGTGAGTGGCGGGGGCGTGGGCGCGGGCGCGGGACGGCCGACGTACCAGGTCAGGGACGAACACCTCTGAGCCGACTTCGAGGGCCATGTGCGGGTGCGAGACGGGTGCGTTGAACGAGATCAGCGGCGCGCCTTCGGTGAACTCGAGCGGGTCCGCCTCAGTGGGGATGATCAGGCCGTTGCCCGAGCCAAACTGCATAAGGAAAGGAATGGTGAGCGCGGTGCCGTGGAATTGACGTTGGTACTAGCAGCTGCCACTGCCAGGGCGAGCTCGGATGCGAGGCGACGTACGTTCATGACAGCGACCTCGCCAGTAGACAGCGGGACGGCAAACGCGGGGCCGTTCCCGCCTGAGCTTGTTTGTCCGATGGCGGCGGTGAGGGAGCCGTCCTGCTTGACAAAGAACGACTGCAGTGCGCCCTCTGTGTTCTCGTTCGTCGCACTTTATCGCAGAACACCATATGAGGAACGACTCCAGGGGTCATGCGCATTAGAGAACTCACTACAGGATGCTCTTGTTTGTCGGGTGCAGGTCGATCCATGATGGGTTCTGACCCGTGGGCGACTGGCTCAGGAGCGAGAGGGTGTTCGCGTCCGAATTGAACAGGTAGGTCGCAATAAACGTTGAGTATCCGCCCGCGAGAATCGTGAAGTTAACCATGGTGGCTGCCGAGTGTCGTTAATGAAAAAAGGAGAGATGCGTCGGGTCCGAGATGCTCGTCAAGAGTATGCAGCAGAGATATTAGCGGTGGCGTGTGGTATGCTAGTCGTCAGGCTCAGGACACCAGGTCGTGAGTCGTGTACGGGTCGTGTAAGAGAGCTGGAGGGAAAGCCGGGGGCGTTCATCGAAGGCGCAGAGGAGGTGCGCCTATATATCACCACAGCCTATTGTGCATCGTGATCAAGGCGCGACAATAGCCTTTTGCGGGCGGCGTTGCGACACGGGCGGGTTTCTCTGCAAAGTTCATCAACGATTTGCGCGTTGCGGCATAAGCATCATGTTTGCATGGGCACCATCAAGGGTGGGGCCGTGTAATGTCAACACTTACCACAGCTCTCAAGAAAAGTACCCTTGAATAGGCGGATGGGTGGTTCTGCCGGCTTGTAGGATCATGCTTGGATGGCCTTGTGGGATCAATTAAGCTGCATAGCGAGACCATTCAAGACATCTACATGTGTCCATGTATTGAGCTTGCGGCCACCAACATATGCAGAGTGATGGTGACGGTACGCGATCAAGAGGCTCAGCAACATTAGCGCCCTTGACTTAGGAGTCGAATATGTATCGAGGGCTCGATCATTCGAATTACGTGAAATACACAGTGCACCTTGAGGAGAGCAAACCTTGCGACGTTGATTGACAAGCGAGGCTAGCGAGGCTCAAGCACTAGTGTACTCAACGCTAACATCGGTACCCATGGAAGTCTTTCCTCAAGCCAGGTATATTATTATGTGCATCGAGTCGTTCTAAGCTCCCTAGTTGAGCCAGACGAAGCTCGTCCTCGTCGGCAGCTCGAGGTTCCTCGTCAGCAGCGTCATGTTCTTCCCCCCTTGCGTGCGCTTGAGCATGATGACTCCCGCCTCCCCAGCCACCCCGCCCGCGATCAGGAACTCGTTCTCGGGACCGCCCAGCTGCATGCCGCGAATCTGGTCGAGCCCAGTGTACACGAAGCCGACGAGCGACAGCTTGGGCTCGATGCGGAAGATCGCGATCGCGTCGCCGCGCGGGTCCTGCACGCCCGTGTTCCGGTTCGAGACGTAGAGGAACGGCTCCGGGAAGTGCAGAGACGGCTCGGCGAGGAGGATCTCGCCCGCGGCCATCGCGGCGCCCTGCGGGAGGCCGGGGGGCAAGATGGAGAAGTTCGCGATGAGCGGCGTGGTGCCGTTTGGCGCGGGCGGGATCAGCTGCTGCGTGAGCGTGCTTGAGAGCTCGTGCAACGCAAAGAGCGTGTTGCCTGTATGGAAAGACGAAATTCAGCCTCGCCACTTTACTGTGTGAGGGAGTTGCGCACCCCGGGTAGCGATGTGCCGCGGGCCGCTGCCCTTGGGCTGGTCAATTTGGCCCTGGATCTTGAAGTTACCGGGGGCGCCGTTCTGGACGAGACGCCAGATTTTGTCCGCGCCCTGCAACCTGTGAGCACAAGGGAAATGTCTGCGCGACGGAATGATTTACCAAGTCCGGCACGAACACCTCGGAGCCGTGCTCCAGCGCCATGTGCGGGTGGGAAACCGGCGCGTTGAAAGTGATCAGCGGGTGGTCGGACGTAAATTCCAGGGCGTTGCCCTTCTCCGTGGGTACGACGAACCCGTTCCCAGAGTTGTACTGCGTGATTGCGAAAGCAACGTTCCGTCAGACCATTAAGAAAGAACAGGGCAAAGGACTCTCTTACGTTCATGATGGCCACCTGCCCAGTCGACAGAGGGGTGGTGAATGCAGGGCTATCACCTCCCGAGCTGATGGAGTCTATCGGGCTCGAGAGGAGGCCGTCCTTTCCGATGAGGAACGACTGCAGGCCGCCGGACGGGTTCTCATTCACAGCACTGTGGCGCGGAGTTAAGTACCGTAAACCGCGTTGAATGTGGATTCTGAACTCACTAAAGAATGCTCTTGTTCGTCGGGTGGTGCGCGATCCACGAGGGGTTCGCACCCGTCGGCGACTGGTTCAGCAGCGAGAGCGCGTTCGTGTCCGAGTTGAACAGGTAGGACGCGACGAAGGTCGTGTAGCCTCCGGCGAGGATGGTGAAGTTGACCATGGCAGGGCGGTGATCCGACGAGCACTTACGGGGGGAGCTGCTGGTGGAATGCAGCCCGCCCCCGCTGATGCTGCGCCCTTAAATATGGCCGCCGGCTGCATGGACGAGGAAGCACGATCACGCGTCCCGGCGGGGCGGTCGTCCGCGAGATTCATACGGCGTCGCACCATCCCCTGGCCGACTGGCGGTCCTGGTGATGCGATAATGGTCCACCCGAGGCTGGTCCGTGCACGGTGCAGTAAGGAAGAAGCGTTCTTAACGGCAGAGGGGTCCCCGGCCAAGGTGGTCTACGTCACATGGCCGACTCACGGCCCCAGTCGCGGGGCGGTATGACCTCGGCGGAACACGTATGGCACTGTATCTGATGTGGGGGCTATTTTATCCGCGTCGAGGACGTGGACGGCTGAACAGTGTGGTTAACAGGAAGAAGCACCCGAGACACCTCCGGTGTGTTCATTGCGAGACGGCAAAGCTGCATTTAGCTTCAAGAAACCGACATCAACCTACGCCCCTGCCGCCGAGGATTTTACCACATTAGATGTCGCCGCTCCACGTTCCTGAGGCCTGGGGTGTCGTCATCGCTAAGGACTGAGTGAAAGGTCGCACTCACCTTGTAAATATAGTCACTGACCACACCTCCGCTACTGGTCTCACAGTTTGCGTAGCTTCGCGGGAGACCGATCAGTAGGCTGTGATGTTTGCTCGTGTTTTACAGTGGTATTTCGATCCAACGGCATGCCGTAGCATAATGTCATCGTGGTGGAGGCATGCTAGACCCATACATTTTGCGCGAGGAGGAAGACGAAAGCATGTATCATAACGAAGGAAGAGGACCGAAGCGAGTACACTTAACGGCCGCCCTTGCCACCCTTCATCTGCTGCTTCGATACCCGGGGTGCGGTGGTGGTGGGGCCACGAGTAGCGGGCTATAGGGACGCATGTTAACGAAATGTAGCCAAATGCCTTAGTGCCCTGACGCACCTTCTTCTCCTTCTTGTCCTCCTTCGCCTTCTTCTCGGACTTGGCCTTCTGGATGGCCGCGGTCCTTGCCTGGGCACGGATGGCAGCGGTCTGGTTCCTCCGCGCAGCGATAGCAGCGAGGTCGGCACCGACGATACCACGCTGGTGCTTCACGGTGCGGCGGGAGCGCTTCTTGGCGACCTCCTCAGTGATACCCTTCTTGTGCATGCGACGGTAGACCTGCGTCCAGGCGATCTTGCGGGGGTTCTTGCGCTGGAGGAAGAGCGACTCATTCTTGGAGGTGGCGAAGCGGAAGATCTACGCGGAAACAGTGTAAGGGGAGGGACACCGTGGCGCGACTTGTGCAAGCGGACCTTGTTGTCTCCCCGCACGAAGAGCCGGCCCTTGCTGGGGTAGATACGGTAGCCGGAGAAGGAGTCGATCTCGGTCTTCTATACTCATTGCGCCGCTGTTTAGCACTGGAGAGTCTAAGAGGAGAAATGAAGGACGTACCATCTAGCGAGTAAAGAGGGGAACGGGAAGGGATGGTGTCAGTAAAACCGTTGGCCAAAGTTTGGAGGGCCAGCCTGTCCTCCATCCGCTATCTCAATCTCCCATCCAGCCTCCTAGGTCGACCATAGACCCGTTTTACGCGTATCGACGTGCGCAGATTCATCCGTACGGCGTGATGGGGCGATTCTGCAGCCCTCCAGAGTCCAGACGAAGATACTCACCTTGAATTTGCGGCGGCGGGGAGTATGTCGTTGCCGCTGTGTACGCTTCCCTTCGCGGATCTGGGCGCATGCCACAATACAAGCAGATGTAAATACGGCCACGTGGGCGAATAGTTTGGCGCGCCCACACCGGTTGAGCGCTTACCATCTCTTGCTCCCTCCCCTCCTCGTTCAGTGTATGCCAGCTGGGGGATCCACGTCGTTATATCTAGGATCCACTGCACGTGTCTATGGAACATGGCTGCATTCTCCCCTGATACTTGGCCGCTATGTCCGAGCCTCTGAAGAGCCGGAGACTTGCCGACGCCGTTACGTCTAGTGCAAGAGGCCGGCCGGGATATCTACTACTTGCTTATCCCTTTGAACTCGTGCGAGGAACGTCTGGTTTTGGTGCTTGTCTGCTTGGAATTTGCCATCCTGCTTGCTCACGAGAACGCCTGTGCGCACTTTATGTCTTGTAGCTGCCTTCAAGTTATCGCGGCCACGAACACCCAACAAACCGTCGATACCCTCCATATCGCCTCACAGATGTCTAGGATGATGTGCCGGCCATTCATCATCTATTCGTTAGGGTGTATAGTCATGTTTACCTCGGCCTCCATGCCTGTGGACTGGGTCCTGAACTTCGAGACCAATCGCGCCGCATGTGCATCGGGCGTCCATAAATATATGTCGTCAACTTTTCATGAAATCTCCACGACATGCTTTAGCATTTTCACCTGCTCCTTGAGCTTGCCTTGAGCATACGTGCATCTGTACACTCCGACAGTCAGACAAAGACAATGAGATGCATTGCAATGGGCGGGGAACAAGCGGGGCATATTCGGAGGCATTTAGACTCCGACATCGCGTCTAAACGCCATCATGTGACCAGACGCGGTTCGCGACACTAGCCACAAGTTCAACGTTGACTTCTACCCTCACGACACCGCCGGATGCCACCATGTCCACCACGATAACCTCCTTGCTTAACTCGCTACACACACATCTGCAGTCACAGACACAACTGCTACCGACTCTACATGCTCAGCTCGGCTTACCTCCCACCGCGCTGCACGACGAACTCTCGACGCTGCAACAACAACTTACCCAATGCATCGAGAGCCAGATTGATCTTCGGCGGAAACAAGTCGACCAATGGATGGAGAAGTGCTCGATTATAGAAGACGAGTGCTTGAGATATGGCAGGGCTCTCGGAGCGCACCTCAAGTCGTCTGGACCGAGTGTCGGGGAGATCAGGAAGGAGCAGGTCTTGCCACGCCGCTTTGAAATGATTTCAGAGTTCCAGGAGAAACTACGCCAGGTGAGCTATATTATAGCTGAATTCACTGCACTACGGACGTTACGCGGAGGTACAAGCCATCGGTGAGAGGGTAGTGGCAAGGAGCTACGACACGGCCGCATATAGTCATGCCATGCATACATGGCTAAACGACCCATCCTTGATTTCATTAATCCTACGGCGTAAACTGTCAAGTTACTAATTTCAGCTGGCAGCAATATCATACGAAACTGGAGCAGTTATCAAACTTGACCAGCCGAATTTCAGCACTCTCAAATACGCTGGGTCCCGACTTCTTCCCAGCAGATATCTTGGATAGCACGCCCGCAGCCGGCGAAGATGAGTACGACTCGGGCGCCCGTCGAGATGTTACCCCCGAGCGTTTTTCCCGGTTGGAGAAGGAACTTGTAAGAGGGAAGGGCGAAGTAGTAAGTGCAGCATCGGCAATCGCTACGGAATGTTTGCTAACGGTGCTGCTGTAGGCAAAGCGACTTCAACAACTCTCCTCTAACTTCGTACAAATTGACTGGTTGCATACCGAACTCGGTATAACACCACCTTCACTCGAGGACCTCCCGTCCGCTTCAACTTCCACCCTGGGACTTCCCTCTTTGCCTCGCTCAAGCTCGTCTTGTAGTAATAGAATGACCAACTCCGACCCCTTCCTATCCACCTCCATGTCTATCCCTATGTCCACGCCAACTCCCGCCCACCGACAGAAACCTATCACTCCCCTTCTGTTCTTCACCGAGGAACCACAGCAACCTCGAGCGACCGAAGCAGACCACCAACGCGTCTTCGCGAAATTCGTTGCGCGTATGGAAGAGTTATCGGACGAGGATCTCCCAGACTCGAACGTCACGGTCGGTCTGGAGGGCGTTGAGCCCACCCCCGCGCTGATGGCTTGGGCCGAAGCGACTCGCGCGGACCTGGAGGACATCAAGAGGCGGCGCGAAGCCCATATCCAGGCCATGTACGACCAGCTTGAAGCGCTGTGGCGCCGACTGGGCGTCGCAGATGCTGACATGGACGCGTTCGTGGAAGCCCAACGCGGGACGACGGACGAGACTATCAAGTCGTACGAGGAGGAATTGGAGCGTATGCTCGAACTCAAGCGCGAACGCATGGGCACCTTCATCGAGAACGCCCGCGCGGAGATCATCAAGCTCTGGGATGAACTCATGGTTGGAGATGAAGAGCGAGCTGACTTCGCGCCCTTCGCAGACGGTGAGCTCTGCCGTTGAGCATGCGCGCAAAATTTCTGACTTTAGCCTAACAGACGAACATACGGAGGAGTTGCTGATCATTCACGAGGAGGAGATCAGGCGGCTCAAGGAAGACCGCCGGATGAAGGGACCACTTCTACACAGCATCAGAAAGTACTTCGACATCCTTGAGGATGAGAAAGAGCTTGCGGCTGCCGCGGGCGACCAGAGTCGGCTGCTCGGGAGAGGTCCGCGAGATCCTGGGAGACTCCTCCGCGAAGAGAAGATGCGCAAACGCGTCACGAAGGAGAAACCTCGCGTAAGTGCTATTGCGCCACATTCTCGCCGGTCTAATATTGACGACGGCAATAGTTGGAACAAGACTTGCTTGTGTCGATTCCGTCCTGGGAAGCCGAAGCGGGTCGCGCATTCCTGGTGCACGGCGTGAGCATGCTCCAGCTGCTCATGGAGACTATGCCCGCTATGGACAAGGAGAACGGGGTCAAGCGCGTCACGAAGGGACGCGCCGGCTCCGTCCCAGCGCGCGCAACGACTCCCGCCAACGGACACTATCTCACAGCCCCAGCATCTGGACATGGCGGGCCTGTCAAGACAGGTGTTGTTACTCCGGCGGTGCGCCCATCATCAAGCCTTTCGAACTCGCAATCCGTCCCGAACAAACGTCCGCGTCTTGGAGAGGCGACAGCGACCCACAACAACGCGCCTCCTGCGCGCGGACCTCTAAGCAGCAGTAGAGGCGCGCACAATAGGGCCGTTTCCCCCACCAAGATCCCTCTGCCCGGCAAGACACCTGTCGGCGCGTCCTCACTTCCCCGTCCCGTTCCCATCGCTATGCCCGTACCCAAGGTCGGCACACAACACCATGCTCTCGGTCACGGACGAGTGCCATCGGCGCAACAACTATCATCAACCCACGCCTTCCCCTCACATCAACCCGGGGCCCGCGCTGCGTCGTCGTATATGTCTTCCACCTCGTCGATGTCATCGTCATACGGGCGGGGCTATGGGAGCGGGTCGAGCGCGGCGGTCGCTGCTGCCGCAGTGGCGAAGAAGGCTTCCCGCGCAAGGCGAGAGAGCTTCAAGCCGAGAGCGAGTGTCGATGAGGACTGGGCGGCTGGTATAGGTCTTGGAGACGGTGGGCGTCGGTGGGCTGGTCTCGCCGACGGCGCGGTGAAGGAGGAAGACGAGTATTGATCGAGCGTCGACCTGGTGTGCTATCACTGGCGTTAGGCCTGATGTCACCTCTTATTTCCCTCTTCGCTCTCGCTCGCCGCACCTCTCCTTGACTTATGCGAACATATCTAACCTGAAGACGTATGCTGCTGTATGGTGTCCCCGTTCGATCGCGCTTTCTATTACTTATTCGTTACGAACGTTATGCCTTTTCACGATCTACATTTCTTTGCGCTGTGTACCATTACCGTTATGATAGTTGTCAATTGATGTATGGACTCATAGCCCTTGTAAACAACTGTAAGTATCATGCGAGGAAGGTGCCAACCTGCTCTTGCGACAAGCGCGCGTTGTGGCTGACGAAGTCACGTCCTACCGAACGTTGTGACAGCTTTGCTTCTCTCCACCATCGTCGGCCGCGGACTCAATCGAGCAAAATCTCCACGAAATACTCAAGCTCTTTATCGGGCGCGCTCAGCGGCAGTCTGCACCATTCAACGCAGGCTGTTTGTGTGTAGGGATTGAGCTTGACTGTCGGTGCCCCATACTTGATTTTGAAACTATAATGATCACGTCTGACCTACCTATCGCTGGGCCTGAGCGTACGCCGACGATGGTCGTTCCGCCCCTGGCATTGGCGACTAATGCCGCCCGACAGCATAGGCTGCCGCTTCTTTCTCCGAAACTAGTGAACGCCATGATGTCTGCCCATGCGACAGTGTCGCAGGCATACAGCAGGGGTGAGCAAACGCCAAATCTCATCTTCTGCTGTACTTTCAAGGCTGACTATACTCGACCCCCCGGTAGGGTGGTCAGATCAATAACACGGGCGAAGTCGCACACTGCGCCGTCCCGGGAAGGCCGTTGGGGCTTGCAGACGCACCCGAACTTGTTCGGGACGGGTCCGTATGGGACCCGAACACGAACATAAACCAACCACCATGATCGGCGGCGGGCTGACCCGTGTCAGCCTCTTCAGCCACCGGGCCTATAACTTGGGGCTGCGCCCCGCTGGACCTCCTCATTCCCAACCACCATCTCCTCCCCCGCCCGCCCCTCTCAGGACCACTGCGACTCGTCTTCATGTATGATCTCTTGTGCTTCGTGCCCTCTTCTGCTTCATGCTCTTGCTGGGTCCTGGTACTAGCTCGCTCTCGGTGTCTTCGTTGGGTTACGGGATGATCTCTTGGATGTCTTCCGCTGGGTCCTGGGTACGTTTCACTGGTCTCTCTCGGGTACGTCTTCTTGGGTATCTTCAGCTATGGCTCTCTGCGGTGCAACTTTGGTGTGTGTTTGGTCTACGTGCTTCCCTTTCTCCATCTCGTTCTTCTCCCTTGACCGGTCTTGTTGTCTCTGTGTTCGCTTTCATTTTTCTCTCTGCGTTTCCTCTCTCTGGGTCCGTTTGCATTCAGAGTCTATTTCCCTGGTGAGCTGTCCCGCCACACATCGATCTCCCTGCCGTCGCTGATCGCCATGTTTTCCCTAGCTTCATGTTTGTGTTTCCATCTCCCCCCTTCCCCTCCCCTCCCCTCCCCTCCCCTCCCCT